CGGGGGCATCTCATCTGCAGCGCGGCCTTGTGGTGTAACGGCATGTCAGTGCTGTAGAGGAGTCGTGGAAGGAGGAGGCAATAAGGTAGGTAGGTTGGTGGTATTGGGTAGCCAACAGAGGTGAGACAGAAGTTATCGGAACAGTCCATAGGGCGAGAATTGCCATCCCTTTCTTGCTGAGCGGCCAGTCCTCGTCCTTGCCCTCGCGTATTCCCCGTCGTACTGTGATACCTGCTGCTGCAAGGTCTGTATGTAGGTATGTAAGGTAGGATCAGGTCAGAGCAGGTCAGGTATGGACGTGTGCTGGCCCTTGATGCGCGGCGCTACGTGCCAAGCCGCACTGGTCTCCCACTGCCTAGAGCACGACGTCGAGGCAAACGCATCACGCACATGGGATTTCGTATATGTGGAGGAGCGTCTCGCGCGACTGGCCCTCCGACTGGCCCAAATGCTCGCCGCTGCTGATGAGGCATCCATTCGGGGGCTAGGGCTTGGGATGGCGGGGAAGCCCAGGCGGCCATTCGGCTCATAGGCAGTCTTGGCAGTGAAGCCTGCCCAGCATCACTTGATCAAGCACGGATGGAGTCGTAGCAGCAGCAGCAGCACCAGCACCAGCACCAGCAGCAGATAGGGTGGCTTCCATGGCCCTTCCCGCTGGTGTCCTGGTGGCTCTGCCCGCTGGGGTTCCGGCGCCTAGCCACGCCAGAGCTTCGTATCCGCAGCCTCAGATTAGCACTACTCGTGCACCAAGGCCGGAACGGTCGTAGTAACCGTCAGCTGTAGCATCACAGCCAGTTCGTGCCCCTCTTCTCCCGCTTGAAAGATTTTTTTTTTAACCCTTTCCATTTTTCCAGAAGTGGTCTTCACTTCCCGCAGCGTAGAAGGCTCCCCTAGGCAGACCGACAGCGAGGAGCGCCGAGGGCCAAGCTTGCTCATGTCGCCGATCTCTGCTGTCTCGTTGGCCGACTCTCGTCGTTTCATCTTCATGGGGGTGCACAATGGCGCTTACGGGAAGAGATGGAGAAAAGGCCTGTCCCGCCGCTGTCATTCGCTCTGACATGTACAACGTGATCACTGGGCAATGAGAGGGATCAGCACTTTAAAACCACAGGCAGTTTGTCCTCCACGCAAGATGAGTCCAAGCTTCGCGTAAAGTACCAGTATGAACGACTCGAGACGACAGAGCAAGTCCCCTCTCCGGAAATGTCCGAGGACGGCGCCGACTTGAAACTGTCTTGCTCGTCCGCGAGTGTCGGGTAGTGGTGGTGTGCACGGCGGTGATGTATGGTGAGAGCGAGGCTCCCATGGTCTCAGTCCGTGATCCGGTGTGCATCTTGACCTATCCAGGCGGGGGAGGGAGGGGGATGCTCGCACCCCAACGCTTCGACTTGCCGCCATCGCTGGTGCTATCCTGACGTGGCAGCACGAACAGTGATCAGCTGCGCCCACAAAGAGCGGCACGGAGCCAATGGAGCATCATCTCGTTGAAGCTGTTACTGAAGCACAGCCGAAGATCAGCATCATGAGGAGCGGATTGAGGCCCGAGCAGCCGTGGATGTGACGAGTAAGAGGCTCAAGGGTTGACATGTTGCACGGACATGGGTCTTGGAGAGTTGAGCTGACCTGGATTTGGTAACAAAGCCTCCTCCTCCATCATAGTAGGTCGTAGACGCATAGAAAGGTAAGGAAGATAGGTAAGGTTGCACATCGTCTTTTGATACAGCTTCGAAGAGCGAGTTCGCTGCCCACTAGAAGCAGAGGAGACACCAGGAAACGCTTATGCATTTTCGCTTGATCCCAGATGGCGCACGCAATGGTGCGTGTAACTGCCAGCAAACTAGCAGCAGGCGATCATGAACCGCTTGGCCATATGGGCATCTGACGTCTTGGTGGAATTATCCCTAGACAGTTGGAACAACGCGAGGCAGTGCGTGATTCGTTGCCGATATTTCTCAACCGAAGCACGCCCAAAGCAACAGAGCACGATGCCGCATACCTGACTTGACATGAAGCTAACGGCCGGCGATCGTCATTGAAACGAATGCCACCGAAAGGACATGTTTCGACGTCGGGACGGTGATCAGGAGAGACGCCAATGGTCCAATTCCCATGTACGACCGTGTTTGAGCCCGGCTTATTCCAGATAGATTGGGTGTGTGCCAACACAACGGCCGCCCATCACCACCACGACCCCGGCAGATTGGCACAAGGAGCAGCGGTGCTTCCACAGAACGGGGACTCTGGTACTCCGTACTGCAGCACTCTTTGAGGCCTCATTTTCATTCATCGAATTCCTTCTTGTCACTTTGCCTCTCCTCCTTTTGACATCACCGCACTGAATAAGGTGCAACTAAAGCATTTCGAGAGGTGGGGAATCCACAGATTAGTAACAGCAGGAAGAGAGGAGTAATGAAGGCTGCGTGCCTACCTCAGTTGTCAGTTCGGATGGAAGGCACCACGGGCAGCTTAGTCGTGAATGAACCCCCCCATGCTGGAAAGCGCGGGGGATAAGAAACGTTCAAGGTTAGTTAACACCCAGCTCCCGCATTGGAGAATCGCAGAAGGAGGGCTGGACACATGGCGAGGTACCAGGAAACGGGCGGTACCTCAGGTACTTGCGCCGCTCAAGGTACCGGCTGCTCGTATGGGGCGGGTCTCTAGCGGCACCCCCTCCCGGCCCATCCGCGTCATAACTGGCCGTCCCTGGAAATGCTCATGCCTGTCTCTGCTGGCCTAATCTCTTGGCGGGCTTGGAGCTTCTGCCTCTTTGCCTCCCCCTTGCGTGCTGTCTTGTTGCAGCTCCGCTAACGGCACGCCCTTGTCGGCCACTGCCCTTGAGCTAGCAGGCACGACCAGGCATGAAAAACTGGGCTGGTCTGGTCTTATTTTATCTTTTCTGATCTGATTTTCAAAGATTCTGCCGTCTTTCTGCCTCCGCCCTAGTTCGCGATAACTCGTTGGAGCACGCACACTGAACTCCTCGCTCCAGTTTCGCTTCAGACTTGTAACCTTAGCCTCTGGGCTTGTGCAAGCTTTCGTATTAGCAGAGTGTAGATCGCCCCAGTGATGGGAAGTTTCCATTGTTGACGGCCGCCTAACGTGCGTCTGTCTCTTTGTGGTTGTTTATACTTGGAGTGGCTGAAGGCAGTGTGAGCCTTGAAGTGCTTGCTTGACTGCAAGGGATTAAGGTAAGGTACGGATAAGGCATGCTCACATGTGGACGATGACTTTTTGCTGTCACAGTCGACGGCCTTGGGACGAGCCCTCACTGGCCTCTTGGACCCGGACGCTCTGGCTCGCTGGAAATTGCAGGGCATGGATTGCTGCCGCCGCATGGTTGCCCTCTGACGTCTTGCCTTGACGTGATGGACGGACTCTGGCATCGGATTGACTGCAGTCACTCGAACCCTTGTCCCTCCTGTCTTGGACGTCCGTTCTCCGCCGGCCCAACTGGCGCTTGGCTGATGCTGCTCGTACTCATTGTACATACTACAATACAGACAGACAGAGTTGTACTCGTACAGTACTGTAGGTACCTCGGGCCTGTCCCTTGCTGGAGCGTCCAGGGCCATGCCATGCTACCTCTCGAAGATTACCTAGGTAGAGCTCTCCTGTCGCAAATTTCCCGACTGATGTTAGTACCCAGCAGCGCCTAAAGGGGATGGGGGGGCGTGTGAGCAGCAAAGGCAAACATCGCAGAGAGTTCCGAAAAATTCACAGAAAAAGAAGCTTAGCTTCCAACAGTAATAATGCGAGCTTCGGTGCAGGCGCCACACCCCCCAGGCAGAGCCTTGAACCTACCAAGGTACCGCTCTAGCCTGTCTTTGTACACCCACCCACCCAGAGCACTCCCACTCCATCCAGTCTTTTTTGACTCAATGGCTGCCACTACTTTTTTGTGCTTCAACCTCCAGTCTACTCTTCCTCCTTCTTGCGCCCAGATATCGCAGCCTCTCTCTCTCTCCCTGGACCTCACCACCAAGCCGCTGTGCACACAAGGGCCCCCAGCGCCGCTTCCTCGCATTGGGCAGCCATTCACTCGGACATCGCACGAGAATCTCCAAGACGCCTTGCCACCGAGCGTTACATCCGGTCCTCGATCTGCCTCTTTGCGGCTCCGTCACAAACAGGCCCTTTCCTGCACCTCATCATTCCGAAGCTCGCTCCTACTTAAACTCGGCCCTCTCCTCCTCCCCCTCCTCCTCCACTGGCAGCTCTCACGCTCTACCTTACACTCCTCCAGCCGAGTTCCTCCCCGCGATTCAAGCAAGAGTCGTCATCGACATCGCCCACAATTTCCGGCCTCCATCCAGCAAGAATAGCCGATTCCCCCCCCTCCCTCTCTCAAGAATCGGCAGGCTGTGTAGCATCATATAGTTGCTTCGCATCTTCGCGCGTCTTGCCCGTCCTTCCTGCAGCGTCTCCAAGACATTCGGCTTGGGGTATTTGCCCCAAAGGAGCGACGTGCATACGGGCTACGTTTCTGCCACCTCACCAACCTGTCGCGGGCTGGCATTGCTCGACCGGGTCTGATCGTCCCTAGGCCTGCGCTTTTGGATGCTCAAGCCACCCTTGACGACGGCCCACTGAACGAGTGCTGCAGCAGCTGCAAAGGCAGACGGACAGACGTGTGTGTAGAACCCCAACTCGCCTACCTACCTACCTTGGACGCCTTCACCTTGAAGCTACAACTTCACTTGTACTCTGGCCCTACTCCCTCCTTGACCCCTGGCCAGCCTGGCTTCAGGACCACGACCATCCACAGCCCCTGCGGATCGCCTTAGTTCGACCCTTCCACCCCCCCGCATCCCGTTCTCCCCAGATTTGATGCAACATGCATACAGCTCGAGGCTTATAAGGGTCACTCCGCCTGCCGAACTCTCGAGGCTTGCCTCTGCAATGAGCTTGCTATTCACCTACCTACCACACAAATCATGAGTAGCAGACACCCAGACTCAACTCACTCCTCTGCGCCCCAAGCATTGGGCCGTGGCAGCACCATGTCCTCACAATCCAAGCCTCTCCCGCGTCCGAGCCCTGCCCACGTCCAGACAAACCTGGGCATGCAACGTCCTGCCGCAGCTCCCCCCTCGGCAATCAGCGCGTCCTCGAAGGCCTCCAATTCCCAGCATGGATCTCCCATCATGTCTCCAGAATCTCTCTTCACCACCAATTCCTCCATACAAGCATCGCCGGACTGCATACGGCCTCAGCTCGATGATCCGGTCTCCTCGGGGTTCCAGCTGCCCGAAGCCATCATATCCCGAAGAACCAGCGCGAACTCTCTCGGGCCCAGCTGTTCGGGAAGCCCCGGCGCTCCTGCCGACGTGACCGGGACTGCCAACGCTCCAGTCTCTACCTTCATCCCCTCGACCACGACTACCTGCACCACGAACAACACCGCCCCCGCTGCCTCCAAGGGCCTGATTCGACGGATATCCAGCCGAGCATCAAGGCGGCTCTCTAGCAAAGGGCGCCAGAACTCGGCTGCCCCCTCGAGTCGCGAAACGAGCGTTGGCCCCTGCTTCTGGCGGAAACGCAGCGACAGCAGTGTGACCGTCCCCGAATTTGGTCTCGTCAACACGGACTCCGAGTCTGATATGGAAGACGACTGGGTTTCCTGGTCCGCAAACTATTTCGACGGCACCCGAGACTCGCCGACTGACAGCACCACTGGCTCCATCAGCAGCAAATCGAACACCATGGAAGGCCCTGTCATCCCGCTGCAGCTGAAGCAGGGGACCCTACTGAAGAAGGTGTCCAAGAAGAACCGCTCCAAGCTCGTACTCCTCTCGTACGACCCCGAGACGAACAAGCTATTGTGGGATCGTGCGCGCCCACACAAGTTCCTCCATGTCGACGAGATCAAGGAGATTCGGACAGGGTCGGATGTCCAGCAGTACTGCCGCGACTTTGGCATCCCGGAATGGGAGCGCTCGAGAATGTTTTCTATTCTCTATGCCGTCCCTGATAAGTCAAAGTTCAAGTTCCTTCATCTCATCGCCGATGTCACCGAAATCTACCAGATGTGGACCACCTTTCTGTATGACATGCTGAGGCATCGCCAGGAGGTCATGACTTCTTTGATGACCTTTAACGAGAAGGCAATCAATCAATACTGGCAATCAGAGATGCAGAAGCACAACTCGGAAGATCAGGAAGAGCTCGATATCACGGGCGTCAAGCGGATATGCCAAAACTTACACATCTACAGCTCGCAGGCAATCCTTGAAGTCAACTTCCGCCTCGCCGATGCCCGGGGCCACGGAAAACTCAACTATCCCGAGTTCCTCAAGTTTGTGCGTCTCATGCGGCAGCGGCATGACGTGCGCCAACTCATGAAGAGTATAGCAGCAAGGCCTGAGGTTGGACTCACCCTTGACGAGTTCCTCGACTTCCTTCGGAATATTCAGAAGGAGGACGTCTCGAACCGCGCTGCCTGGGAGAAGACCTTTACCAAGTTTGTCCGCAAGCACAGAAATGACGACCCGAGCGCCGAGGTCAGCGCTGAGGATCTCAGCATCATGTCAGAGACGGCCTTCATTGGGTTCTTGAGCTCCAGGCAAAACATGCCTACCATAGATGAGCAGCAGGAGTTTACGCTTGACCGCCCCATGAACGAGTACTTCATCTCTAGCTCACACAATACCTATCTTCTGGGACGCCAAGTTGCGGGTCAATCCAGCATCGAAGGATACATTTCAGCCCTCGTGAGAGGATGCCGCTGTGTTGAAGTCGACTGCTGGGATGGCAATGACGGCCAGCCCTCCGTTGTTCATGGCCGCACACTCACCAGCGCCATCAGTTTCCAGGAGGTCATGACCACCATTCAAAAGTACGCATTTGTCAAGTCAAAGTTCCCTCTCTGGATCTCGCTCGAGGTACACTGCAACCCTACGCAGCAGGCCATCATGGCCAAGATCATGAAGGACACGCTCGGTGACATGCTTGTTACGGAGCCATTGGATCCCAACTCGTCCAAGCTACCTTCCCCTTCGGAGCTAATGGAGCGTATCCTCATCAAGGTCAAACAGCCACGGATGAGCAAGGATGATGCCGCCAGTGGCGACGTATTGAACACCCGAAAGCGAGGAAACAGTCTTAGCTCTTCGTTCACACGACCAGCCAACTCGGATCCTCCTGCGCTTTCTACCTCCCAATCGGTTCCTCAGAGCCCTCTCCTTAATCCCAGCAACTCCCGTAACCTGAAGTTTGCTGGAAAGAGCCGGGTCAACACCATCGCCGAAGGCGAGGTGCAAGAACCGCAGGCAAATGCCAACAGCGACACTGACAGTGGGAGCGAGCATGGCTCGTCCAAGGGATCCAACAACATTGTTCCAGTGCTGGGCAAGCTGGGAGTGTACTGTGCTGGCCTCAAGTTCTCAGGTTTCGATGCACCGGCGGCCAAGAAGTTCAATCACATATTCTCCTTTATGGAGAGTAGCTTTGCCAAACATGCCCGGACCAAGGAGGAGAAGATGCAGTTGGACATTCACAATATGCGCTACCTCATGCGCGTTTACCCAGATGGCGCACGGTTGACTTCAAGTAACTTTGACCCCATTTCCTACTGGCGTCGCGGCGTCCAGATGGCCGCCTTGAACTGGCAAACGTTTGACCTGGGTATGCAAGTCAACCAGGCCATGTTCGAGGGCGGCACAGACTCGTCTGGATACGTCCTCAAGCCGCAAGAGCTCCGCGACATCCAAGTGCTTCCATACAATCAGGCCGTCAACGAGGCTCTTGCCCAGGGCAAGAAGGAGCGGTCCGTCGTATCGTTTGGCATCGACGTCATCTCCGCCCAACAGCTGATGCGGCCCGCAAACTTGGCTGCAAGCAAGTCGATGGACTTTTACGTCGACGTCGACGTGTTCCACGCAAACGACAAGCGCAACAAGAAAGACAGGGACCTTGAGCTGTGCCATGAGCCTGACTCGCCTTTACTTCGTCACACCGAAGTGATCCGCGAGAATGGCTTCAACCCAATGTTCAACAACGGCCAGTTCCGCTTCAAGGTTACAACCAAGCACCCAGAGCTGATCTTTGTTCGCTGGTCCGTCAGACTGTCTAGCGATGGCGAAAGCTACAGCAGCAGCTCCAAGGAGAAGCCCCCGATGGCCAGCTACACCGCCAAGCTGAGCAATCTCAGGAATGGATACCGCACGCTGCCGCTCCTCAACCACGCTGGAGAGCAGTATTTGTTCTCCACCCTCTTTTGCAAGATTGACGTTGATCCTATCGAGAAGAAATACATTGACGTTCCCCAAACCGCGCAAGAAGGAGGCAGCAAACTCAACCGCTTGGGCGGTAGGGTATTCGGACGAACCAGCGGAAGCCCCCGGAGCACCATGGAAAAGGGCAGCGCGGAGAAGCGCAGCTTCGAGAGCAACTGAGCTGGCTGCTGCACCCAATCCTCCCATATGATGAGACACCTATGATGACTTCTCCTTCTTCTGATCTGGCCTGGGCTGGTCTTTTACCCGGCCGGATCCGTGTTTTACGATCTGGTTTATCTTGGTGTTTTTTTTTCTACTTTCTTGACTTCTTCTTCTACTTCTTCACCTCACGGCGGTGCCGCATGGCGACTGTACCTGATGGGTACCAATGCGCCCCTTGTTTTCTCTGCATTGTTTTGGTGCTCCCTTTTTTTGCTCAGTACGGCGCACGGAACTAAAAGCGAAACCAAATACCCACCCAACTTTGACCTGCGGAGAACAAGGACGCCCTTTTGGATACCTCTTCTCCCTTGCTTTACATTCTATTGTTGTTTTTCTACTTCATTTCCTTTTGTTTATGATGGGATGCAGGGACTACGGTGTCCCAGGAAATACATGTGCCAAATTGTTATCTGGTATTCACAGGCGAAGCATTGCATAAGGACAGGGCACACATGAAAGGCATAACATAGACGGGACGGGCGAAGGAACCCACGCTGGATTTTTTTTTTTTTTTTTCCTGTTTCTGTTTCGTTTTCCTTTTTCTCCTTTTCTTGCTCATGAGCTCGCGATAAATTGTGTATTGGGATCTTGATACAGGTTATTTGTCTTTCCCCGTCTCGTGTTTTTCTCTTGGTCTTTGAATAAGAAGAGGGTCGCTTTGTTACTGTTCAGGAGAAACTCGGCCGGGAATGTACAAACATATGATACATGTGGACAGACTGTCAGGTACTAGGTGTGAAACCGGATTTGCTGATCAATGAGGATACGCTTTTTGTCTTTTGTGCTTCTTAGTCTTTTAGCGTCGGCGTTGAGAAAGGTGCTTGCTTTCGTTTCACAGCCCATTGGGAGGGAGGGCTGGTCTGATGATTCAGCAGGGAGGCAGGGGAGACACGGACAGGGACATGGGTTTGGGGCAAGAGAGTGTGGTTATGAGGACACTCTTGCTGTTTGCAACGGTTTCCGGGGTTTCATCTTGGGTATAAGGGTCCAACGGTGCTTCCGTGGTATGAAACGGCGGACCAAGGGCGTATGTGATGAGATGCAGACGACGATTAGCATATAACATGTAGCGAAATGCGGACCCAGTTTTGTCTGATATCGCAGAGGCTTCTAGGTGATGAGTGTGTATGTGCATAGAGTGGCTTGATGAGCAGCTTCGTTGGAGCTCCCTCTGTCACGAGCATGTCACCAGATGGACACCGCTGATTGCGTGCTAAACGGCACTGCCAACGACATGGACGTGTCCCAAGTTTGATGTAGAAGAGCTCACGGAGCAAGAGGTGGTCATGCCTGATGCTCGGACGGAGAAAGGGTCGTGCCAGTAAGGCCGCCCAACGTCAAGTATATTCCTCCAATGTCAATTTCTCTCTTCTGTTGTCCCTTTTCGACTCAACTCAAAGCATTGGTATATACATACGTGAATGAGGGAGTCTGGAGATTGCATACGGTTAGGGCTGTGATCTATCGAACGATGTTGGCTTTCTTGTTACGTGTGCCAAGGAGAGAGCAAAGCGTGGAGTTGAAAGTGGAATAATTAATTCCCTCTCCAAGACAGGTATAATGGTCGAACTTCCTCAGAACTGTTGGAGTCCTCTCATACGACAACCCTTCCGGTATCTTTTTTGGCACGACCGTTTGCGTACTGAAGCCTCCTCCTGGTAATTGCCTTACCAAGTAATGCCGATGACAATCAGCACAGCAAGGGGAGTTGTGCTCGCTGCTGCTGCTGCTGCTGCTGCTGCTTGGCGCAGCCACAAGGTTGCTGTGGGCAAGCGAGGCGGTCTCCTTTGTTGTGGCTCTGTGCGTTGCTTCTTCTCCTGTGATGAAGCTCCTTGGGCTGCCTCCCTCTCTGGCTTGAACAACCCCCCCCCAGATAGAGAGGGAGGCTTTGTTGAAGGAGGGATCTGCGCCATTGTAGAGTGAATTGGAGCTTGTTGGTTAATTATTATTTACATACCTACCTAGGTTGGCTTCGTTGGCAGTTTGTTCAATATGAACCTCTTCTGGGCAAATTCCGAACGAGTGTGATGGAAAGGGCGGTGTTGCAATTAGGCATCGAGAAGGACTTGTTGGGTATAATGATTTACATGATTTACCTACTTTTGGTGTGGTTTAGTTGGTGTTAGTACTTAGGACTTGGTGTGATAGGGGATGGTTTGATTTGTTGTTGTTGTTGCTGCTGGTGGTGTTTCAATTTTTCACATGGCATTTCAGCATTGGGATTTTTTTTTTTTTTTTTCTTTTTTTTTTCTTTCGAAACGACGTGTTTCTGTTCGTTTGCCGATGACGAGTCCACATTAATATCTGCCGTCCAAGTCATGGAGATATGCAAAATGACGTCTGATGCTCCTCCCCTCTCCCCTCCCCTTGTGACGGCCAATCTCTTTGCTCCATTTTCCGGTGCAGGGACGTGGGAAAAGATTGAGAAGGGGAGGGAGGGAATGGGACGGGATGGAGTCATATCTGTCTGATAGGCGATGTCGGAGTTTAGGAATGTGCGAATGGGCAAAGAAGAGAGAAGGAGAGAGAGAGAAAATGACACCATGAAATACAAGATGCACGTTTCCCGCGTTTCATGTTTTGTTCTTTGTCGGGCTGAGCTATTACTATTACTATTCCAGGTCTCCATATTTCATGTTTCGTTTTTTGCGGAGTTGAAGGGATGGAGATTGTCAGTTTTTGTGGTGACAAACATGTTCATTCGTTTTTAGGGGAAAAGAAAAAGGGTAAACATGCCAAATTGGTTTAGAAACAACAGGAGCTACGAATACAAGTACGAAGTAGTACTACCTACATAAGGTACCTACAAGAGAAAAGGGGGGGCGTGTGGTTTCGAGAGGGTACTGCGACTTTAGATATTACTACTCTGTTTGGCTTAAGTGGGAGAAGCTTTCTGAAACGGAGCTGTTGCGGCTCTAGCGGAAGTTTTTCTTGACTTGGTGTTGTTGTCGAAAGATACTTTGGAGGCTGCGTGAGGAGCAGGCGGATGGTAAGTATCTCGAGTTTTAGGGGGGAGACAAGTTTGAATCAGCTGCATGGCGTCGAACTGGGGACAAATTAGACTTTTTGGCTGTGGATTGCTAGGTATAGGTAGAGGTACATGCAGCTGTAGCTCTACAAAGAGATAGAGAGTATAGAGATACTTAGGTATGTACTGAGCTGATAAGGCACCTTGCACACTGACATCTGTACATAAGGTAGGTAAGGTATGTTTGATAACCTCAGTGGAAAATGAAGGACATGACGGGCAAGATTGCTTCCACCGATAGATGACCAAGCGGGGCATATCAACGGAAGCTTCCAATTTGGAGACAATTGGACAACGGCGCGGTGATGCCTCTCCGTTGGACAAACCGTCCGTTCCGCCTAAACGGCACGTAAGCACTTGATAAGCCTACTCGTCAACTCGGTCACTGCCCTTAATACAATACGTGCTCATTAACCCGCCCCGTATTCTTTACGGACCTCGGGAAGCAAGGCCATATAGCGTGAGATTCCAAAACAACTGGTGATGTCAAGTCGTCGCCATCGGGTGCGGTGCATAAGGTAGGTAGGTAGATTGGGGGTGAGAACCGCCCGGAGGTGCCTCCGTGGCTAGTCTCCGGACTGAGGCGGGGATGGGCATATTGGAGAGAAAGAGAGAAAAGGTCCGGCGAGCTAATAATAAGGTAGGATTTGAGAAAGGGATGATATATTATCTCCCGTCGCTTCATGGGGGAGGATGAGAAGCTATGATTGGCTTTCTGGGTACGGTCTTTTCCAATCAATCCTTGCCTTGGCTTTCTTGTTAGCCGGTCATCTGCTGGCACCCGCAGGCGGGAAGCTTCGATGATGATCCTACATGTTCTTCAGTTGGAGAGGACTGGAGAATGTGTTGACATAGGAACTACTGATGCAGCAGGGACAGTAATTGGCAAGGTTCGTTTATCACCTACTAGGTAGCTTGTCTGCATGTATGTAATATGTGATGGAAGAGGTAGGTAGTTGAAAGCGCATCTGGAGGTGAATGTAACGAGGGAGGATCTACAGTGCATTCTGCGCTTACCCCGGCATTCAGATAAAAAAGACAATGGGGAAAGCTGACATCTACACGAGACGAAAGACAAAGGAAGGAAAATGAGTTGATACTCCAATTCGGGCGTCGTAACAGTGAGGTATGTAAGTATCTCAGTACAAGAAGCTAGGTACCTACGTTGGAGATCCGAGGTTCCAAAGCAACAACAGGTATGTAAGTGCAATGAGGTACCCAGCTAGGGGGCGTGGATGTGGTAAAAGATCGCATTATTAATTACCTAGATAGGTGCCTTGGGCGGGTGGCCGTGGAAACGAATCGATTGCTGGAAACGAGAACGAGCCAAAAGAACGAATCACCACTTTCAGGTACAAGCTGGGCTGAAGCCGAACAAGTACCTTTTCCGCACCGGTACTTGCTGCCTCTCTTCCATGAGCTGCCCTCCTTTTCAGCGGTACCTCTTAGAGGAGAAAGTACCTCCTATACCTCATTATTTCACGTGTTCCATGCTTCAAGGCGTTGTTTGATGATTATCCCCCTGAATTTCGTTCCATTTCTTTTCCAAATATCACATGTGCATATCAATTGCCAATTTGACATGATGGGAGAGATTCTACTCCGTAGCTCGTTGGCAGCTGTCGTACCACAAACTGCTTGAAAGCACTGGAATGCGAGGGGAATCTAACCGAAAAAAAAAACAAGAATCAATAAAAAAAAAAGAAAATGAGCCTGGCAGCGCCCCATAGCGGTAAAACACGCCGGGGCCGAAATCCAAAGCCTCACTTGCGCTCAGCTGAGCTTCAGCTGTCCTTGACCTCGAACCAACAGCATATTGACACCTTTAACCTACCTAGTACTCAAGGTACCTAGATTCGCATCTAAGGTACCTTACCTTACCTTGGTTGGTGTTATTTCGCATTGCCTTTCGAGTACAGCATGTACTAATCTCATCAATAACCTCGTATACTATACCTCGTAAGGAGACTTGAATCTGCCCATTCATACCTTCTACTCACCCGTATATTCTTTTCTCTACCATGATCTATACAGCCCCTTGTCTACTTGATGTACATGTATTATTCCATCCTTAGTACGCACATCACATAGTAACAGCCCAATCCTTGTAATCCCGCAACCTCCCAGGGCTGAACCCGTCGGACATGACCTCACTCTCCAAACGCAAATCCACGATACCTTCAATGCCGAACAAGGGGGGGGTTGGGGGGGGGGGGGGGGGGGGGGTTTTCCAAAAAAGCCCGATGCGGGAAAAAAAAAAAAAAAAAAGGGGGGGCATACGTAAGAACCCTCCTCCCACCCATGCATCCCCAGGCAACAGAACGACAAACACAGCGGAAACTGCGGGAAGACGACTCCAGATGAATTAGTACATTGATACAGCAGTAATCATAATAAGGTACTCCATACCTACGGTACCTTACTTAGTAGTATCGAATGTACCATCGAAACCCGGGATCGCGTGCCCTCCCCCGCCATCAAATCCCATCGCAAACACAATTTATGAAACGGAAGAAAAGGGGAGGAAGAAGAAGAAGCAGAAGGGGAGAGGGGTGTATGTAATCCTGATTTTTGTGGGGGAAACGATACAAAGAAACGCCAACTTCCATCTCACCTCTTTTGCCTGTTTCTCTTTTTTCTCGAACGGTTCCGCGTTTGTTCGAAGCGTATTATCGTTCGGATAACCGCTGCCGTGCTCCGGCACGCCGGTCCTCTTTTAGTTTGCAATTTTCGGTTTCACTTAGAGATACATGAGGTATGTAAGGTATGTACATGGCTTCACGTACAAAGTAGACAAAGGTGAAAGAATCAAAGACCAGGTGTATACAAGGATGATCCATGGCGCGGCATTGTAAATCGCCGGGATTCCGTGGATGCGTGTATTCTTCTATTCGACCTTCGCACGAATTCCCTCTATTGGTAGTCATGGAAGGGAACAATAAAGCAACACCTTCACACGCCCCTTATTAATCTATGGAGTTAAAAACACCGGTGTTCATAGTCGTAGTACTGCTGCCTTGGGAGACCACCCTCCGCAGATTCCGAAGCTTGTAGAGGGTGATTAATATGTGACGACGGTTCAAATGTCGTTGTTTCCCTTTCCGAATGACTTTCCGGTTGCAACGAGGCACAAATGTCTAGCTTTTTGTTGGACTGGAGCAGCAGTTGATTAGAGGGAAGAGTGGTCTGTCCAGTAGAAGAGTAGACGGCTGTTGCTTTCAGCTCATCTCTGCTACCAGTACTAGACTTCAGACTTCTAGTCAGATGAGCCATTCTCCGAGGATGATATTCAGAGATTCTTCATCCCACTAACATCCAAAACAACAGAGAAACAGAAAAGCTTCGCAGTACTCCGTACAGACAATGCCGCTTTCAACATAGCAGTACCTTTGGTGTATCGGTATATACATCAGCAATAGATCCCATCCCACCATCACCAAGCTATAGACTCCCCCCGAGTTCCCAGGAGGCGTAAACTTGCCCCCCCTTCTTACCCCTCCCTCCCGTCGTCATCTCGTTCAAGTCTCGGACGCTGTTTTTATGCCGTCTAAATATCCCATTTGCCGTCGTATGTTATGAACAAAAGGGAATTAGAATTCACGGGAATTCTCTCATCTTCCTCTTCCTCCCCCCCTCTTTTTTGTCGTCACCTTCTTTGGCGTCCCCCCTTTCCACGATATATCCCATTCTGAGTACCGAAGATGCTGTAATGAAATGCAACACAAACGTAAAAAGGTAACGTGGTAAGACAAAAGACTATAGAACAAGATTAAAAGGCTTTCGACTAAATTACTCGCCAGATAGGACAGAGAGAAGAAAGAAGCACCCCTCGTGCTGTGACTGAAGAAATAGAAGAAAGCTGTAGACAGAACAACAAAGTTGGCAGCCAGAATAAAGGGTGGGCCACAAAGAAATAGGGGCCATCTATCATTAATCCACGTCGTCGTCATTCACTTCGGAGCTCGGGCTCACCACCCGGCTGTTGTTGCCGCTGCCGCTGCCCGCGCTGTGCTGACTCCCCTGGCGTAGCATCCCGCTGGCGCCGCCGCGACCCCACGGCCGGGTGTTGGTTACCACGCTCATCGCCACCCGCTCGGCTTCGCGCCGGCTGGCGGCCGTCTGCGAGCCGTGGCGGTTGGAATGGCTCTGCTCCTCCTCGTCCGTCTCCAGCAGGTCATCGTCCGGTGACGACGCGGCGTGGCCTCGCGGGCTTAGCCTCCGCATGGGCACGTCTTGCGAGCCGTCGGCGTACAGATTCGGGTCTCTACCCAGAATGCGATCCGCCTTGCTCGGGGCCCTCCTCGCGCCTCCGTTGACTCCGTTGAGGGGCCCACGGCCGTGGTAGTTGCCCGTGACGTCTGCCGTCGGCGACGGTATGTCGCCCCCGTATCCCCAACCCGCGTTCACCTCTCGCTGGCGCTGCTCCTCTCGCGCGTTCTTCAGCCTCTCGCGCTCGGCGACCCATTTGGGGTTGGGCTCCCAGTTCCAGCCGTCTCCGGTCGTGTTGCAGATGGGGAAGAACCACAGCAGCGGGCTGGGCCCCAGCAGGTGCAGCAGGTTCCGCTTCCAGCCGAGGTCAAACGCGTTGGGCAACTTCTCCGAGTCCTGCTCGTCGAGGTACTCCTCGTAGCGCTTGCGGCTCTGGTACCGTTCCAGTTCCTCGTAGGACATGTGCGCGCGCGGCATCGTCGGCTCCTGCGACCGCCGCTCCTCGCCCTCTTCCCGAGTCGTGATGCCCGGCAGCGCGGTGGCGTGAAAGTCGACAAACTGCCTCGCTTGCGGAATCCCGTTGGCGAGGCCCTGGGCCTGATGAAGCGTCCTCTTAACCGTCGACAGGTACCTCGTCTTCTCGAGACACTCAATCGTCGTCTGGTTCCTGCACGCCAGCATAATGTGCCACGTCGTAAAGGCACCAACCACGAGCCCGATGATGCCGCTCATGACGGCCAGCATGATGAAGTTGATGGGCAGCAGCGTGTCGAGATACTTATTGTCGTCCATGACCTCTGTCCAGAACCAGGTGCCGCTGACCGCGAAGCAGTAGAAGGAGAAGATGGTGGTGTAGATCAGGAAGAGGAGAAAGGGCTTGTAGTTGCGCAAGCCGATGCACGACGCCAGCCAGGGGCAGTGGTGGTCCATCTTGAGGACGCATCGTCGGCATGTCGAGCAGTGGTGCGTGCGATCCGGCTTGCGGGCCTGGCACTTCTTGCAGAACCGGATCTCGCCGTTGCTCTTGACCGTGAAGGACGTCGCCGTGCGGTGCTGGTTGCCGCTGGTCGGGAGGAGGCCGTAGCCGTCGTTGTTGGTTGTCGACCCGGGGTCGGTGAAGACGGCCGTCGTGTACGACCAGTTGAGCAGCAGATAGAGCAAGACGCCGAAGAAGGAGGATGTCGAGCCTGTGATTTGTATGCGCATCAGCCCTTGGTCAGCTCAAGCCTGTGACAGTATAACGTTGCCTTTTCTAGAAGCGCAGACAGCTCGTCCCTCATCTTTCTCCCCTTCTCCCTGCTTCTTCTCATTCTCCTCTTCTTCTTCCTCTGCTGCCGCTGCTGCTGCTGCTGCTGCCTCTGCTTCTTTTGAATCACCTACCTATCCAGCGGGTGCCATCACTCTGGCTCCCAATGCTCACCACCACCCAACACGCCCACGACGTCAAGCCATAGACAAACGCCAGCGGAAAGTACTTCGCCGTCATGCAACAAGCGCGCTCGAACCGGCGCGCCCAACGGAACGCCATGCTGGGATTGTCGCTAAACGACTCGTCTTCCATGAAGAACAGCTCCGCAGCCCGACAACTTTTCCCCCCTGGACGGTTCGTCTATCCGCTTATTGTGCGTTTCCTCGTGTGTGTGCGTTCAGGCCGATGCGATGCTGCTCCTCCGAGCGAGTGTTTTGTCCCTCGTTCGGTCTGTTGCGCTCTCTCGTCTTCTTTTTCCTCGTATGGGGGTTTATCGGTATCGATCAGGGTCAGTGAACCACGCGGCTCGGCAATCGAGATTGGCTGTGACTTGTCGCCTCGCGCATCTGGTGTCGCCTCGCTCTATGCAATCCGACCGGCTGATGCTGCGCAATCACGCATGTGCATGAATCAAGCACTCGGCAATGTTTGGTTCGGAGGGATCGTGACACCCGCAAAGGACGGAGCAAGAGAGAGAATGCAAGAAGTTGCCTTGAGCTTAGGTCATCCAGGGGCGCAGTTGGTTTCGGGATACTTCCCGAGTCGCCGCCTGAGCCTCGCGCGCTTTGCCCCGAACGGGCATCGGCATATTCTGGAAGCCGCAGCAGAAACACCGTCAGCTATCACGGGGTACCCCATCACTCCATAGGTACATATACCCTGGACTGCAAATGAAATGTTGCTGCTTTTGAACTGCATGGAAGGGAAATCGATAAACTGTGTACTCTTCTCGCTATCATTTGCTCGTCCTCAATGTTTCCCATCATTGAACGTCATGTCCTAACCGCCTAATACAGACTCAACATCTCCAGTCTGTTCTACAAAAAAAAAAAAAAAAAAAAGGGGGGAGACACCCATCAACCCCTGGTATCACACAAAAAAGAAATCCATCGCAGTACAGGAAGCTGTGGCTACAACTACCAGTAGACGTCATCTGGCACGGTACTGACGGGATACTTTGTCTTGTTTACGGTAGCCTCTCCACGCAGCTTCTGCTTGACCTGCTCCGAGGTCTTGAAGATGACGCTTCCATCCTGATACCGAGTTCTCTCGACGTCCACAAGGCCTGCCGTCAGCTGATCCATAAAGGCCTCGTAATGCTCCGTGTCTTGAATTCGACATCTGGAGCTTCGGGACTCGGCATGCGATGTGATGCCTGCCAGAGTCTTGAAGATGCGGAGGCAGTATGGGCATCTGTAGCTCTTGTTTCCATGGACTGGCGACCGGAGATGGCCGACAAGCCCCTTCGCTGATTTGAAAGTTTTCCTACGCGGCGTTAGTGGTTGCAACAAAGCCCCAGTCGCTCTGACGATATGTTCTTACCCGCACAGGCGTTTTGGGCAGTTGTATTTGTTAGAGTACACGCAGTAGTAGCGGGAGGCGTTGAATGACGGGCAGTCTGGGTCGTCGGGGTCCATTCCCGCGGTGACGGTGGACACTCCCGACCTGAAGGCTGGGCGGAGTGTCTGGACAGGGCTTGGGGTCCCGTCATCGTGGCCACGATTGTCCTCACTGCTGTCAAGGGTTCCGCGGTTGAGAAGGCGGATGGGAAGCTGAAAGGAAGCCGGGGCCTTTGGCTCGACGACAGCGACTGAGGCCGTCTCGACCCTTTTAGCAGGCCGGAATGGAAGCTGGAGTAATTGTTGGGTCTGGACGTTGCCATTGCCGTTACCACTACTCGGCTTCGACTTGCTCCACGATGTGGTCTCGGTCAGCTGAGCGCCACCATCTTCGGTATCCGATAGGTCTGGAAACTCTTCTTCAACAAACTTGAAGGAGGTTGGCTCCTTGTCAATGTGCCAGCCCGAGATTGTGCTTCCGGCAGTAGTCGACGGCATGTACTTGGTGTAGTTTCCCTTGACGGGTTCCTTTGTCAACTCCTGCAAGCGTCGGGGAAACTCGAGCTTCTCCTCTCGAAGTTCATCGAGTACGGTTGTATCAATGCGCGTGCAGAACCCTCGCTCGATGTGGTCAATGAGAGCACCCAGGCGCTTGAACGGTCCTTGACCACAGCCGGGACACTCCAGATTTTGCTCAAGAGGATGCTCCTGTCATCGCGATCTCCAAGGTCAAAAGAGATCCTGTCATGGCCATGCTCGGAATGACTCACCACCTGCATGTGTTTCATCTCGCCCTCCAGGGTGTGGAAATCACGGCCACACAGCTTGCAATGAATGTGGTCTTCCTTGTTCTCGTTCCGCATGTACCTCTTGTGCTTGATCAGGTCCTCATAGACGGAAAAGGGCTTGTTGCAATGCTTGCAGAACCAAGGGCCCTCGGAGAAGGGATGGGAATCCATTGCGTCCCAAGGCCAAGACTCGATCGACGTTGCTAGTTCCGAGCTTCAAAGGGAGTTGTGAGGAAAGAATATGAAAGGGCGTCGAAATGAAGCGGGATTGGATAAGGATTGAAGTTAAGCAGAAAATTGCGAAGAGCAGCCTCAAGGGACGCGGATATCAAGCAGGAAAGAGTGTGGCCTGAGGCAGACTCGGCCGGCATCGAGTCTCAAGGGCAGGAGCGCAGCTACAGTGAATCGGGGTGCAAACAGACGGGCGTTTGCTGGCACAATGATTCAGCACAGCACAGTCGAGCTCAACAATAGCCAGGCCCTCCTTATTGCCTGGTACAACACAATAGATGGGAAGAGAGAAGAGCACCTGGGACAAGGGCACGTGGGCTGATAGGTCGTTGTTGCCCTGATGATAGCATTCACCGGACTATGATTGAAGCTTGGCACAAGAGGTGTGGCCGGTGCCTTTTGAGTTATTGTAATACTAAGAGCTGAATCTCGGCTTCGAGCTTGAAAACTTGTGAAGATGAATCTGAAGTCATATGTCAAGTAGATTAAAGCCACGAGAATCTTGACTGTCAACTAATGGTCGTCGTCCGAGTCGCCATAACCCGCCTCGACTTCCTCGTCTTCCCCAAAGCCAACGGTCCCCATCCCTTCTTCCTCGTCAAAGCCCTTCTCAATCTCACCGTCGTCTTCATCGTCGTCACCATCATCGTCTTCCTCATCGTCATCGCTAGCAGCTTCAGAGTCCTCGCTCTGGTCCATCCTATCGAGGATGCTGACTTCCTCAGCTTCCGCATCCACATCCACTTCTGCGTCTGCGTCTGCGTCTGCATCGGCATCGGCATCATTTGGCGCAACAGACGACTGTTCTTCTGTATCCACACCCATTTTGGCGCGAGGACGGACCCTCACGTTATACACCTGGCTCTTCTTCTTCTTCGACGGCTCCCGACCCCGGAGTAGCGTAAGCTCTTCCTTCGTGAGGTGCAGATTGGGCAGTGGCAGATGAAAGGTGGCCGAAGTTGACCGGATAGGCGTCTGGTCTCCGCATTGCAGCGTTGGGGCAAAGTCCTCCTTGGTCAGGCGCCGACCGAACTGGATCGCCACGAGCTTCGTCTTCATGATGGCCTTGACTTTGGCCCACAGCCCCCCGTGATACCACCCACTGCTTACATCCCAGGTTGGACGCACCTCTGCATTATCCAGCAGCTCCCGGAGCAAGGGGTCCGTGATATCACACACCTGCCACACCTTACCATCGGTATGGTACGTCTCTCCGTCAAAAATGTGGCTGGCCGACAACTCCTGAACAAATTCCTTTGTCCGGCCCATCTGAACCCTTCGCAGGGATTGCCAGGTCTGGTCCTTCTTTGCTCTCTTCTGCTTAGGAAGCTTGAACATGAGGGTCTGGTAGATGCGGTACTTGGGGTCAGTTCTAGGGTCGATTCCATACGGCACGACTCCGTCTCGCCACGGTCCACCCTTGAACTGGTAGGCCGTATAGTTGAGGTACTTTTTCAGCTCATTCCAATTTCGGAGCTTGCCGGCAAGGTGGTTTAACAGAGACCGCCGAGTCCAGACCGGCCGATCTTCGAATGCCTCCTCGAGCTGAGCAATAACTTCAACCATGCGAGGATCTGTCATGTCGGGTGGGATTTGGGGGCCGGTGGGGGCGGGATCTTCTGTCCCTATAAAGTGACCAACTTGCTTGACGGCAGTCGTGTTGACAGTGCCGCCATCTTCCGTCAATCGAACGTATGGGTTCTGTGAGTAGAAGTAGTTGAAGGGCAAGCTCATGTGGGTGAAGATTGGTGGTGGTATGATGTCCACGTTGGGACCCTGATCGATGCCAGGGGTAAACTTGAACTGCTTGATCTTGTCGACTACAGCCGTAGTCAGTTAATAAGTCACCTTTCAAAGAAGACCAGCAGAATGAAGAGAGAAGAATACCATCTCCGGAAAGGACTTGATCGACATATCTCCGCGCGAACGATGATTTGTCCATGTCCCAGTAAAAGTCAGCCAGGCCTCTGAAGCGATGAGTGTGCTTGATCAAGCCCACGGCCTCGACATGATATCTGCCAACGTTGTCCTCGAGCTTTCGCCTCAGAAGTCTTGGGTCATCGCGACGTGCTACAGACTGGACGTTTTCTGAAGCTGAAGCTGAGGCGTCAGTGCCTTGGAGATCCATGTCTCCTTGCCATGGCCCATCCGTCCCGCGTTTACGCTTCCTCCCCGTCCTCTTGGGAACGGTGATCTTGAGGACAACGTTGTGAGACCTTGCGTTATGCGACATGATGGGCGGGCAGAACGGCTCCTCTGGATTGATATACAGTGGTATTGAGTTTCTGAGGGGATCCAGGACCTAGCAAGGCATCCATCCCGATGAGCAAGGATATATATGACACGAAGGCGAGATACAGCAACAAACTTACATGCCGCAGAGAGGGTGCCCTGCCAAATGCTCTGACGGCCCTGTCAATGTCTTCGACGACGGCCGGAATCTCAACGGCCGTGAGCTCCCTCGGCGGTATGACATATCGCGGCGCGCCACCATCCTCGCGGCCGGTGTCTCGAGTCGTGCCTCTGGTGATGTCTCCCGAACTGGCGCTGCCGACGCCCTCTTGGCGAGGCGTCTCCATGGCGAGCAGATCTCTGGTTACGCCCAAAGATTGTAGTGGAACTTTATTGTTCCCGGCTTGTGAAGCTTATCTCATCAATTGCAGCTTCTGGATGAATGCCGAAAGAAGAAAAGAGACGGGACCCAGACTTGCCAGACCCCTGCATTAAAGCTGCTGGAAAAGCTCCCGCTGGCGAAACACTCTGAATGAAACGACTGGACCTCGCGCAAGGTACTACGAGTGCTTGGTGCTTTGTGCACAGTGCGGTGAAGTGGCACGCGGCAGCCGCTAAAGGAGGCCCAAAATTAGGAGGTACGTAATTTACGCATCACGCGCTGTTTGAGAGCTGGGCATCTCCCTTCCGATTGGGCAGAATCAGGGACCATGGTACGGTGCGGTGGTATTGCAAACACTGTACATACAGAGACTCAGGACGGGACCCTTGTTGTCAGGGAGCTTGGGCACTGCAATTAGATAGGTACCTAGGTACCGCCAGGGCCGTCTGGTATGGCCTTGCACAGAGCGTCCGGGTCCCTTACACGACAATCCCTGTTGGGATCAAATCAAATCAAGGCAAATCAAAGCAAATCCGAAAGACACATGGCCATTGAGCGAACGGTATATCGTTGCGTCTGCTGCCTCGTCTGCTTTCGCAATCAACTGACTGAGCCCAAGTCAGTGCTCAGCAACCAGCAGAGCCCAAGGTACCCGGCCTCAGTCCAGGTGCGCATCGCCATAGCGACCCGGCAATTCAGCCCCTACAGCCCCTACAGCACAGTACAGTTTTGAGGTCCACGGGTACAGGCGCAGCGCTGGAGCCCCTACAAACCGGGCCCCCAACTCCACTGACCGGATCGCTCAGCAGGTCCCCGGCCGCCGCTGCCAGCATTCAGGTTCAACTGGAACTCCCCACTGCTGGTCGCTAAGGCGCACGCAGGCTCCGGGCAGGCTCACTTGAGGTTCCACGTTCCACGAGACTCGACCTGGACTCTTCAGCACCTCAAACCTGAACCGCAACTCCCCCGCGTCCACGCCTCTCGACGGCCAACCTCCAAGCTGCCGTCTGCTGCTATTGCTTGCCGTCTGCTAGTGGTAGCTCCAGTCCAGCCCTCTGCTCCCGATCCCGAGCGCGCTGCCCAGCTCCCAGCCCGCCACTGACGCTCTCTACTCATTCTCCGTCTTAACTTATCGGCCGCTCTTCATCTCTATCCCAGCTCCTTTGCGATTTCTCTCGCGGGCGACAGCAGCACCACGGGCGGAATCAGCGGCCAGCCATCGCCTCTCGACGCCGACACCGCGCGACCTGCCGACAATTGGTCACCCCCGACGCAATCCCACGTCCAATCCAGGCTCAGCTGCTTGGCCCGACTGCCATCGCACCGCATCGACCCCCCTGCCTCTTTGCTGTCCCCGACCAGCTCCCTAAGACCCGCGTTCCTGCGTCTGGACGAGCCTCGCTGTCTCTCCCACGTCGAAGCCGTCGCCCACCACAAGCCATCGAGGGAGTCAAAAGAGCCTTCTTCGCCTCTGCCCATCAGCATCTCCATCTGCAAACACGCGCCTTTCGTGCTCCGACGCCGTCGTTTGCCCCCGGCATAGCTGGCGTTGCCCCCTCCCCCTTCGCCTAGACTCGCCTCACCCTCCGCTCCGCATCCCGACTGTGTTGCCTTACTACCCCACTGCGGCTACGGAGTTGGCTGGACGGCCTCCGGTCTTCGATATAGTTATCCCTGAGCAGCGTTGCCAGTCACGATGAAGCGATTCAGCCAGAGAGTGGTAAGTTCCCCTCCCTCGATGCCTGGTGTGCGCTCGCGCCAAGCGCTGCTGGCATATCCCCTCCTCCCCCCTTTGCCCAAGCTGTTTGGCAGCTTCTGATGCGGAATTGTCCACTAGCTCTCGCGAGGCAAAGATGCCGCCAAGTCCTCCAAGAAGAATAAGGATTCCAAGGATGGAACTTCGTCCCCCTCGTCCCGAGACTCCAACCAGTCCCCGAATCTGACCCCGTCGTCGTCGACATCAACCCTCAACGACCTCCGCAACAAGCCGCTGCCGCAAAACACGGGCCATGGAGGCGATCACGGCGGTGCCAACCAGCCCTCTGGCTCTGCTGGCGGTTCTCAGCAGAGCCTCGCCGACCGATTTGCGTCTCTCGGCAGCAGCGCCAGCCCCAACGGCGCCAATGCGGCGGGTAGAGGACCTCCAACTGTCGTCATCAGCCCGACACCTGGTGTAAGTATCTGCTCGACCCTCCGCGTGGTTGCTCGCGACTCCTCATGCTGACGATTCACCCCCTCCTGCTAGCACGTCCCTCCACCCGGTGCCACCGAGACGATGCCCCATGAGCTGGCGCCCCCCAAAGCTGGCCAGAAGTCACTCATGATCAACCGCATGGACAACCGAGATGCTATTCCAGAGGGTCTGCGGACGCCGAAGCGGCAGCACTCCTCCCGCTTCGACATCTCCGCCCACCGCGAGCTGGAAAAGCTTCCGGGCTTCCACGAAGTGCCGCCTAACAGGCGCCAGGAGCTGTTTATGCAGAAGATTGATCAGTGCAATGTCATCTTTGACTTCAACGACGCTAGTGGTGACATGAAGGCCAAGGAGATCAAGCGGCTAGCTCTCCACGAGCTGCTGGACTACGTTGCCAACAATAGGCAGGTTATCACGGAGCCCATGTATCCCAGGGTCGTCGACATGTTCAGCAAGAACCTCTTCAGACCAATTCCGCCCCCGCTGAACCCCCAAGGCGAGGCTTTCGATCCGGAGGAGGACGAGCCCGTCTTGGAGGTCGCCTGGCCGCATATTCAGGTCGTCTACGAGTTCTTCTTGCGCTTCATCGAGAGCCAAGACTTCAACACTAACATTGCTAAAGCCTACATCGACCACAGCTTTGTGTTGCAGCTGCTGGATCTCTTTGACTCCGAGGACCCTAGGGAGCGAGACTTTTTGAAGACGACACTGCACCGCATCTACGGCAAGTTCCTCAACCTGCGATCGTTCATCAGGCGGTCGATCAACAACGTCTTCTTCCAGTTCACCTACGAGACTGAGAGGTTCAACGGTATCGCCGAGCTCTTGGAGATCCTGGGCTCCATTATCAATGGTTTCGCCTTGCCTCTGAAGGAGGAGCACAAGATCTTCTTGACCCGAGTCCTGCTGCCGCTGCACAAGCCCAAGAGCCTGAGCATGTACCACCCCCAGCTCGCATACTGTATTGTCCAATTCTTAGAGAAGGATGCATCACTCACCGAAGACGTAAGAAGACACTGCCCTGCTACAAGCCGCTTGGAAATGGCGTTGCCCTTATACTAACTGAAGACGGTGCATAGGTTGTTCTCGGACTGCTGCGCTACTGGCCAAAGGTTAACAGTACAAAAGAAGTCATGTTCCTAAACGAGGTTGAAGACATCTTTGAAGTCATGGACCCGGCTGAGTTCGCCAAGGTCCAGGAGCCGCTGTTCCACCAGCTTGCCAAGTCCGTCGCCAGCCCGCACTTTCAGGTCGCAGAGCGGGCGCTGTACTTTTGGAACAATGAATATTTCTGTAACCTTGTCAGTGACAATGTGGAGATTATTCTCCCCATCATGTTTGCGCCCCTCTACGAAAACTCAAAGGGCCACTGGAATAGGTATGTTGATGACAACGCTTACTGCTCGCAAACGAGTGGCAACTTGATGGGAACTAACGCAAGCGCAGAACGATCCACGGCATGGTTTACAACGCTATGAAGCTCTTCATGGAGATCAACCCTCAGCTCTTTGACGACTGTTCGCATGACTATACGGAGCAGCAGAACAGCGCGGCCGCTCGAGAAGCACTGCGAGAGCGAAAATGGGCCGCCCTAGCTCAACAGGCCGACGAGCGGAGAGCGGCGATGGGCTTGAGCCCTGCTGCGCAGCCTGGGAGGGCTCAGGGAGGGAACCTCCCCCCATTGGCAGAGGTTGATCCCGCCGCCGAAGACAACCAGAAGCGCCTCGACTCGCTAAAGCTCCAAGACGCCACCAGTCAACAAAACACTCATGAGCGACAAGCCTCAGTAGGGTCTACTCGAAGCAGATAGCCTTGGTGTGATCAACAAGCCCTCTCTTGAAACTTGATGCCTGCTGGCTTTCCTTCTCCTTCCATCCAAGGGCCCTCCACCTTCGCTATCATTATTCTTTTGGCCAGCATGAGTCTGTTATGAAGGCTTCTCTAGAAGTACCGTTATTGTAGGTGCTGAGGGTATTTATCTTGGCCCTTCAGGAGGTTTTCTCCCGAGGGCGGTTTTTGGATGGCAGATTAACGTCAGGGCTGGAGCCGGGGCCATTGGGGTAAACGCTTTCAGAGGTCTGCGCAGGGGGCTTTGTTCAAGTAATGTTGATGATTCTTCTCTCCTTTTTCTCTTTTCTTTTGTGTTCTTTTCCATGTTTTATCTGCATAGGCAGATTTTGCAAAACACCGATATTGAGCAGGAATCGTGTACAACGGGGTCGATCCAATAATTATTTTTCCTTCCAGTCCCTTTTCATTCTTTTCCTTGACTACCTACCTCATGTTTACTGCTCTTTTCTAAAAGGGAATGTGAGAATGGATAGAAGCACAGTGAGCAACGTCCTCTGTGGAACATGGAGCCGAATAGAGAGAGAGACTTAGCAAGAGAAAACAGTGTTTGTTTGCACAGACTAGGACTGGGTAACTCGAGGAAAAGGGATGAGAGCAGGAAAAGAGATTGAAAAGCGGTCTGTGGTTACAAAAGCGGGCCAAGACCGAGTAAAAACCGATAGGACAGTCTTTGATCGCATTCAAAAGTTGTGTGTTTTTCTTTTCTTTCTAGATTGTAGGCGGTGAGGTTGACGCATGAGCGGATAATAGAAGTTTTGGGTCTTTGGGTCAGTGGACAAGGGGGGGTGGTTACAGCTTGTGCGTTGGGTGTGTAGTACTGTTTACCTAGTACTTGAATAGATCATTTGCTTTTGTCCTCGAATAGACGGTGCACTTTGTACTCCAAGTTCGAGTCGTAATTTTTAACAGCTTCTAGCAGGTTCCAGCTGATTGTAAGATGCAATCTAGTCATGCTCTGCTATGGAAGGTAGGTAACCCCGTGAGGCCTACGAGGCCACGTCTTATCACGTACCAGTACTTCAAGTCTAAAAGACCACAGTTTTTTACTTGATATTCCCAGACAAAGGCCTAAGGTATTCGTCATATCACCTAAAACGCCCAGTAAATGTGAATTGGTGTCCTTCGAAAATAGAGGAGGTAGAGTGAGATTTATCAATGCTGCCCTCGGTAGCTGCCGTGGCCGTAACCGCCTCTTCCACGGCCCCTATAGCCGCCACCACCGTTGCCGCGTCCATATTGGTTGTTGTTGTTGTTGTTGTTGTTGTTCTGCTGGTTTGGTGGTAGTGGTGGCGGCGGCGGCGGCACGGATCCTGTAGGAAGTTGATTCATGCTCATCAGGTGAGCCATCAACTCCGGTGGAGGGGGGAAAGGAGGTGCCCACTGCGGCGGCGGGAATCCTCCCAGGGGAGGAGGTAGCGGTGGTGGGACGGGAAACGGAAATGCTAAGGGGTTAGTAGGCGGAAGAGGAGGAGGGGGATGTGTAAATGGAATCGGTGGCATAGAGGGAGGTTGAGGAGGCTGAGAAGATCCATCAGCATACTGACGGAACTTCGAGTTGGGTTGCTCGTTGACGCCGTGTCTCCTGTGCGAACTTCGACTGCGGCTGTCACGGCTGGGACTGCTCCCGCGATCCCGACCTCGAGAGCGGCTGGGACTGCGGCTTTGGCTGTAGCTTCGACTGCGGCTGCGACTTCGACTTCGGCTACGGCTGTAGGACCGGTCCCGTTGTCTGCTGCGACTTTGGGAGCGCGAAGACAGTCTGGGGCGTTTGAAAGAAGGCGGCGATGAGCTCCGGGATCGGCCCCGAGAGAGGCTTCTTGACGTTGACCTTGGTCGCGATTTTGACGCGGACCGTGAACGCTCCCCAGACTGCTTCTTCCGCCTCTCCCTCATCCGCTCGCAGAATTGGCGAGACCAGCCGTAGTAGCTGTCTCCTCCGATAACCTCCCCCGTGATTTCGTCGAAAAAGATGCGCTCGCCCATCTCACTGTAGCCCGTGTGTACATCGTCGCTCGGCTCGTTCCCCTTGGAGTATATGTAGTCTGCATCCTTCAGCAGCGTCTTGACTGCATCCACGACTCGCTTCTCGGCTGGGCCCGCCGCCAGTTGAATAGGGCGGATCTGGTCAGGAATCATGGGCCTAGAGGAGTTCGGCGTGATGTGAGGCAACCAGGTTCCGGCAGGCAGATCATACCACGGGATGGAAGCGTCTCCGTGGAAGGAGGGCAGGATGTAGGGGGCGTCCTTGGCGAGCTTGAGCGAGGTCTCGGAGAGCTCCAGGTTCACGGCAGTCATCTCGGCAGAGCCATTGGACAGAGCTGTGCGCAGCTGAGCAATCACCTCGGGCGCAAAGTACGCCTTCTCCTCCCACAGATCAATCAGGCCACTGAGCTTGGTCTTATGCCTGGGGCAGTTGTCGAAGGCCGCCGCGTTCCCCATCATGGCGGGCAAGACTCCCGCCCACGCCTCTGCCAGCTTGCGGCTGCCCTGGCGCACAACCTGGTGGTAGAGAACATCATTGACGATATAAAGAAGATGCAGCCTCCGCCTCTTGGCGCTGGGACGCTTCCCGTCAGCGTCCACGACCAGGTTCTTCGACAACATGGCCCAGAACTTGCCCAGCGCCGTGCAGCGCGCCGTGGAGGGCACAATGTTGTCGACGATCCAAGCCTTGCATTTCTGCCCAGCGAAGTTTTTAGCAATTTGAGCGCCGCTTGTGAGCGCATTTGTGACCAAAAGCGCCTGCGAGCAATGAATGGGTCAAACCTGGACGTTCTGGCGAGAGCACTGGACGATGGCCTTGTCTAGCAGCGAGAAGAAGTCGTCGACGGCGGCGCGGTTCAGCGAGGTGGGATCGGCGCGGAAGAGAGTCGCCGACAGCGTGGCCTTGGTGATGGCCAGCTCAGGCGAGGCCATGGCGGGCGGGAGGAGGAGGCCCCAACAGGGTGCAGGATGATGGGGTTGATCTGCCGCGGCTTGTAATATTGAGTGAGGGTGGCCGAGAGAGAGAGCTCGAGGCTGTTCGCGACATGGAAGATTGCCGCATGGCGCGGGAAAACCTCGGAAGTGCGACCTTAGCTCGTGAGCTTCGGAACGAGCTCCATGACGCACGGGGTTGCGGGAGCTTGGATGAGAAACAATTGACGATGCCTTGGCCGGGGAGAATCGACGTGAAGTTATCTCAGGGTAGAAATGGAAGAATGATGTGTGTTGGTAAGCCTGGTCGATCGCTGACTACCCAAGGGAAGGCAGCGAAGGGGAAACACCGAGAAATCATACCCTCTACGGAAAAGCATGACATAGGAATGGCCTCATTTTCAGGGTCCAGTCGTCCATATGCCAAGTACCTACCGATTGTGTGGTGAATCCTTTCACTCCAGAAACTGCACCTTCAACCTTGACACTTGTCGCTGTTAGTTGTCACTCCCTTTATTTCACTTGAGTGGAGTTTCGCAAACAGTACTTTTCTCGTCAGTGTGCGGAGCGACGACTATATAACCCTGTCAAGGGCGTTATGTTACACCATGATAATATACAAGGCCAGCATGAATTTCCAGCATAAACATCCTTAAGATGAGCTCCTCATTTGCACCCTCCTTTTCCCCCCATTCTCTCCGCCTCTCTAGCTGAACCTGTCCCCTTTCCGGGCTCGATACGGCGTATCGCTCTCGTATTTGCTTTTCTCGGTTATGCGCTGAGACTCTGTCGCCGGGGCATGCCTCGTTGCCGCAGGATCGTTGCCGGCTTCTTGGCTCGGGGAACCCGCGTTGTCGGTCCTTGCAGGGCCACCGTTGCTCGCTCCAGATCCCGCAGAGGACATGGCCGCCTCATATTCCAGGGCCTTGTTTGCTGCGATCTTCTTGTGGTGCGCCTCGAGCTTGGCCTGGCGATCAGCCCGAATTTGCTGCTTGGCGAAGACGTATGCGCCGGCACCGGCTGCGCGTGACTGGTCAGCTGAGAGAGCTGGTAAAAGGAGAACAAGAGACGTCTGCCTACCAACACAAAGGGAGCCCCATCCCAGCCTGAGACGAAGGAGAGCAAAAAAAAGAAGCCTCTGGTTAGCAACTGTCGGGCGTTGAAAGCAGTGACATGCGGGTATGGCGGGCTAGTATTACCAGAAGGATTTCACCTGTGCAAACTAGAGTCAGTCGAACGCTCGGGATCCAGAGCCGGACGGAGAGGCACCTACAGTGTTCATCGTGGCGGTATTCTCGATTGATTCGTGCTGATGGCAGGATTGCGGTGAATGTGTTCGAGGCAGCTTCGGGTATCCGAACAAATCTCGCGGGCGGTGGAGACGGAAGAGATGGCAGTTGATGCTAGGAGAGCCAAGTCGTCCGATCCAAAAAGCTTAGCCGGCGGCGATGCGCCTGGACCGCGCGATTGGCCCGGCGCTGCGGCGCTGCTGCCAGTGGTTTCGGCACGGCTCTTCAGTGGCCTGAGCGCCCAAATCCCAGCGCGCAGCCGCCTGTGGCTCACACTGTACAGGGGCATCCTTGCCGAGATCCAATTTGCAGTGCTAAATTGCCAGGCCCAGCCGTTTCCTGGATATGACATAGATCATCCGCACCCTCCAAGAACACGCAAGCACCAGCCTCAAAGCCAAAAGCTTGACCACCGCAGCAGCTGCAGGAGAGGCCCCCTTTTCCTCTGCATGCTCTTTGTCCTCGTCGACCCAGCGGTCTTCATGCTTGAGCTGTTCTGCGAGCAATTTGCTTGCGCCAGCGATGCTCTTGTGTCGCATCTCGCGCTCGATCCCGTCTGAATAGTCCGGCCTCGTCACCGCGATCTCAAACCGCCCCTCCATCATCCTCTCCCCCCCCTTTCGGACCGCACCGATTCTCACCGGCCACGCGAGGACTCGACGCTTTCGTCACCTCTCGATTTCTCTCTGGTCGCCTGTTCTTGAGCTTTACGAGCAGCTTATTCCACCTCTTGGTGCGCGTATGGTCTTCTAGAGGAACCGTAGTCGTGGGTGTAATGGGTGATTTTGCCCAGAACCCCACCGAACAGAAACCATGTCTTCCCCCAACATAGAGCAGACAGAAGGCAGCGGGCCTGATGGCTCTTCCATCGTGAGTTATCCCCAACAGCGCGAACGGCCTCATATACTGATACCATGTCGTCATCACCAGAGGCCCGTCTCGTCCCTCCTTGCTCGATTCGAGAATATGAACAAGACCGGCCCGTCGCAACCCCAGCCTGCTTCCGCTCCCGCTGCTGCTCCGGTGCCCCCTCAGTCGCGCAATGCCTCGCCGGGGCCAAAGCCGGAGCGGCTCAAGAGCCTCAAGCCGGCGCAAGAGATCCCGACAGCTCCCGCCAAACCGTCGAACCTGAAAGACCGAGCTGTCGCAACGGCATCACCAGCAAACCGAGATCGGGGGCCCCCGGCGCCACCGCCTCCTCTCTCTACGCGGCCGCCGCCTGCCGTGACGAAACCACCAGTGCCCATTCACCCGCCTGCAGTCACGGTCCAGCCGCCACAGTCGCCCCCTAAGCCCGCGCTAAATAGTCTTTCCGGGGAGCAATCGCCGTTCCTCGACCCCGTCACCGTATCTTCTGCGACGTCGAGCCGATCCCCTACGCCGCTTAGAATATCAAGTCGACCGCTCAGTCCAACTGGCAGTGGTGGTGGCGGTGGTGGTAGTGGTACTGCGACGCCCCGATCTCCCAAGCAAGGCTCTTCCAAGGCTCCATCGCCGCCGCCTCCCAGGCGATCAGGCGAGCTGAAGCGAGAGAAGGAATGGAAACCTGCGCCGCCGCCGCCGCCTGCGCCGCGATCAGAGAGGACGTTGATGAGGGCAAATACCGTGATGGAAACGAGAGGCAGGCCGGCAACGAAGAAGGCCAATCGCTCTCAAGAGTCATCCCCTTTCAACGGCGACGCGAGAAACCCCGAGCCCAGGTTTGGAGACAATCCTCCAGAGCTGCCCATGCGACCCAGGCCGCAGCAACAGAGCGATGCGCCCAGTAGGACAAAGCAGCTCGCAGGAGCATTCGAGCAGCCCGCCACAGCCCCCCGCCCTTCCATGTCCGTGCGGAAACCAGCACGAGAGGGAGAGGTCAATGGCATTGCCAGGGCTCCCATCACCCCTCAACTGACAGGCGACGCTCGCCCTGCCCTGCCAGCAAGGCCTCAAACCACCGACATACCCCCTCAGCCACCAGCAAATAACGGAATCAGGCCACCTCCTAAACCTCCGCGGCCGGCGGGGCCAAGCAGCACGCAGACCATTGCTCCTTCATCTGTTTCTCAACCACAGCCTCCTGCATCTAACCCGAATCGCGTCGTTTCCAATCCGCTGGCGCAACAAGCGCCCCAAAAGGCGCAAGCACGTACCAAGACAATGGACATAGGGGTAGCAGAGCATGCCGTTTCGGATGCTCGTACTTCTTCAGTACCGGCCGCAGCGCCAGTAGTCAAACAGGCACCAGCGCCCACCACGAATGAGGGGATCGTAGCAAGATCTGAGCCCCCAAATCAAATCACGACGTACCCCGACAGCTCGAGCATCAACCGGCGGCCTCCCTACATCAAGAAGGGCTGTTACGACATCCAGCCAAAGTATGATCCTCGCTTATTCGACGTTTGCGGGCAGTATGTCTGCACCACCGGCCCCTTGACTCGAGTATGGAGCCTCCTAGACGGAGAACAGCTCGTCAGTCTGGCGCATACGGAGGGTGTCAAGGCAACTGCTGTGTCTTTCAAGCCCTCTGCGGACCCCGACCACGAAGGCTCCAAGGTGTGGATTGGGACTAACCTGGGAGAGATTATGGAGATTGAGGTGCCGACACAGCGCATACTGATCTGCAAAGCGGGTGTTCATGGGAAGTCGGAAGTGACCAAGATATTTCGACACCTCAACGAGATGTGGACTGCTGACGAAGGCGGCAATCTCCACGTCTGGGGGCCCGACGCCGATGGAGAACCAAACCTGAACAACTACCCGCACCAGACGTTCAAGATACCCAAGGGAGAAACCTTCTCGATGGTCGTTGGGGATGAGCTCTGGCAGGCGACTGGAAAGCAGCTACGCGTGTTTGCTCCCACTCGAGACAACCGCACCCCATTCCAGGTGCTGGTACGACCAGTCACGGTTGAGGGAGCTGGGGACATCACTTCAGGGACGCTGCTGAAGAGCTACCCCGGCAAGGTGTTCCTGGGGCACGCTGACGGGAAAATCAGCATCTTCTCCACATCCGACTATTCTTGCAAAACGATCGTCAACGTCACCACCTGGAAAATCAATACACTCGCTGGCGTTGGCCAGTACCTCTGGGCAGGATACAACACAGGAAAGGTGTGTGTCTACGACGTGGCTCAGACGCCGTGGGTGGTCTTGAAGGAATGGCAGGCGCATGAAAACACAGTTCTCAAGATGAAGGTGGACTTCGCCAGCGCGTATCAGTTGGATCAGTTACAAGTCGTCTCTCTGGGTGCAGATAGCCGGATTAAGGTGTGGGACGGTCTGTTGCAGGATGACTGGCTCGAGGACGAGATGAAGTCCAAGGACACGACATATTGCGACTTTGAGGAGATCAAGGCGTTGGTCTTTACGTGGAATGCCGGCGCTTCCACCCCCCATAGTCTCCGCTACTCTGACGGCGACGCCACCTTTTTCCAGAACCTCTTGCAATCGAGCGGCTCTCCCGACATCTTGGTGTTTGGTTTTCAGGAGCTGGTGGACTTGGAAGACAAGAAAGCGACTGCTAAGCGGCTGCTCAAGTCCAAGAAGAAGGAGGGCCCAGACCAGGAGCGAATGAGCCACCAGTACCGAGACTGGCGAGACTTTCTGATCAAGACGCTCGACGATTACATGCCGGCAGATCACTTGTATCACCTGCTCCACACTGCCCCCATGGTGGGACTCTTTACTTGCGTATTCGTAAAGTCATCGCTAGGAGGCAGGATCACGCAAGTCAGGGGCGCAGAGGTGAAGCGAGGCATGGGAGGTCTGCATGGCAACAAGGGCGCCGTTGCTGTTCGCTTCCAGGTGGACGACACGTCCCTCTGTTTCGTCAATTGCCATTTGGCAGCTGGCCAAACGCAGGCCAGCTCCCGGCATAACGATGCAGCGGCGATCCTCGAAGCCAGCCTGTTCCCAGAGGAGCGAGATTCCGAGGTCCGAATCAACACCTTCAGCGGTGGTGGAGACGGCTCCTTGATTCTCGATCACGAGCTTTGCATTCTCAACGGCGATCTCAACTACCGCATCGACACCATGTCGCGAGATACGGTAGTCAAGGCCGTTGAGCAAAACAACCTGGCCAAGCTCCTCGAGCGAGACCAGCTGCTTGTTGCACGCCGCCGCAACCCAGCTCTTCGACTGCGAGCATTTGAGGAACTACCCATTACCTTTGCGCCGACGTACAAGTATGACGTGGGAACCGACACGTACGATACCAGTGAGAAGCGAAGGAGCCCCGCGTGGTGTGATCGTTTGCTGTTCCGAGGACGCGGTAGAGTACAGCAATTAGACTATAGACGACATGAGGTGAGAGTGAGCGATCACCGGCCAGTCACGGGAGACTTTCGACTCTGGGTTAAGAAGATTCGGCCAAAGGAGCGGGCGGCCGCGTGGATGCAGTGCCAGCAAGGGTTTGAGGACGTGCGGCAGAAGGAGTTGGCAGAGGACAAGTAAGTGGTTGGCAATCCGACACGCGCCTGGAGCATTTACTGACTTGAGGTGAAAACAGACTCTATTATTTGACTGAAATCTGCGGCTTCGACGCCGCCACAAGCCGGCAATGGATACAAGAACGAGCATCACGAAGAACGTAAAGGGGCCTCAGCAGCTGGGCGAGGTACTGACTTGGATTCTCCTTCTTATCTACGTTATGCATCATATGTTGGGAGGGGCAAGACATTCGACGGCGCTGACAAGGTTTCGGTGGTACATTTAAGAGAAAGGTTGGCAGAAACGAGTGCTTGCAACGGGAACAAAGGGGAATCGGATGCATGCCCTCCCCCCCCCCCCCCCCCCCTTTTTTTTTTTTTGCTCCAGTCCCTTGGGGTTTTGTTCTTTCTTCTCAAAGGCGCAAGTGAAAAAGAAAAGCGAGATTTTGCTTCGAGGAAATGGGGTTTCATGAGATTCTTTGATATAGAGAAACGGGAGAGGAGGCAGCATAATTACCAGGTAATGACTTGAGCGGCTTGACTTGGAGTTGCGCGTGTGTGTGTCTGTTTCCGAAAAAGGAGCATCGGAGACGGACAGAATTGATGGATCTAATTTGGCTCGAGTGACTATTCTTTTTGGAGGGGTTATGGTGTATCTGGAAGTAGACGAGGTATATATTTTGGTTCCCTCTTGGGTTATATTCTGTTTCTCTCTTGAGTTCGCTTGTGGTTCGATGTTCATTGTAGACTTAGCAAGAGGCTTGTGGAGTCATGGAGGAGGTTGATTAATTGGCCTTCACAGAGTGATTACCAGTTATTGTTCGACTTCGGTCGGTGACTTTAAGGCTGATATCTCTATTACAGCGCTGATCAAAGATGTAAAACATTTAGACCTGCAAATTCATCTAGGGGAAAAGAAAGAGATGGTTCGAATATAGAAGATTTCAGTTTCTGCCTCGTAGGGTAGCAGCACAATAGCTTGGATTCCTACACTGACGATAAGAGAAGATGGGTATGGAATCTCTTACTGATTCCTCTCATCGCTATGCTTTTCGTCCTGCCCAGATTGGGCCAGGCTCTTGTTATAAAAGGTGAATGAAGAAAATGCAATGGTATGCATCGAAGATATATATACATTTGACGAGGTACATTCTTAGCAAACTATTCATGTCTTGCGTTCTAAGCTGGAATATTTCGGCATTCTTTGATAGGTAGCCGCAGAGAAAGAGGGTGTAACAGACAAGAAGTAGTATTTACAGTGAGTGAGTGCACAGTCAGCAGAAGAACGAATACGAAAAAGAAGGGGAAACCCAAGTGGCGCTTCCAACTGGAAATTGGATCTTCGGGGCGATCAGGTTCCGGGACGCATCATTATGTATGTACCTTATCTCAGCACAGTAATACTACTAAGCCGCTAGAAACTAAAGGGTCCTTCTCCTTCCTCAATCTCTTTCAATTTGATATCAATTCATTTCCGTCACTTGAACTTTCTCTTGCCTGAAGACTTCACATCTTCCCTTTTTTTTTCTTTTCAATTATCAATTCTCATTCAGACTTGAGGCGATTAAAGCAAACGGAATCCTTCTCGTCGTAATTGACCAAAAAAAGGAGGCGGCCAGATATTACCCAAGCGTCTTGTTCGGGGAAAAAAAAGGGGGCGCAAGACTCTCTCTCGTCATCTCATTGGCGATAACGGCTTCCTTCATCGGCGTGTTCGACTTGAACTCAACTCTTTTCCACCAACTGGCGGCTGTGCATCACGCGGCAGCAGACAGACAGAGCCTCATCAAACTCCATCCCAATACCACTGTCGTTCTACAGACGGAACACAAAGGGGAAGGAAAAAAAAAACACAGACACAATGGCTACGGCAACATCATCACAGGGCCCCCGAAAGACGCCCATCCCGGCGCCCACGCCAGACAGCAAGCCCGCGCCGCGCCCAGACCTCACGCCCGAGCAGCAGGCCAAGTACGAGGCGCTGCTGGCCAAGGCAAAGGCCTTCGCCGCCGTCCAGTGCGACAAGGAGCCGGCCAAGTCGGGCCCCCTGACGGACCGCGAGCGGGCGTGGCTGACGCGCGAGTGCCTGCTGCGGTACCTGCGCGCGACCAAGTGGTCCGTCGACGACGCCGCCAAGCGGCTGCTGTCGACGCTGGCGTGGCGCCGCGAGTACGGCATCGACGACTTCTCGCCCGAGCACATCTCGCCCGAGCAGGAGACGGGCAAGCAGATCATCCTGGGCTTCGACCGCCAGGGCAGGCCGTGCCAGTACCTCAACCCGGGCCGCCAGAACACCGACAGCAGCCCCCGCCAGATCCAGCACCTCTTCTACATGGTCGAGCGCGTCGTCGACATGATGCCGCCCGGCGTCGAGATGCTCAGCCTCATGATCAACTTCAAGCCCAGCAAGCAGCGCCAGAACACCAGCGTGCCCGTGTCCACGGCCAGGGAGGTGTTGCACATCCTGCAGAACCACTACCCCGAGAGGCTGGGCAAGGCGCTCATCATCAATGGTAAGTCTTCCATGCAGTGCGTGTGTCTGTGTGCGTGTCTGTGTGTGTGTCTGTGTGCGTTGTGTATATTGCACAACAGCAGAACTTCTTCCCCCCCTCCCCCCTTCCCCTAAGAGTCGGAAGCGGATGCGTGCTTCATTTCTAGCCGCTTCTGCCCTTCGCATCCACCGTGGAATACGAAAACGTACAGAGCTTTGACTAACGCAATCTGCCGTCTGACAGTGCCGTGGCTCGTCCAGGGCTTCTTCAAAATCATCACTCCCTTCATTGACCCCGTCACGCGGGAGAAGCTAAAGTTCAACGAGGACATGAAGCAGTACGTGCCCGCCGAGCAGCTGTGGAGCTCCGACTGGAACGGCGACCTGGACTTTGAGTATGATCACGAGACGTACTGGCCAGCCCTCAACGAGCTGTGCAAGCAGAAGCGAGAGCAGAGGTTGGCGCGCTGGGCGGCTGCCGGCAAGGCCGTGGGCGAATCGGAGGAGTATCTCTCCGGCGGTACAGACGTCAGCGTCACGGGTTTCACGTACACGGCCAACGACGACAAGGCCGTTGCGGCCAGACCACAGCAAGAGGAGCCAGAGACGAGCGCGTTGGCAGAGAAGCTGGCGGAGGCAAAGCTCGAGGAGCAGGCGGCCGAGGCTCAGGCATAAACGCCGAAAGCTTTCTTCCATCCGTTTCGGTGAGGCCACACGGCAGATATGGCCAAGAAGAGACCAAGTCATATGGCTAGGCGAAGAGGGTGTCCGTTGGACGTGTCGTGCCGCTTGATTCTGGTTCAGAACCACCAACGTGTCTGTTGGCAACTAGAAGTTTGAGATTATCATACATACATCAGCAGCAGGTAGCATCACACATGACTGCATAATACATAGATGGGGTACGGGACAAAGGACCTCATCCCGTACGCGTTATAGGGCGTCTACACACACACACTCGCGTACACAATCGGGCATTGATTCGTTCACCAGCCAAGGCAGTCTGGGGTGTGTTGCAAGGCGGGCTGAAATTAGGGCCAACGCATCGGGCTATACCCTGCCGAGAAGCCTCAAGAGTTCCGAGACTGCACGTTGACGTACATGCATACGATCACCGGTACCGTAGTTCTCCGCATGTGAATGTCTGCTAGTCAGTTCTGGTGGCATCGGGAGGGCGTTTGCCAGATGCCATTGGCACCCTGTCTTGCCATGGACCAAACAAGGACTGCCGTTTGGGCGCGCGTGTAATGCGATTCGCTGATCCGAGATCTCGGGTTTGCCGCGTTTGACTCCAAGTGGCAAATGCGAAGTATATCAGTACTCCTGCTAACTCGTTCGCGTTCCTGGGAGATGCGTTCTGCGTACCTGTTCGGACGGATCTGCTGGATGAGCTCGCATCAACAAGCATCATCTAGACGCCCAACACGCGTGTTCAGCATCACTCAGTCATCATCATTGACGCCAAACCTACATGGCGGGGCTCGCATGAGCCGCAACCGCTAAGGTGCAGGTCAATATGTATGTTATATGTAAGGTAAGTCGGGTGTTGTTGGGTCAAGGCTCAATCATGAGACGCCGCATTGCAAACGCGCGGCATGGAGACCTGACCCGGGGTAGTACAGAGACGGTGAGATAAATGCCAGCCCTTCACTGCCCCAGTTTGCCGGCATGGCCATTGATGCGCGGGTCGTGTGTTGTGTTGCTTTGCCTCATGTTGCGTTTGTAGTTTGCGTTGGGCGATACCGAACAAGCACCTTGCGTGAAGCTCAGCCAGCCAGCGAGCCGCCGCTTACCTCGATGCGATTTCAAGCAGGCATGAGGCCCTAACCCACGGCCCAAGCCAAGACGCTGCCGCTTCGTCGAGGTCTGCACAGACAGGTATGAATTGCTTGCACCGCATGAGAGTCGTCCATCCCATGTAGCGCTGACTCTGACCGTTGCTGCAAAAGCACCCAACAACGTCTGAGGTCTCCCCTAACCCAACTTGGCCTATATCCGCCCGTTGGCGGAGCATCATTATGGGCCAAAGGATGCAGCTGTTGAAAAGTCTGGCCCAGTGAGCTCTCAATTCAGGCAGGATTTGGATGGAGAACGGGGGCGAAGATGACGACGCGCGACTAGCGATAGCTAATTCACTGTCGCCGTCCGTGGCGCCTGGCGTGTAAGGGCGGCTATGCGCCACTCGGAGGCAGGCAAAGCGCCGCCGTCATGCTGCATATGGAGAGATCCAGGCTTATTTGGCACCTCTCCAAGTCTGTTCGCCTGAGTGTTATGCCTTCCTGAGCTGGGGGTACCGTGGTCTGTCTTCCCTGTCTCCCTACGTCTCGCGTCCAAGCTGCCTGTTTGGAGATATACTTAGCTTATACCCTAGTTGCCACCCGTAGGCAGAAGTTGGATCTTTTCGAGAGCTGGACATCTTGACCATCTCGTTGTCCGATGAGTCTGGAACTGAACTTTCGGGAAATGGCAAAAGACAAAGAGAGCAATAAAGACGGTCTAGACGTTGGGCATTTATGTTTGAAGAAATGGGCAGAGAGCCGCAGTCATGTTGATGGGTCCCAGCCTCAATGCCATAGGTCATTCTCAAGGCGTCAAATATACCATGCATCATGGTTGATCTGCGAGACACCCTCCCGGTGGGTGGCGTTAGTACATAGACATACTGACCGTGTGAGTGAATCTTGAGTCGTAACTCCGTCGGACAAGCCGCGCTGGGGTGGTGCCTCTTGTTGGCATCCGTCTCAGAACGGCCCGTTGAGACGCCTGTCTTTCCTCTCACATTAGCCCATGTGTTCTTAGCATGTATGTCTGGCAACCAAGTTGCCGTCTTGATATGCTTTAAATAACCCTGGCTGCTGCTGCCTTTCGCTCCGGCTTCCGTGAGCAGATCTTCACGGTAGAGTGACTCTGATTCCCCTTCCTGGATGACGCACTCACCTGTACCACATTGGAGGCGGTTAATCTTGCCGCCCTGGAGGAACTCTTCCATTCATTCCAAACCTGGCCTGCCTTTCAACCCTTCACACGAACAATCTGGATAAATAATTGGCTGGTCGCTGTTGTCCATACCTCCAGATATCCCACTCGGCACGTCTCAACGTTGACCATGGCGCTTGGGTCCATTGTTCACTCCTTCAGTAGGATGAGCCTTGCTCCCATATTCAGCACTGCCGTTGCCAATTCATCTTCCTTCAATGTGTCATCCTTCACTTCTACCATCATGGCTGAAAATGGTGAGGGTGGGAGCAGCAACTCGAATATCCCGTTTCCTGCTGGCGGCCTGATGGATACCATTCTTGCCACTACCGGCCGTGTCTCGCCTCTCACCCAGCTTCTTCACTTTCTGTATAAGCTTCTGGGTACACAGTTTGGCCTTGATCCGTCAATGATGCTGGCCGTATTGGGATTCATCTGGGGCGCTTTCAAGATTGGATCGCAGGTTCACGACTTCCTCCGGCGGTTTTTGGACGACTACCTCATGTGCGCCATGTACATCTCTGAAGATGACCACATATACTCACACTTGATGAAATGGCTTTCAAATCAACCAAGCATCAAGAACAGCCAATATCTCATGGCCCAGACTGTTTGGAAGAGTGCCTGGGAAGAAGAAGAAGAGCTGGAAGGTGTTCTGTCCTGGACGGACGGCGGCGAAGTTGACGGCGGCAACAGAGTGTATCTAAACTTTGCCAGCCATGCGGCCAGATCGGTACGTATTTGACCCTAGCTTTGATGATGATGTGAGCTGATGGAAAATGCCTGAATCTTGCATGCAGAGTCCTAGGTTTGTTCCTGCTATGGGGTCGACATCATTCTGGCACAAGGGGACGTATTTCCGTGTACTGCGGAAAAAGGAGTCATTCGTCAGCACTCGTTCTTGGGGAGGCCCAATGAAGGATCTTGAGGAAGTCAAGATCTCGTGCTTCGGGCGTTCCATAGGTGAGGACTCCAGACCCTTGGTTCTAAATAGCCGGGCCGGGCTAACAACCCTCTCTGCAGATCCAATCAAGCAGCTGCTTTCGGATGCCAAAGCTCTGTACTATAACGACACTCGTCAAAAGACCACCATATATCGCCCCAGGGTCAAGGAGCAACGAAGAGACCATAATATGTGGCAGCAAGTGGCACGACGGCCTGTGAGGCCCATGTCCACGGTTGTACTCGACTCGAGTGAGAAGCATGACATTCTAGCCGACATCAACGAGTACCTGCACCCTTGGACACCGCGGTGGTATGCGTCTCGTGGTATTCCGTTGAGGAGAGGCTATCTCTTTCATGGACCTCCGGGAACTGGGAAAACAAGCTTCTCCTTTGCATTGGCGGGCGTGTTTGGCATCGACATATACGTCATTAGCCTCCAGGACGCGGGTGTCAACGAAGAGGATCTTGCCACTTTGTTCACTAAACTGCCTCGACGGTGCATCGTTCTTCTTGAGGATATTGACACTGCAGGGCTGCGACGCGACCTCAGCTCGGAGAGCGAAAATCCAACAGAGGGCAAGAAGGATGATGACAAGGACCAGAAAGACGGGAAGAATAAGCACAAGAGTAAAGCCGATGCCAGTGACAGTGATTCGGACAGCGAAGTTGAGGTCAAACCCAAGAAGAGAGGATTAAGGAAGAAAGATACCGGCAGAAAAGCCCCCTTGGCTCTCGATGGCATTTCCTTATCGGGCCTTCTCAACGCCATCGACGGTGTTGCATCCCATGAAGGTCGCGTACTAATCATGACGACCAACAAACCAGAGGCTCTTGACGAGGCTCTGATCCGCCCTGGCAGAGTGGACGTCCAGGTTAGGTTCAGCAACGCCAGCAGCACCCAGGCTGGGGAGTTGTTCCATCGAATGTATGAGACCTCTCGCCAGGATGAACCTATCAAAGAAGCGAATAAGGCGATGGCAGACAGGTTGAACAAACAGCCAGCCGCGAAGTACGAAACCGAGGAGTTGGATGGCATCACTGCTGAAGAGATGAAGACGATTGCAGAGGAGTTTGGCCGCCGGATCCCAGAAGGTGTTTTATCACCTGCGGAAATCCAGGGATTCCTGCTCAAGCGCAAGAAGTGCCCGCGTCGAGCACTGGAGGAGGTATCAGAATGGGTTACAGCAACGTTGCGGCAGAAGGAAGCAAACCTGAAAGTCATGACCGTGCAGTAATCTGTACTGACCTGCTTCAAGGGGTTCGATGCCGTCATTGGAGATGTATCGAAGTTGGTGCATCAATCCTGCAGCTCTCACTGATCTCATTGGTTTCTTTGGTCTTTTTGCTGATCTTGTCGGGGGCTTCTTGGTAGAGTTGGTGCATACGTTTTGCATATTTCTTGCATAGGCCGCTTTCGATAGCCTTTTTTTTTTGGTATTGGTTCTCCTGATAATATTAATCCATATTGCTTGACTGGAGAGAGAATACCTTGTGAAGTTTGTAGGAAGTGAAGAAGTTTAACAAGGGAAGGTCGAGGGAGGTGACGAAGCTGGGATATTGGGAGACAGCTTAGCAGGCAGGTACGCCCACACAAGTACTTTCCCCTAGTCATCAGCCAACCCCACGTCAACGCCTCGACTTCCTGAGAGCTTGGCTTGTAACATTTCGTACATACATCATCATCCCGCTGCCGCATCTCCTCCTCCTTCGCCCAACAAACGCCTCTATACCGCCCAGATTGAAGACAGCAATGCGCCGCTATTCTGCACGGTAATATCGCCATGTCGTCACTACCCTCAAGCGCCTCCACAGGCAAGGAATCCGGCCTGCGCGTGCCCAGCAATGGCAAGACCATCTACCACCGCCCGATCAATCGCACCAAGACGTCGGAGCTGAGCCAAGCCAGCTTTGCCTTTCTGTTCTCCGAAATGGTTGCATATGCGCAGAAGCGCGTAAAGGGCATCCAGGAGCTCGAGCACAAGTCCGTTCATCTGCCCGCGAACCTGCTCCCTCTTTCCGTCATGGAATGCCTATCGCAGGCTTTGCGACTGCGAACTGACATACTATACGATTATCTAGGCTCAATGTTCAGGGCCACTCCATCGGCATCAAGCTTCTCGACCTTCTCCTCTACCGCGAACCCGCGCGCACGCAGCTACGACCCCAGAACATTGTTGCTCTCCTCCACTTCATCAAGCAGAACGTATGGCTGCACCTGTTTGGCAGGCAAGCCGACAGGTTGGAAAAGTCGACAGACGCCGAAAAGCCCGACGAGTACATGATTATCGACAACGAACCGCTCGTCAACCAGTACATTAGCGTGCCGCGGGAGATGAGCCAGCTGAACTGCGCAGCCTTCGTAGCGGGAGTGGTGGAAGGAGTCTGTGATGGAGCGGATTTCCCTGCACGGGTCACGGCGCACACGGTTGGAGAGGGCGAGATGTGGCCAGGAAAGACTGTGTTCTTGGTCAAATTCAGAAGCGAGGTGGTGGAAAGGGAGGCTTTCTTAGCAAAGAGCTAATTTAGCACTCGATGTAATGCATGATTGGGCAGATGGAGTTGAGAGAAGGCTATATGTACATGGGACGGAGTTCGTGGAGTTGAGGGTAACATTATCAGCAACTGTTCTTTTTTTTTTCTGGACATGTTGGTCAAAGGCTACTCTAGCTTTGACCCGAATTTGGGGTTCACCAAGGCATAAATGATGAATGAAATGATAAAGACAAAGAGATATGAGATGAAAGTCATTAGTATGATGACATGAAGCTAAAGGGATGCCCGTCCACCGTAACGCCGTCGTGAAGATTTGGCTTTTGTCAAGTAAAAGCATAAACGCAACTCGCCCATTTCCCTCTCCAGCAGAGGAGGATTGATTCACCGCGGAAGACCTTTCTGCATCTTGCTAGGTCCTGCAGCCTTGCTCTCCGGCCCCGGACCCTTCCTCATCAGGTCCGACAGGCCCAGATCCTTCCACGCGGGTTCCTTGACACGCTGCGTGGCGCGCTGGATCCCAAAGGCCGCGTGCTGGTCAGGGACAACATCGTCCTCATCCTCCGGGTTGATGGGCCGGTGCTGGGGCGGAACGTAGATTTCGTCGTCGGGGAGCTTGTCCTTGCAGAAGTCCTCGAAGAGATCCGCGTCACCGGAGCGGTGCATGTGCACGTAGGTGAAGCATGAGTCTTTGTTCTGGGGGGGCGAAATGCGCGTGTCAGTTTGGTCATTGCGAGCAGGAGGAGTATGGAATAAACTACAGCAAACGTACCATAGTGTAGTGTATCAATTACGACGATAAATTACAATAATGTGGATGTTGGGCTGAATCGAGTGTTGATGATGTTGTTGAAGCTGGAATCTGAAGTACAAGTTGAAGGCGACGAGAGTAGCGTTGTGGGGCAACAGGCGCAGAGAGTCTCAGTGCCAAACAGTGCTCTGAGCGCACCGCGATATAATTGAGGTTCTCGTAAGTAGATGACGATCATGAAACAATAGAAACTCATCATCTGTCTAAGAGAAGATCCATTTGAATTTGGATACTGATATGCGCCAATGCTGAAATCCACAGCGTTTGGGTTATGGCTGGCCAGTCACTGAAACTGGAATGGGCAAGGTGCTTGAATTGGAAACCGAGCGTCTTTGCATGGCAGCAGCACCGTCTAAATCATGATGGACAAAGGATTGCCTAATTGTGAAGCTTTAGCCTTACCCAACGGTTTCTTCAACCTACTGATCTCCTCTAGCTATCTTCTTATAGATCATATATGGTATCCATAAGGTAGATAGTCATCATATTGCCAAGGTGTCCCACAAGGTGGCTTGCACCAATTGTACAACTTTGACAGCTCAGGTGCCGCTGTAGGTAAGCTCAGTATCCATATCATGCCAGGTTAAGCGGCAAATAGTCTGTCAACAGGTCTTATTTCTGTTTCATTGATTCTATTGAAGAGGGCAGCAGAATATTGATGCTTGTAACTCAACTGGTTGTGTGTGGTCTTCATGTTTCTTGCCATTCCGCCTTCACCAGGTCCAGGCTTCAAACGTTGATGACTCAGCCGGCCTTCAGCATGAGGTGCAGCTCTAGTGGAGAGGCGGCTGCTTCAGGCTTCGGTGACGTTTTTACAGGCCATCTTTGTCACCTACGGGCTCCCCCGCCTGCCTGAAGCTCGACCCCACCAACAGCCGCTCAAGCAAACAAACATCACGGCCTGTCACCACCTCGACCTCGCATTTCCTCCCACTTCCAACATCTCTTCTTTCCGTTCCTCATCGTTACCCCAAGTTCCAGCACTTTATCCGCTCTCTGATAGCACTTCCAGGCTTCAGATTCACCATCACACGCCTGTGAGAGCTTCAAGCGGATGCGCTGATCCGTCTCTCCCGCCCTCTGAAAGTCAGCGAGGAGCAGCTCACGATGGCTACCGCCTCTGGCGCTCAGGTCTCGCCACAGGCCATAATAGGCCATGTCCAGAAGCTGAGCGATGCGGATCCCGACTTCCGCTTCATGTCCCTCAACGACCTGCTGCAGCTGCTCACTACTGCGCGAGATGACTTCCTCCAGCACGACTACAACATTGCTGCGAGGACTGTTGATGGCATCATCAAGACGCTGGACGATCAGAATGGAGAGGTGCAGAACCTAGCCATCAAGTGGTCTGTTTATTCTCGAGATTCCGCAACCTTTGATACAGACGGAGGGTAACTGACAGTCCGTGAACTTGCAGCCTCGGGCCGCTTGTTGGCAAAATCCCGACCCCCATCATCGCCCCCATGATCGATAAGCTGTCGTCCCTGAAGCTTAAGAACTCTGTGGACACAGCAGTGCCTGCTTTGGCGCTGCGAGCTGTCATCACCGCGCTTCCTCGACCGATCCCCGGCATCCCAAGCTCTGTTGGTGTTCAAGAGGCATACAACGCTGTCAGCCGCGTGCTTATTCCACGGCTTATCGGGCCCGGTCCTCTCACGCGCGTCCCATCAGCACCTCGAATCAGCCTCCCTCCTGTTCCGGCAGGGCTGCTTCAGGACGACAATGGCGTCAATGCGGAAGCCGTCGATGTTCTCGTCGAAGTCGTTAGATGCTTCGGACCGTTGCTACAACAGGTTGAAGTCGAGGCAATGCAAGAAGTCGTTCTGCAGTTGTTGCAGGGAGACAAGGCTTCATCTGTGGTCAAGAAGAGGGCTGTGGTGGCTATTTCTATGCTCGCTGTCTACCTCACGGATGCGCACCTGGAGGACGTCATCAATCGGATAACAGCCGGTCTGGCCGAGCCCAACATCCCACCTGTTACGCGTCGTCTCTACATTTCTATATTGGGCAGCATGGCTCGGTCAATCCCTCCCAGATTCGGCGTACACCTTCCGAAGACGATGCCCTTCATTCTCGATGCTCTGTCCGAGAAAGAGCTAGAAGAACACTTGGAAAAGATTAGCGATGGGGACGATTTGGGACCAGAGTTCAACGAGATCCGCGAGACTGCTCTAGTTGCGCTCGAGGCATTCTTGGCCTCATGCCCGCAGGAGATGCGTCCTTTTACGGACGCCACACTCGCCTCTTGCTTGCGATTCCTAAAGTATGATCCCAATTACGCGGTGGACGACGACGAGGAGATGGATGTAGACGATGAGGAAGAGGAAGACCAAGATGATGAGTTTGAAGATGACGACGGCTTCGAGGACGACGATGATGACGCAAGCTGGAAAGTTCGTCGCTGTGCCGCAAAGGCGATATACACCCTCATCTCCACCCGTGGCAGCGGCGACCTGTTGGACAACGGTGTTCTGTATAACCAGGCAGCTCCCACTCTTGTCAAGCGTATCGAGGAGAGAGAGGAGAACGTTCGCCTGGAGGTCATCTCTGCTCTGTCGTTACTCATCCGCAAGACTGGCGAAGGCTTCCACACGGTAGATCTGTCTCGCGACGAGTATGAGCCCGAGTTGGTCTCCCAGATGCCTCTGAGCCGTAAGAGGAGAAGGCAGAGCAGCGTCGGGGGATCGAGCGCTGCCAAGTTCATGGCGGGCTCCGGCGTCACATCTCTCCCTGCCGAGAAGATCCCCTCCCAGGGCCCACGGGCGGACCTCTCCCGCCTTACTCCCGCGATTGTCAAGGCCGCGACCAAGCAGCTGAAAGGCAAGACTGTTCCCACGAAGCAGGCTGTTATCAGCATGCTGGACGACCTCGTTTCTGTCCAGCACGGTAGTCTTGTCGAGTTTTTCCCTGAAATCATAGGGCCTATCATTGATGCTGTCAAGACCTCGAGCACCAGCGCAATCTCATCCTCTCTTGCGGCTGCAGGAGGCTCTGCATCCGCTACCCCAAGCACCCTCCGCGTTGCCTCGTTGAAGCTAATAAGCGATATCGCCAAGACACATTCGTCCTCGGTACTGCAGCCATATCTGAGCAAGGTTGTGGCAGGCGTGGCATCGGCCGTCCACGACCGGTTCTACAAGATTTCAAGCGAGGCTATTCGCACAGCAGAGGAGCTTGTCAAGACCATTACTCCTCCACGGTCGCGCAATGGTGGTGCAAAGTTCAAGGACGACCTGGACAAGCTCTATGAAGTCATCATCGACCGCGGCTCTGCCAACGACGTCGACGCAGAGGTTCGGCAGCGTGCTATTCACGCTCTCGGGGTCCTCATTTCTAGGACCTCCAGCGCGGAAGCATCTGGTCTTTTGTCGGCTGAGAAGCGCACTGCCGCTTTGAACATTATCCAGGAGAGACTGAAGAACGAGACGACTCGCCTTGCCGCGGTGCGTGCCGTGGATAACGTTGCGGCGTTCGCTGTTTCTCCCGATCAGCTAGACAAACAATGGGTTCAAGACGTTGCCCTGGAGCTCGCGGCTCAACTGCGCAAAGCCAATCGGTCTCTGCGAGGCTCCAGCATCCAGGCTCTCAAGCACCTTGTGCTCTCAAAAGCCACGCAGGGCAAACTTGAACCGGCTACGATTCAGGGTCTTGTAACAGCGGTACTGCCGGCCATCAAGAACAGCGACACTCATCTCCTTGGCCCGACCTTGATAATCCTGGGCAGCATGGTGCAAGATCATGCAAGCTTGATTGTCAATGAAGAGATGATTGGCGCGCTCTGCCAGCTGCTGAAGTCTCACTTCGCAAACATCGTCCTTGACCAGCTGCTCGACTTGATCAGCCGCGTCGGCGAGAGTGGTGCCGGTGAGCCTCTTATGCAGGGCCTCCTCAAGGACGTGAGCGTTCAGGGCGACCCAATTGTCGTGGGTAAGGTGATAGGAACCCTCCTCGTGACCGGCGGTACATCTGCGGGCGTCTCTCTCGACAGTTTTGTCACGGAGCTTCATGGCAGCACAAAGCGGGGGGACGAGGCCGGTATAAGCCTTGCCCTGGCGGTGCTGGGAGAGTCTGGCATGAGACTGGGGGCCAAGTCGCCTCTCAAGCCTCAGCTGTTCCTGGAGCAGTTTCACTCGGAGCCAGATAAGGTGTCGCTAGCTGCTGCCATTGCACTCGGCAGAGCCGGGTCCGGCAACGTGCCCGAGTATCTGCCCGTGATCCTCAAGACCATGGAGAGCGGAGGCAACACGCAGTACTTGTTGATTCAATCAATCAAGGAGATACTACAGTCGATCCCGGCTCAATCTACCGATCTCCAGACTTATGCCACGGCAGTCTGGGATCAGCTTATTGGAGCATCGCTGAATGCTGATAATAAGATCATTTGCGCCGAGTGTGTCGGCCGCCTTGCGACTCTGGACCCGGCGACCTTTATGCCCAAACTACAGGTAAGTCTTGGCACGAACCACGATCCGTAACCGACAGGAACTCGCTTGGGAGCTGCAAGCGAGCAAGCGAGCAAACGAACATGTGGGCTAACGCTACGTAGACGCTCTTGAAGGACCAGTCAGCAGGCATCCGTGCCATGGCAGTGCAGGCTGTCAGGTACACACTTCCCGAGAGCGATGAGACGTTTGATGCAATGCTACGAAACGTGCTCGTCGAGATGCTCCTGGTCATGCTGCAGGATTCCGATATGGAGATCCGACGACTGGCGATGACGACGCTAAATTCGGCAGCCCACAACAAGCCGGACCTGATCCTGCCCCATCTGGGCGAACTGTTACCTTTTGTCCTCAGCGAATCAGTGATCAAGAAGGAGCTCATTCGAGAGGTCCAGCTGGGGCCTTTCAAGCACAAGGTCGATGACGGCTTGGAAGTTCGCAAGGCAAGTAGATGGTTACATCATGGCCTTCAGGTGCTCGCATACGTTGCTAACGGGATCGATGATATAGAGCGCGTACGAGACGCTTTACGCGCTGATGGAGACGGCCTTCACGCGGATCAACAACATCGACTTCTACGACCGGGTCATTGCCGGCCTCAAGGACGATAATGATATTCGACAGCTGTGCAATTTGATGATCAGCAAGCTGATTATCATCGACCCCGACGAGACGGCCCGACGGCTCGACTCGATTGCCGAGGCGTACCGCGGTGTGCTGTCCATCAAGCTCAAGGAGAATGCCGTCAAGCAGGATGTGGAGAAGCAAGAGGAAACCAACAAGAGCATCCTGAGGGTGACGCTCCTCCTCGGCGACAAGATGAAGGCGATGACTGGAAACGCCGGGGCAGCGACCAGCAACACGGCGGCAACGGGGGCTTGGACCGCCTACTGGGAATGGGCGAACAAGGAGTTTGATCGGCAGCTAAAGAGTCTGCGGGAGGAGAGTAGCCAGCTCCACACGAGGACTCTGTGAGCAGAGTGGGTGCAGACAGGGTGAGCAAGCCAATGGGAGGACTCGTCGAAAAGAGTGATGCGGTGTAACCATGGCCGTCCTGCCTGCCTTACCGACACAGCCTGGCGACCCGTCTGAATATGCACGTTGGCGAAGGGGCCCAAGGCTTTACGGAGTAGTATGGCGACCAGCAGCGGTTACGCATGCTCATATGGAGCAGCATTACGGTAGCATTGGAAGGGGGCAAAAAAGACTCATTCGTGCAGAGATATCCAGGGTCTAGTCGGTAGCCGCGGCCGGATATGGGTCGGCACATGTACCTAGCATACAAGTTTGCAGCATGACCATGTAACTACTTCATACGGAGCCTTTGCTATTGGGTATCCCGGCTGGTGGTGAGGTCCCGCTTGCTGCCAGGGCGAGGGCGAGGGCGAAGCCGTCGGACGACGAGAGATGCTGACGAGGTGACGGAGTTGTCCCTCCTGCCTGTGACCGGGGCAGTGGTAGGACCCGACAGGATCCATACTGATACTAATAGCATTCGTCAACGCACGAACGCAGCAGTTGTTGCTGGAAACTGGGTCGTCGACCTGCAGCTGCGGACCAGTAATACTAGGTAGTAGTACTGATGCGGCGATACATGGCCTTCACATGTGAAGCGGACCTGTAACCCACATTGAAGTGCATACAGACAGTCCAACACAGCGGTAAGAAGGTCAACAAGGTCGGTGAAGGATCCCTTTCTCGGCGACAGGCAAAGATGTTTCCTATCCTAGATATGGATGCCTTTGAGAATATAGATACTAGTATCGACTTAGGTGAAGGGGGTGAAAGGGGCGTGGTTTAAGGAGGAGGGCATTTGTGAAGAGTTGCGTCAAAAGCGAAGCGAGATGCGGGGAACTTGAAGCTCTGGCATTTTTTGGGTGAATTGCAGGGCGTTCTTATAATACTACTTACCTTACCTTGCCACCCTACCTAGGTAACAGGACTAGGGCATCCAGAACAATGACATGGACGTTGAAACTGTCATTTTGTCTCTTGTGCTGTTGGTCCGGTGGTTTCTGATTACTACCCAGTCAGTACAGTACCTTACCCTTGGTGTAGTCGTATGCAGTGTGTGCGTGTGGGTGTGTGTATCATGTTGCATTTTATCATGGTTGTATGTGTGTTTCGTTATGTCTTTGCACTGCATCCAAGTGTTGCCTTTCGGGGAAACTCTTAACTTTTGGCAATGTACCTATGTTTGGAAGTAAATTCGTCCGATCTTTGAGAATTGACAATGTCTGTGCTTTGCGGCCTTGGGGAGGCATTGGGTTTGTGTTTTGGGATTTTTGGTTTGGAAACCCAAGAGGGATTCTTGCTTGTAACGTGTGATTGGAAGGCCGTGATTGGTACGACGTTTAGTACGATATGGATTAGATGTGACTACCTAGGTAGTAATGGCGTCTGCGGCACACGGAGGCTCTCTTTCGGTTCATGGGGGAGATGGGAATGGGTGTGAGGTATAGGGCCAAGTCTATCTCGCTTCATGGTGTGTTAATCTAGGAATGATTTGCGGGATTGCCGGATCGAAAAAACAAGACAAAAGACAAGGTGAGAAAAATAAGAAGATGTGAGCGGAAGGGACCGTGGTTATGGATTGTCCTCGTGTTACATACTACGGGCTACCTTGCCTGGTTGAGCTAAAGAGGGAAAAACAAGACATGGGGGGTGGCACCAACCAACAACATCACGAGTTTGAATGTGTCGGCGGCTACGGAGGGTAAGATCCTTGTACTGCCTACGTAAAAAAAGGCACCTTGGCAACATTGATGCCTTGTATGTAGTACTACCTTGCCTTGTGAACGAGTGAGGATGGATAGATACTGGATGAGATGCCATGGGATGTGCGGAGGGGACTACATACGTAAGGATATGCTCAAGACAGGACAAGGCTCTATGTAAGTACATAGGCACAGCCTACAAAGGAATGCATGCATGGCTGTCTTGAATCGTATCGTAAGCACCGGGGTATCGGTGTATGACACAATCAAAGAGCAGGGCAGGGCAGGGAAGAGGGGAAGTTTACATACAGGCACTGGAGCAACACGACTGACAGGATTGACAGAGGACGAATGATGAGAACTTACATGTCAACTGTGTCGAATCCATGCTGGAAATAGGTAGGCTTGCGGAGTTTTGGTGGCGAGCAGGGGATGGGGGCTTTGGCTGGGCGAGTAATTGGTGACATGATATCATGTTTGATACGAGTATGACTGTGAACAATCTCTACCTGGCTTAACGGCTGGGCTGGATAAATGCAGGTCGTGCCTTAGGAGAGGCAACTAAGGGAAACGACTCGTTATACTAGTAGCAAGTCTAAAGCACATGCAATGGATACAGTAGTTCTCAAGTGATTGCATGTCGGAGTGTGTGACAATGCAGCAAAAACAGAAAAAGTTGGGGCCCTGGGGGTGTGTGGAGGAGGAGTGTCCGTGTGTAGTGTACAGTAGGTGTGCAGTATTAGAGCCAGCACCCAGCACGCCGGCGTTGCGCCCGCTTTTACCCTCCCTTGTCTGTTCCCTATTGGAGACTGTTGTTGGTCGCGGCATGTGCTTTTTCTTTTCTCGTCTGAAGTGTGATGGGATGGATGGGTGGATGGGATGAATGGGGGTCCAGCGGAAAGGGAAGCCGATGTGATGGGCGGGTTCTGAATAATCGAGGTTGCCTGGGTATAAGAATGAGGGTGGGCGCACGTTGGAATGCCTCTCTGGTTCATGTTCCCTCGACTTGTTGTCCTACTTGGTCTCCAACTCTCATCTATATATCACATTGACTGCCAATCTGTCTGTTATATATACCTACCTTGCCTATCAAACAATATTCTCCCCTGACTCTTCAACACCAAAAGACAGCACTTACACACACACACACACACACACACAATGGCCCGACGAACCATCTACCTCGACGCCCTCAACGACGCCGCCCCCGGCAGCGACGCCGGCGACTCCAGCGCCATCCTCACCTTCTTCAAGGGCGTCGTGCGCGAGGCCCAGGCGTGGATCTCGCGCGGCGGGCCCGGCGTCAAGGCGCCTACAATTGAGAAGCAGACCTTTTAGAATACTCTCTCATCCAAAGAGGCCGTCATATGAGGCTCCATGAATGAAGCATTTCGTTTTGCTTCACATGGATGGATGTATGATGAATACATAGCAGAAAGAAGAGAAAAATAAAAACACAACAGAAAAAAAAAACAAAAGATTGATATACCCATCGACAAAATAGCTGTTCGGCCACTTCTTCGGCACTGCTTCTCCCCCCTCCACCTTCGCACAAGCAAGCACGCCTTGTTCCAGTCTTGGTCTGTCATGACTGGCTACTACCTTACCTTGCGCAAACAAGCAACACCGAGTCACATCAGGCTGCGCCATTGCTCGTGGCAAGAAGAACATGTCATTTGTCTTTCTTTCATTTCGATTTGTTTATTCGGCTTAAGGAGTTTTACAAGGCGCACGGGTTTGGATGCTGATGAAACCTTGTTCATTTGGCATCAACTATGATTCATGAGCGAGGCTCGGTCAGAGATATCACGATTTCCAGTCATTCCTGTTTTCTTTCCCTTGCTCTCTCTATGTTTGGCTTTGCAGGCATCACGTCGCATCCTTCGGGCACTGAAGCATGAACCTTTTTCCGTCGTTTCGGAACAATCATTGAGTGGAATGTCTTTTGTTTGGGTGGTCGTCTAAAGCTGAGAAACGCATTTCAGCGACATTGTTTTTATTTTTTATTTTTAGCATACTCCGTACATGGCAATTATATGAACCAAAATGAACCATCTCTCGCATCCAAAGCACCCCAGAATGCAGAATGTGAAGTAGGACAGTAGTAACAAAAAAGTCAGAGACCATAGCTCACATGTACCGCATGAATGGATCCCTTCGTTCAGTGCATCCCGACTGTTGCCGCAAATTCCCTGAGGATCCAACGAGTGCGACATTCATTCGGCACATGTGAGACAAGTCGGACACGGCTGTCCTTGGCCAAGGCCAGGCTGCATCTCTCATTGACAGGAATGGATGAGTTGCGTCCATGCGTAACACACTGACATCGGCTACCGGAGTCGAGGGGGCCGAGTCGAGGGGCAGCTAGCACCTCAACCTCTCCGCACAGCTCGAAAACTTTCACGACAGATAGTGGCCTGACAATGGCTCTGCAATGAAGCGAATAGAAGCGTCGAGTCTACTCTTATAGACTTGGTTTTCAATGTTCTTGCGAGCTGGCATGGCATGTAGTTGCAGTATATCACGTTGTTGCGGTTCAGCCACTGGTCGTATATAATGGTAAGAATGCCGTCTCAAGGAGCAAAGAGCGAGGTTACATCAGGCTCTGATGACGCTTCCGCATCGGAGCGGTCGTCTGGACTCTGATCCACCGGCACAAGGGCCAGCCTCTTCTTCTTCTTCATGACCCGCTTATGCGCGGCGCCCTTGATGTGCCTCTGCCAAGCCTGCTCCGTCACGCAGACCGTCTGGCATATCTCGCACGTCTTCTTCGCCGGAGTTTCCTTGGGCGGAGGCTCACTCACTCGCGTGAGCAGCTCGCGGGCCACGTCTGATAGCTCGGTCGGCATCGGCCTGGGCTCTCCGGCGAGAAACTTTGCCGTAACCTCGGCAGCAGGCTCAATAACCTTGGTCTTGAACTGTGAGACGTCGGTGCTGTCGACCACGTATAAGCTGTCAAACGCCCCGGGGCCTTGCTCCTTCAGGCGTGGGATCTGCTTCAGCCTGATCCATTTGGTCTGATAGTTGGCGTACCGGCGCGTTGCCGTCTTCATATCCTCCAGTCCGCTGTTTTTTAGCTTCTCCAGTTCTTCCGGGCCCTTGCCCTCTTGTTTGGCGGACATGTATGGCTCAAACTGCTTGTAACCGATGGACTGCCATATACCCTTTGTCATGTCCAGGATCTGTCCCTCAGCAGCCTTGCGCTGTTTCATATCAAACAGCTCCTGAACCTCGTTCAACAGCCCAGCATCGAGCATCTTGTCCACTCGACTGTCCAGTCTCGCAGTCAGCGTCTCACGCTCTGAATAAACCCGGAAGAGCAACTTCTCCCAAGGCAGGCTGGTCCCTGCGTCCTGAGCGGCCGCAGCTTTACGTTGTACTTGCTCGGCATACAGCTCGGATGCAGGCCTTCCTGTATGAAGATAAATCTCGAGTGATCGCTGGATCTTGCGTCTGTCATTCGGGTGCCACCTCTCCGCCATAATCGGGTCAACCTTCTTCAGCTCTTCCAGCAGCACGTCTGTAGGCTGCTCCAGGATTGGGAATGACAGAGAGGGGTCCGCCTTTACATCGTCGAGGATGACGTCTTTAAAGAGAAGAGGGTCGACATAGTATTGCGTCCCTCCCACGAGAATGGGTAAGTTTCCACGGCTGCGAATTTCGCCAATAACCTTGCTGGCTTCAGTCTTGAACTTCTCCACGTCCCACGGAGCGTCGTCCAGCGGGATGTGGCCTAAAAGATGGTGCGGGATGCCGTGCCGCTCCTCGTGGCTGATTTTGTTTGTGATGATGGGCAGGCCATCGTAAAGCTGCATGGCATCAGAGTTGATGATCTCGCCCTTGAACCGCCGTGCCAGTTCGACGGCTAGCTGTGAGATGAGATGCCGTCAGAACATGGTGACGTCTCTTGCAGTCGGGACAGAGAGAGAGGCTAACCTCGGATTTACCCGTGCCTGTCGAGCCTAGGACAACCAGCAACGGTTCAGCTGGAGGTGCGTGAGCGGCCATTGTCGATGCATAGCGCAGCAGTCGTGCTCCGCGGCCAAGCATTCGGCAGCACACCGGATCAGGGTCTCATCCCACCAGGACGACTGGTGTTTTAGGGCCAGATTGTGAGTGAAGTACTAGATAGATTCAGCTTCCTCTTCGAGCTCTGCTGCAGCTTCTCAAGCGTAACGACAAGTCTGAAGAATATCCAGCAGAAACAGTCATCAATCAGATACCTATCCCCCCACTGATCCAGAAAATTCCCCTCCACAAGCCCCAAACAAGTGGCTTAAACCTGGTTGGCGTGTTATGTATTACCTTACTGATGATTCATAGCGCTGTGGAGGGTTTTTGGGGTTGGGGTCGCCAGCATCCAGCATGGATCAATCCCTGCAGGCGCAGGTCGAGGCCACGCTTCAACAACGTGCGGGTCACGTGCCGCCCGGTCTGGCTTCGGGCCACATTGACATTTCGGCGCTTGAAGCCAGATCGCAACCTTGTCCAGCTTCCCTTCGCCATCCACCCACCTCTTCTTCTGCCCCCGAGCTCGCCGCAGCTCGACTTTTCTTCTCTTCTCTTCATCCGTCTCTCCTTGGATGAATTAGTCCTTTTCCTTCTCCCGGGTTTTCTCCTCCAGCCGCCGCCATGAGTTCTCGTGAGTTTGCCTCTTGAATTCCCCCACCATGGCCATGGCCTGTGGCCAGATTTGTGTCGCGCGCGGTCTCTCTCGCAACGAGCTCGAAACGCGCAATTGACTCCCAATTGCACGCTGCTAACGTGGACGATGCCTCTGCAGTACGTTTTCTCGACCTGGTCAAGCCGTTCGTGCCGTTCCTCCCCGAGGTTCAGCAGCCGGAGACCAAGATCCCCTTCAACCAGAAGATGATGTGGACGGCATTGACGCTCCTCATCTTCCTGGTCATGAGCCAGATGCCTCTGTACGGCATTGTCTCCTCCGACAACTCGGACCCTCTATACTGGCTGCGAATGGTCATGGCGAGTAACCGAGGCACGCTGATGGAGCTGGGCATCACCCCCATCATCTCCTCGGGCATGGTCTTCCAGCTCCTCGCCGGCACCCACCTCATTGACGTCAACCTCGACCTCAAGTCGGATCGCGAGCTCTACCAGACTGCGCAGAAGCTCTTTGCCTTCATCCTGTCGGCCGGTACCGCCACCGTCTATGTCTTCACCGGCCTCTACGGATCTCCCTCCGATCTCGGTGCCGGCATCGTGTTCCTGCTCATTCTCCAGCTGGTCGTTGCTGGCATGATTGTCATTCTGCTCGATGAGCTTCTGCAGAAGGGTTACGGCCTGGGCAGCGGCATCTCGCTCTTCATTGCCACCAACATCTGCGAGTCCATCATGTGGAAGGCCTTTTCTCCCACCACCATCAACACCGGCCGTGGCCCCGAGTTCGAGGGTGCCGTCATCGCTCTCTTCCACCTGCTCATGACCTGGCCCAACAAGCAGCGTGCTCTCCAGGAGGCCTTTTACAGGCAGAACCTGCCCAACATCATGAACCTCCTCGCCACCATCCTGGTCTTTGTTGCTATCATCTACCTCCAGGGCTTCCGCGTCGAGATCCCCGTCAAGTCCAACCGCCAGCGTGGTGCCCGAGGCTCGTACCCCGTTCGCCTGTTCTACACCTCCAACATGCCCATCATGCTGCAGTCCGCCCTGTCCTCCAACGTCTTCTTGATCAGCCAGATGCTCTACTCTCGCTTCTCCGAGAACCTCCTGGTCCGTCTTTTCGGTGTGTGGGAGGCCAAGGACGGCACCTCTCAGCTCCACGCGGTCTCTGGTCTCGTCTACTACATGTCTCCTCCCCTCAACTTCAAGGATGCTCTGCTCGACCCCATCCACACCGCCGTCTACATCATCTACATGCTCGGTGCCTGCGCCCTCTTCTCCAAGACCTGGATTGAGGTCTCTGGCTCCAGCCCTCGCGACGTTGCCAAGCAGCTCAAGGACCAGGGACTTGTCATGGCCGGACACCGCGACCAGAGCATGTACAAGGAGCTCAAGCGCATCATCCCCACTGCCGCTGCCTTTGGCGGTGCCTGCATTGGTGCCCTGTCCGTTGCCAGCGACCTGATGGGCGCTCTTGGCTCCGGTACCGGTACCCTTCTCGCTGTCACGTATGTTTCCCTCCTCACCCCGAACCCTATGACGATGAAACTAACAGAATCGTTTGCTAGCATCATCTACGGCTACTTTGAAATTGCTGCCAAGGAGGGTGACCTCTCCGGAATGAAGGGCATGATTATGGGTTAAAAGGGAGCCATTTGGGGGCAGGGAGGCGATGGTTCTTTAATAAAATCGCTTTGAGATTTCCACTGTTCTGGTCAATTCTTGACTTGCATGGAAATTCTAGCCATGTACCAACAGGGGGATATCATGGGAGGATAAGGGGTATGAACCAAAAAATATTTCAATGGAATGTACGATTGTTTTACTACCAAACGGGGAGTTTGCCTAGCGAGGTGCCATTCGGAGTGGACGTCAAGGACATGCGGCGTCGTGTTTACGGTTGGGCTCCTTGCTTACCCGCGAGCTGTGTTTATGAATTCAAATGCACATAAAGCATATCAGCAGCCGTCCATCGTCCAATTGGGTGATTATGGAATTGACGGATACTTACGAGGCGACCAAGTTCGGATTTTTTGGCACCAGAGTACCCCAAGAATATGCTCAGATATTACCGGGTATCAGCTTGATACCAGTCCGAGCTTCAAGAACAAGCATCGGCTTGACGCCCAAGCCTTGACGCCTCTTGGGGTTTGCGGGGAAGCAGAGCTGGTGGCTACTGGTTGCGTAGGAATCAAAGTACGTATTAACGCCCGTGCCCCAACCAGGGCGGCAGCACTAACAGGGAGAGCGGGAAACGGCACTTGGTAACTGAAGCTAGCATCAAGCTTGGAATGGGCTAACCAGTGGGATGGTGTGTCATGCAACGCCAACCATGTAATTGTCGTCATCGGCCTCTTTGCCAGGCGAGAATTTCAATACTACTCTACATGGCATGTCCTCAGGTGATGTCTTCAATGGATTGCTTGGCTCGACTTGCCCAAGGTTCTGCTGTCTTGGACTCAAAACAATCTAGACAAGACACAGTCTCTGGCGCTAGAGATCATCATCACCAGGTCGCATTCCCTCCTCGGTGACAGCAATGCCAGCGAGGAACAACCGCTTTCGCACGCGAGAGCCATTCCAGCATGACGCCAGATTGACGCTGCGACACGCTGAAGGGCCCTTTCGCTTCCTCAATCCAACACGAGCCCATTTCGACCACTCCGCATTCTCATCTCCAGGGTTGTCCCCCGACGAGACAAAGACACCACACGAGAGCGGCGACGATGTCGAAGCTACAGCAACTGCTGATACTCGGCACGACCAGTCGTCAAAAGAAGAAGCCAATGCAGACGTCCCCGCGAAAAACATCAGGTTCCTATGGCGGTCGCGAGATAATCGCAAGGGCCGGCATGCCTTGCTCGTCCAGCGGCCTCTTCCCGGGGAAGATGCGCCTTTCGTGACGCCGAGGCGGACGTCGCATCCCCGAGAGATCTTGAAAACGGTCGTCAGAACGTTTGTGTGTTATCCGGTCTGGGACATTTCCTGGCTCGTGGCCTTTATCTTTACGTGGGGAAGCATAGTCTGGGTCATCAACGTACGTACATCATCCGGAATATCTAATTGGAAATGGGGAAGCTGATGTACAAGGTAGGGCTTCTTCGTCTGGCTCCCCGTGGAGGCCCCCTCGACCGAGTTCGACGGCGAGACAACGACGGCTGCCGGCGTGACGGCCTTTATCGGCGCCATTGTCTTCTTCGAGGTTGGCTCCATCCTACTCCTCTTCGAGGCTATCAATGCCAACCGATCGGGCTGTTTCGGCTGGGCTGTCGAACAGCTCGTTGAGAAGAATGGGAGCAGCAGCGGTGGCGGCAACAGCAAGCCCCGGCTCCGGGTTGTCGCGAATCGCCATCACTGCCACCATCACCACCAGAACCGACGCAATTTCGTAGGCAAGCGTTCAGCCGCCACCTCGCTCGAAGCTCAACCGACCTCCGATGGAGCTCAAGAGGAGAAGAGTTGGCAGTGGTTTCCTTCCTGGCATGAATTGCGCACGCACTATATCCACGAGCTGGGCTTCCTCGCCGGTGTCGCGCAGTTCCTAGGCGCTACTGTTTTTGGAGTGTCTGGGTTCACGGCGCTGCCTGGCATCAACGACCATCTCACGCCTCAATGGAGACTGAACGCCGCGTACTGGATCCCGCAGGTCATTGGGGGCAGCGGCTTCATTGTCAGCAGCACGCTGTACATGCTGGAGACGCAGCAGAAGTGGTGGAAGCCCGCGCCCCAGCTGCTGGGGTGGCAGATTGCCTTTTGGAATCTCGTCGGGGCGTTTGGATTCACGCTGTCTGGGGCGCTGGGGATGGCGGCCAATAACTCGGGGGCGCAGTACGAGGCTGGCCTGGCTACGTTCTGGTGAGTTCTTTGCATTTTTGGTTTTTTTTTTAAATCTGGAGAAGAGGTGTGGCCGTTTTGCTGACTTTATTCGCTGCTTAAAGGGGGTCATGGGCGTTTTTGATTGGTAGTTATTTGCAGCTGTGTGAGAGTCTGAACAAGCATCCGGTGGAAGAAGTGTCGACGATGAAGGCATTTGGCGCCAAGCAGTGAACCTGTTAAGTTGACAGCTGAAAAGCCATGATTGCACGAAGATGTTGATTTTGACGAAGCGATGTCTTGTATCTAGGTATAATCCTACATGTAGGTAATGAAGGTTTCTGCAGAGGACTGTGGACTCTTGGGTGTGATATGATAGATATTACCATGGTCTCAGATAGTCCAATCTGACGACGATATAGTTGAGTCAACTACACAAACAAGCGCACCTTCAAAGATTCTTTCGTTGTTTTCTTCCCACTCGAGGTTGCCATGATATGTAGCCATACACAGGAGACAGCCGCGTCACACAACCCCCGAGGGCAGACCTCCGCCATCATCATCGCCGCCCGAAAACACTCCATGGCCCAACGCATCTCGGCGCCTAACATGCCGTGTCGCAGTGTCTCAGTTCAGTCGGGTCCATACAGGTGCCTACCTTTCTCCAAGTACCTTGTGCAAGGCACGCTATGAATTAGCTACCCACAGACTGGTGAGGCGTCGAGATGGGCCGGCAGGGAAAGCCCAAACATGTACTACTACTACTAGACGGTTCGAATTGCATTTGATAAGAATGTCGAGTGTTTCCTCTAAATGCATACTGTAGACGCCGGAATTTTATTCAAGAAGAGTGAGGCTGCAATACGTGGCGGTTTTTGAGGGCTTCGAAAGACGGTACACTCTGCTGTAATCTTTCTTTCTTTTTTTCTTTCTTTCTTCTATACCAAACCTCGACTGGAACGAACCGTGGCTGCTTTGGAACAGTGAGACACAATCTAGGGATGAGAGCTTGTATAACGTGGTTACTGAACCCAGCATTGCGGGTGCTTGGCACCGAGCAGCTGATACCCAAGGTAGTTTTACATGTGACCACAAGTACTTGGCGATAATCCCTTTGCAAAAGTAGGCATAGAGAGAGCAGAATAAATATAAACTCACGTTGTACTAAATACGAGCACCATATGTTCATGGCATTTGGTGGTGAGCGTCGCATTTGTGTGCGCATGGTTAGTTTTTCTGTAAGCGCATGTTTGCTTTGTTCCCCGAGTTTCTGCAGAACCAGCTGGTAGGCCATTATGTTGGCTCGACGCTGGATGGTGAAGGTATCAATTAGGAGAGACTCACTATCCGTTTCATCGCAAGAGTACTAGTCGGAATGGCATTCCTTTTTTTTTCTTTTTTGTCTCAAGCCGCGATCTGATAATAAGCAATACGAGGTCGATCTGCGATGGAATAAGCGCTCGGATGGGAGATCCGTGGGAGCTTGGGCCTCCCCTCCCCCTCCCTGCGTCAACGCGTTGCGTGAAGTTCGCTCAGGTACCGGTACAGCCACCACCTAGTATTACCTGCCAGACGGGCGGCGACGCGAAAAGACGGGCTGGACAGCGAATCGGCGCTTCCTTGGACGGTCGAGGGTCCGCGGGATGGCGTGCGTGCTGGGATGTTGATGCATGGAATATGTCCTTGTGCTTGCTGCGTAGCTGCAGGGCCGCCGAATGGGTGGTATTAGTAGTAGTGCAGCAGCGCCAGCTCGGAGCGACTGTCAGAATTGATCGGCTGTAGCAGGAAAGATAAGAATGCTGAGATGAGGTTGAATAGAGAGGTGGCACCGCTAATTTCATCATCTTGACAGCCTGGTTGCAGCCTCGGAGCCCTTCTCTCTCCACACAGTCTCACCGAATCCTGTCAATGCCATTAGTAACAATGGCTCCGCCGTAGCGGTGAGTCAGTCGTCAAGGCACCTCAGGCGAGGCAACACAATAGATTTGATGGATTCTGCAGACCCAAGGGGGAAGATCGGGGAGGGGCGGTGGTGGAGTTGGACAAGTGCATGGCCGTCTGTTAGCGTGGGCGAGCATCTGGAATAGGGAAATGGAAGAAGAAGAAGAAGAAGAAGAAGAAGAAAGGGATAGGATGCTGTTCACGTGGAGGGTGGTAATGACTGCCTTTGTTTGACGGTGGTATGAAGATCAATGGAGGGAGAATACCAGTGTTTTGCTCCGGATGATGGACTAATCTCGAACTCGTCGTGCAGAGATGAGATATTGCATTCTCGAGTCCGGAGGGCGGCGCATGTGGCACCGTGAGAGGAACGTCTGGAAAGCCAGGCGCACTGCCATTGCGCAAAGACTGGTGACTCAGTAAACAAATTGGTGAGTCGACGCTATCAGATGCAATGCCAATTGAATGACACCTTCTTATGCGTGGAAATGCGGGAGATGGATGCAGCTGATGATCGGCCTGCCAATTGGTGGGCGAGCCAGAGCCGAGATGCATCAAAGACGGCCGAACTGCAGTACATGAGAAGTAATTGTACTTATCTAGGTACCTACCTTACTGCCTTGGTACCCGGTTAGTACTACTAAGATTCGCGAAAATCTATCCAGGCACATCCCTCGAGTTATCAATCCTGGTAAACGTGCGTGATAATCAGCAGAATGCTTCGAGGCAAGACAATTTGACTTTGTGACCAGACGACAGCGTCCCCTTCGTCTCGCCCGCCGGCATCTTTGTAATGGTCCCAGTACCTCGTCGTTCATCATCCAAAACTCTCAATACGGAGCTCAAGCCTGCCTCAGGCCTAGCGGGAGCATAAGCAAGCGTCCAAATCGCCCCGAAAGAGTTAGCAGGCCAGCCTCGTGTTTCTTTGACTCTTGCAACGGCGATAGATCCATGATCTCGGAGTCCGCTTGTGTGGCACTCCTTACAAGGTACCTGTCCGAGTATAAGCCCGCAGCCGTAATCACCTTATGTGCTCATCATGTGCTTCTGGGCAGCGAGAAACAGCTTCAGGGCATCGCACTAATGCAGCTGCGGCCGTGTGACTCTTGTTCCAGCACTCCCACACACGACCGCCGCCTTTGACTCTGAACTGCATCATCGTCCGTGCCGGCGGGCCAGTGACCGGTGGGATTGCGAATGTTCTGGCAGGGACACGACCTTTGCTAGTTGCTTTGTGTGGTCGCATACTTAGAGACCACGATGCCTTCAAGTTGTTCGAACAAGAAGATCATTCAACATCATCTGCATCTCTCTTGATGCTACCTACTGGTGCCTACCTATCCACCCTCGCCGAACTGCTGCATGTGCTCCGCATGTTAGCACACATTAGTACGTACATTGCAGAGCGTCAAATCCATTCTCAGATACCTTATGAGATAGACCAGGTAAGGCACGCTTTGATACCAAACCTCATCATACCTTATGCCACTTCTGCCCTACACGACAGACTCATATTGCAAGTGCATACTGAGGAAGCACAAGACAAAAAGTCCCTTCTTTCTGGCATCCACCCCCACTGAATCGCGCGGAAGCCGCAATGGACGCTCGCTGTCCGCTCTTTCCCCACCGATTGCAGCTGCCATGCCGTATTAGTCTGGCCGGTACGAGCAAGAGCGAGTCCACAGCAGCCGCGATTACCTTTCCAGGCCAGCACAGGCGCAGGTACCGGTACTCGCGCGCCTGTCCTTGCCTCCACCTCCGGGCGTACCTTGCCTGACGCAGCTCGCCGCAAGCCTGGGCGCCCTGATGCCCACCCGCGGCACCGCTGCCAGGGAGAGCTACCAGCGCTTGCTCCACAGCAAGAGCCCGGTTGGAAGACTAAGCTCGGCGTACCTGTACATCCCCGTCATACCTTTGCCTTGCCTTGCCTTGCCTTGCCTTGACCTGTCCGGCGCTCGTCGCCTCCGAATCTTTTCTTCCGCTTTTCTCTTCCATCCTCTCCTACTCGGCCCTCGACCTTTGCTGATTGTCCCTTCTTTATGCCCGTGCAGCTGTTGACGCTATGAGTGTCTAGAGAGGCAACGACGAAAGCTCACTCGCCAGGAACGGAGACGACACCGCTGGTCCTCGTTCGGGTCTCCTTTTCTCATCTTTTCCGTATCCTCTTACACCGCGCCTTGCCCCGCGAACTCGACAGTCTGCGCAGCTTCAACGCCGCCGGGAACCGCCAGGGCGCTGCCCTCCTGCTTCGAGCCTCGGGCTGTTCCAGATCATCTCTTCCAGTATCGCTACGACTTTCTTCTACCCTGCGTGCCGGGCAGCTTTTGCCCCTAGCCAGAACCAGCCATTATGGGCTTCGCTCAGTGCTCATGGCCGTTCTGGCGAGTCGATGACTTCACCCTGTGCTTTCAGAAAAAGTAGGTTTTTTTTGTCCCCCCCGTCGGCCCTCGAGTCACGTCATATGCTTTCTACGCGCTATTCTCTGCTGCTGCCACGAACAATTTGGCTAATGTACAATTATTGAACAGCTACCTCGCCGTCCTCTTCCCGTTAATAGTAATTGGTATCTCTTTCTTGCAACTTGCTTTTTCCAGCATTGGCCGTCTTCGCAATGGCAAGAGCAAGGGTTATAGCTCCATCTCGGCCGACGATAACGTGCCCAATCACACCGAAATCCCGTCGGACGAACAACCCGACGACAGCGACGACGACTCCGACGACCTTGAGATCAACGGCGGCCGCTTGGCTCTGGCCAAGGTGACCTCCAGGGGCTCGATTGTGCAGGCCGACACTCCCACCGGCCAGCGCCTTTCGCAGTTTGTTGAAGAGCTTACCCTTGCTGGGCTGGTCGCGATCAACGCTTATGCTCTCGTTACTGGTGCTTTCGGCCCTGGCACCCACCTGGTGGCCATTGCTGGCTTGACGACGTGGTTGTATACCTTGATCCTGGCCACACTGCGAGTCGCCCTGGGCACCTCCAAGTGGCGGATTCCTCACATCTGGAACCACACCGCCACCATCTACGGCTGCAATTGGGTCCTCACCGTCTTTGTCTTCCGCTCCGCCATCATCCACCCTTACTCCAAGCTCTCCCAGAGCCTCATCTCCGCGGTTTTTGCCCTCAACACTCTGCTATTCGCCATTGCTGCCTGCACTAGAAAGGGCAACAAGACGGTTGTGTTGGAGTGGGAAGATGGGATCGAGCCCTCTCGCGAACCCCTCGCCAGTCTGTTCTCGATCGCCAGCTTCGCCTGGGTCGATGCCATCGTCTGGCAAGGCTGGAGGAGGCCCCTGGAATTGGAGGATGTCTGGAACCTCCTGCCCAAGGACAAGGCCGCCGCCGTTATTGCCAATTACAGGCTTGCCAAGAAAACAACTGCCCTTTCGTGGCACTTGCTCAAGTATTTCCGTGGGCAGCTGTTCATGCAGTGCTTGCTTGCCGCCATTGCCGGCGTCTTCACCTTTGCCCCCACCTTGCTCCTCAAGGCCATCCTGCAGTATGTGGAACATCCCGAGTTTGCGCCCGTCAGCGTTCTCTGGCTCTTCGTAATTGCTCTCCCCGTTCTTGACACCATCCGTTCGTACTGCGATGGTATGGCTCTTTGGATTGGCCGCAAGATCTGTATCAATGTCCGTGCCATCATGGTTGGTGATATTTATGCCAAAGCACTGCGCCGTAAAGCTGCCGCCGGCAAGGACAAGATTTTACTCGGCGAAAAAGCCAAACCGAACAATGACCAAGGTGTCGAGTCTAGTGGCAAAGGCCTCGTCGGCAAAATCAAGCACGCTCTTGGACTTGGCAAGAAGCAGAAGAATGCCGTCGCTTCGGACGATGCCGAAGCCGCCAATGCGTCCTCCAAGCCGAGCGAGGTCAAGATTGGAGCTGATGAGCAGGCCAACCTGGGAACTATCATCAACCTCATGTCCGTCGACAGCTTCAAGATTGCCGAAATTACCGCCTACCTGCATTTCTTGTGCGCTTCGGCCCCGACGCAGCTGACCGTCTCCATCTTCCTGCTATGGCAGCTCATGGGTTTGAGCGCCATTCCGGGTATCGTCGTCATGGCCTTCCTCTTGCCCGTCAACTACATGCTGGCTCGTGGCTTCAACCAGACTTCCAAGAACATTATGGCTGCTACTGACAAGCGCATCAATGTGACGAGCGAGCTCCTCCAGAACATTCGCATCATCAAATTCTTCGCCTGGGAACGTCGATTCGGCAAGATTGTCGATGAGAAGCGCCAAGCCGAGCTCAAGGCTCTGCGCTCTCGTTTCCTCCTATGGGCTCTCGCGGTTGCCATCTGGAACTCGGTCCCGGTGCTCATCACCTTCTTCTCTTTCCTGGTCTACACCCTGGTTGAGAAGAAGCCCCTATATCCCTCAGTTGCCTTTACGGCTATTTCGCTCTTCATGCTTCTTCGCGTTCCTCTCGATCTCATTGGTGATATGTTTGCTCACGTCCAGGAAGCTAAGGTCTCCATTGATCGAGTGGAAGAGTACCTCATGGAGGAGGAGACGGAGAAGTATGAGCAGCTCGGCCTGGACAACGTCGACGAAACCGGCAAGAAACGCATTGGCTTTAGGGATGCCACCCTGATCTGGGGTGGAAAGGACAGTGTGGCTGAAGACGGCTCCAAGGCATTCCGGCTCCTTGATCTCGACATTGACTTCAAGATCGGCAAGCTCAACATCATCGCTGGCCCAACCGGTTCTGGCAAGTCGTCCATGCTCATGGGGCTTCTCGGCGAGATGACGCTCGTGGAAGGCAAGGTGTTCTGCCCTGGCGGTCGCAGCCGAGAAGACGTTCGCCCCGATCCCGAGACCGGACTCGCTGATACCATTGCATATGTCGCCCAAGCTGCATGGCTGTTCAACGCCAATATCAAGGACAACATCATCTTTGCCGCGCCCTACGATGAACAAAGATACAACGACGTCATCGTCGCTTGCGCTCTGCAGCGCGATCTCGAAATCCTTGACAACGGAGACGAAACATTAGTTGGCGAAAAGGGTATAAGTCTCTCTGGAGGCCAGAAGCAGCGCATTTCTCTGGCTCGCGCCCTCTATTCGAATTCGGCTCACCTCCTCCTCGACGACTGCCTCAGCGCCGTTGACTCACATACCGCCCAATGGATCTTCACCAACTGCATTAACGGTCCGTTGATGAAGGGCCGCACCTGCATCCTCGTTACGCACAATGTGCAGCTCTGTGTCCCTTCCTCCGACTACGTTGTTCTGCTCGAGAACGGCAGGGTCACCGCCCAGGGGCCCTCACAGGAGGTCATCGCCTCGGGCAAGCTCGGCGAGGAAATTCAGCGCTCTCGGCCCGCCTCCCACGTGGCTTCTCGTGTGCCATCACGCGTACCTTCCAGTGTCGGCGATGAGGAGACCATGCTTAACGGCAACGGCGACGCCTCCGGCGCTGCAGACAGCTCCAAGAAGGATAAGAAGGCAGAAGCATCCAAGGCCATTTCGGACGAGACAGTGGCCACGGGAGCCGTCAAATGGTCGGTTCTAAAGGCCTACCTGTCTTCGATGGGGCCCTGGTGGTTCTGGATTGTCGCCTTGATGGTGTTTGGCATGCAGCAACTCTCGACTGTTGCCACCAACATCTGGGTTCGAGAGTGGGCCAATCAGTACATCGAAGAAGAGACGGCCAATGTCTCATACAGCACCTTTTCTCACGTCTATGGCGCCGCATCTTTCCTCAAGGGATCCTGGGCCTCTGTGGCCACCCTGGGCAACGACGCGCAATCTTTTGTTCGGCCAGCTCCCGACATTTTGGACATTCCGCAAGACTTCCTCCAGCCTCGTCCGACAGCAGTGCCGCAAGTCAACGTCGCCTACTATCTCGGTGGACTTGCCCTAATCGGTGTTATTGGCGCCGTAGCCGCTCTGATCCGAGACGTCTGGATCTTCTTTGGCTCTCTGACTGCATCGAAGAGTATCCACGACCGATTCATCACCTCTGTGACGCGAGCCAAGTTCAAGTTCTTCGACGTGACCCCTCACGGTCGGCTCATGAACCGCTTCAGCAAGGACCTTGAGGCTGTGGATCAGGAAATCGCGCCCACGGCCATTGGTATGATGACTTGCGGTCTCTCCCTCATTGTGACGATTGTGCTTATTGCAATCATTACTCCTCGCTTCCTCATTGCTGCTTTCTTCATCGCTATCCTCTTCTATGTCGTTGCCGCTTTCTATCTACGCGCCTCTCGCGCCCTGAAGCGCCTGGAGTCGGTCCAGCGCAGCCCGCTCTTCCAGCAGTTCAGCGAGACCCTCAGCGGCATGACAACGATTCGAGCGTACGGTGACGAGAGACGCTTCATTCGCGACAATCTAGCCAAGATTAACTTGCAGAGCCGGCCTTTCATCTATCTCTGGGCCTGTAACAGATGGCTCGCGTTTCGAGCTGATTTACTCGGCAACCTGGTTTCTTTCTTTGCAGGTGTCTTCATCATCAAGAACTTGGGCAAGATTGATGCCGGTGCGGCAGGTATTTCCTTGAGCTACGCGTTGAACTTTACAGAGAACGTTCTGTGGCTTGTTCGCCAATACGGCATGAACGAGCAAAACATGAACGCCATGGAGCGGGTCAAGGAATATCTAGATGTCGAACAAGAGGCCCCAGCTATCATTGAGGACTGCCGACCCCCGGAGAACTGGCCTGCCGAGGGCGGTGTCGAGTTTGTCAACTACACTGCTCGGTACCGTGCTGAGCTGGATCCGGTTCTCAAAGGAATCTCTCTCAAGATCAACCCGAGGGAAAAGGTTGGAATCGTGGGTCGAACTGGCGCAGGCAAAAGTTCTTTGACACTGGCCATTTTCCGTGCCCTAGAAGCCGATTCAGGAAGCATCATCATCGACGGCATTGATATCAGCAAGATTGGTCTTCAGGATCTCCGAGAGAATATCACTATTGTGCCCCAGGATCCCACACTCTTCATGGGTACGATTCGAACGAACCTTGATCCGTTCGATCAGTATACGGACGAGCAAGTGTTTGAGGCTCTGAGGCGCGTGCGACTTATTGGAGAGGACGAGGCTGTCAGCCCCACCACCCCTACCGGCCAGATTACAGCCGAAGGGGAGAGCTCAGGGGTCTCATCTGGCAGCCGTACCCCTTCAATCGCCACAAACAAGAATATATTCCTCGATCTGTCCTCTCCCGTATCCGAATCCGGCTCCAATCTCTCCCAGGGCCAACGACAGCTGCTGTGCTTGGCACGAGCGATGCTGAAGAAGCCCACCGTCTTGGTCATGGACGAGGCTACAGCATCCATTGATTACAACACGGACTCGAAGATTCAGAAGACCATCCGCGAACTCACCGGGACCGTCATCACGATTGCGCATCGTCTTCAGACCATCGTGGACTACGACAAGGTGCTCGTGCTGGACAAGGGTGAGGTGGTCGAGTTTGACCACCCATGGAAGCTGATCAACAAAAAGGACGGAACATTCAGAAGCATGTGCCAGACTAGTGGCGACATGGACACATTGCTCTTGGCCGCCATGAAGAAGTGGGATTCGGGACGTGAGGAGCGAGAAGCGCAGAGTTAGAGGCAAAGACGCGCGCAGCCCGAGACAGAGAAGTCGATGAAAAGACTGACGAAACCAACTAATAATGTTACTGGTACAACAATCGTACCCAAAAAGGGGGGTTGAGGAGACTGATAGAACAGAACAAAGTACATTAGGTGTCGAGAGGACAGGCACACAAAACATGATGTATGAGCATGATTAGTATTTATCTTTATGCTTGGATAGTACATAGAAGTATTATTGAAAGCTTTCATTTACTCGATTACTGCCGCGGCTAAACTATTGATGGCAATCCGTATTCGAGTGATAGAAACAGCGTATAAGGCAACTGACGGTGAGATTGAAACAAAATCTCAGGTGGGATGGTTTTTACAACAATGAGAGAAAACGGGGCCAGAGACGAAGCTGGATATGGCACGCCAGACTTTCATGTCAGGTTGTTAACTTTCCATATTCGTGACTGTTCTCCTTGTTCAGGTGTTTTCCTCCGAACCCCCCTTTTACCTACTCTGCGAGCTGAGTCCGCCACTCATACTTTTAATACCAACAATCCCCCCTTCCCGCAACTTGCATCCCAACCCATTCTTGTTTCCCAACGAAGGATCAGTTTCTCCCGCGGATGAGGGCGATCGCAAGTACGTAAAAGAAGCGGCGCGGTCGGCGGAGAGCTGCTGCAGCGAGGCATCCGATATGCATCCGAGCCACTGGGTCGAGAAGTGTCCTGCCCTGATGTTCTTGGCGCTAATCAGGTCGCTGCCGCCGCCGCCGCCGCCGGTCGTAACGATGATCTGCTGGCTATTGTCCTGTGCTGACACGCCGTCAAAGACGTGCACGCCTCGCCTCAGGGATGATGCCTGCTCGGCGGCGAGGCTGCAGACCTGGAGGCACTGTCTCGCCGTGACGAGTTCTCTAAGGAGGCTGGTTTGGTCCTCCTGCAGCTGTTGCGGTACTAGAAGCGAGATGGCTTTGGTGCTGGACGGCTTTATCGTTAAGGGGTTTGTTGTTGTTGTTGTAGCTGCGAGCTGTTGTTGCAGTTCAGAAGCCGCGAGAAGGATCCTATCTCTAGCATCGCTGAGAGCCAGGGCTGTTTTGGCGCGGGAGGATTCGTCTGTTGTCATATTATCATGTTGCGGTGGAAGATTGTCTTGCAGGCTCTGCAGGAGAGATGTTGCGTTCTCGCATATGAGGAGGCATTGCTGGGCGCGTTGTCTCTCCTCCTCTTGCCTCTGCGCTGTGCTCTCGTCATCAGGAAGAGGGCTAGGGTCCTGTTGTTGTTGTTGGTGGAGGAGGTTCGTTATAGCGGATAGCTTCTGGTCGATGTCGCGGAGATGAGCCTCGAGATCGGCTGTTGTTTCCTGGATCATTTCGTTGTGCTGATGTATTGTTTCGCGAGTGACCTGAGCAGTTTGCCTGCATTGACAAGTGTCAGCTGAAGGCAACAAGAGGAGAACTGCCCTTCCGCGATGTATAATCAATCAATCATGGAGAGGAATAGAGAAACGCACATGTTGAGGCTCCCGAGGGCAACGGCAATGGTGGCTTTATAGCCGGCCAGCATGTCCTTGAAGTCTCTCACGTCGCCGCCCATGTATCTGATCCGAGTCCAGTCCCGGAAGCTTGTGCGAGAGCCGCCGGAGGAATGCCTGGTGCATTTGATGATGACGGCGTTGAATTCCTGGCATATCTGGTGGCAGCGAAGGACTGGGTTCTTGAGCATCGACACCACGGGGCCCTCTTCATCGGAAGCGACTATGCTTCTGAGGGACTCGAGGACCTGTATGAGCGATTCCAGCTCGGAGCGGAGTTCTCGTATTGTACGCTCGTGGTTTTTAAAGGACTGGACAGTCTCGTGTAGAGACTTGCTGGATTCGAGAGCTCCCGTGAGAATATGGAAGACACCTGAGGTTATGGTGACAGGGTCCATGGTTAACATGTCCAGGATGGTTGCGACTTTTACTTGCCAGATGACGAATCAACAGTATTGGTAGTATATAGTCAAGGATCTGTCTAGAGGTATATACCTACATAGCGATATGGGTATATAAATGGTGGCTAGATGGGAAGAGTGTCATTGATGTTGGCTTCACTCGTCCTCGTCTTGCTTCGACTTGGAAGCACTCAGCCTCCATCATCGGGCTGTGGGGCACGTCAACCTGGCGCGCGGCAAATCCTCAGCCAGGCGAGATACAGAATGCAGAAGATGTGTTACCGCGCCTCCGCTGTAGAATCATTGGCGTGCCATTGGTGAGCTAGTCGTTGTTCCCAGCGAGCATAGAGATTCATTAGCAGAGAGCGGCTGCGTGCAAGCCGAACACTGGTCCGAAGCATGTACTGGTCTGTTGTTGGTCGTCAAGTCGTATCAACAATGGTGGCAGATTCAGACACGATACGGAGAGGTGACAATGGAGGTGGGGTAGCTCCAAGGCAGAAGCCGTCTCATGGGCAAGGGCCACGAGCAGAGGTGGGCTGGCGAAGAAGCCTTTGACCAATACCGAACGATCAAATGATGTTTCGTACTAGTACTATCTGTTCAGAGAAGCGATCGATCCGCTTTGGAGGGACAGTCTTTGTGAGTATCAGCCTGGTGTCGTGACTTTGCTCCCATTGTCTGGTGGTTTTATCGTCTGCATGCTGCCCGTCGAAGAGGGAGCCCACAGCGTCGAGCAGCGCCATACAGGTAGTCCGTAGTCACAGACGCCTGAGATGTGAACCAGCATGTGAACCATGCTGGTCCAATGCCTCCAAGCTGACACGGTTCGTCGGCCTCGCCTCGTCTCGCCCTCGTTTCATCTGGGCAGCAGGTGAAATGCCGCGAAGCCACGACGGCGTCGAGTCGGGCGTTGCCGCTTCGGGCATCATGCCACGAACAAGTGGAGGCGGTGCTGAAGAATCAAAGCGGCGAGCGACGTAAGCCAGCAAGCAAGACGAGCTTCTAGGGCCGTTCAGCCGCAGTTGTTTTTGTTAGCTATCGACGCACTCCTGCATCCCATATCCATAGTAGGGCACCTACGCCTGTCTGTCTGCCCAGCGATTCGCCCGGAGAGAGAGATAAAGCCGAGGGATTGAAGCCCCGTCTTGCTTCTCCCGACTATTGACTGAAGAGTTGGAGGATTTTGTTCGAGAGAGTCCGACGAGCACGATTTTCCCTGCTTTATCCAGTCGAAGAAGAGCGAGTTGAGAGAAGGAAATCTCGACAGGAAAAGAGACAACTTGAACTTGAACAGGCCAGGAACCACCGCTACACCTGACGCTTACGTACCTGCCTCTCTCACCGGTTTTAAGCTTCTTTTTCCCTTATCGATTCCCCGTCTTTTAATCCGTCGACACCACCTTTTTTCTTCTTTTCCATCTCGTATCCTTTTGCCTCTCACCGTATCCTCTATTCTTCTTCCCCTCCTCTTCTTCCCTTTTCCTACCTACCCATCATACTCCCCCCATCCTCACCAACATGGGAAAGCCAGACTTCCTCCCTCCTCCGTCTCCGGCCGGCGGCCCTGCATCGCCCTTGGCCGAGGCCGCAGGCTCCATCTCTCTCAACCCAACCTCGGCCACCTTCTCCGCGGCGAATCTGGGCAATCATCGCCAGACGTACTTTGACGACGACCCTGCCGAGCTCGCTGCCGACGATCTGCCTCCTCTGTATGACGAGCACGAGAACGATGCCGTGCCCTTCATCGACCCTCTGGCTCCCACCACCGGCCCCGGAGCCGGCGGCCTGACCATCGAGCCCTTCAAGCGTGATGCTCGCTCAGATACCGTCTACTACCTGGATCCCCGCCTCGACTCCGACCCCAAGTTCCTCAACGACACTCTCGTCCAGCTTGCCCAGCTGCCGCCTCGGCCGTTTGCGCAGATCCGCGGCACTCACACCGAGACTCGCCGCAGGTCGGACGACAAGACGGAGCAGGTCACCGTGGTGGACTTTGACATTGAGATTGAGCTCACACACCTTCTCTACGTCAACATCCGGGACCCTGTCAACGGCGCCTGGCGACAACTGCACAGCGTTGGCAACCTGGAAAAGGTCCGTCGTGGCACCGTCTTCCCCACGCGCGCCCCCGGCTTCGGCGGCAGCGGCGGCATCATCGAGAACGGCGAGCCCTCCGTCGAGGAGTGGTGCCACCGCTTCTGTGCGAGCCGTGCCGGCCTCAAGAACATGGTCTTTGAGCGCCGTGTCACCGGCTGGGACTGGGACTATCTCAAGAAGCAGCTGGAACGCCTCGTCCACGACACCAACTACCGGGGCCACACCAGCATCACGTTCCCGGTGCGGAACTCGCGCGTGGAAATCTACAACGCCTGCCGTGTGAATCGGATGCGCCTGACCAAGTGGATCGAGGTCATGTTTATGCTGACGCTCTTGTTCGTCTTCGCCTGGCCTTACCTGTTCTTCCGCACCAAGCGCTGGGAGACGGTGTATGCCGAATGGGCCATGAGCCGTGACGAGCCCGACGGCACGGGCTGCGTGGAGCGTCGCTATGCCTCCATGAGCGAGGCCCAGTGGTACCAGATGTGGGCGAGAGCCATCCAGAAGGCCGTCTTGGAACGCAGGCAGGGGCATCTCGACCAGGGCGACGTGGAGAGGGCCGACCAGCCTGCCGACCAGGCCGGTGGCTTTGCCGGCATGGTGCAGGCCGGCGTGGAAGCCATGGGCGTCGTCAACCGATCGTTTGGATGGGGAGGCGACAGCGGCAACAGCGCGCCCCGGCGCTTCAAGTTTGGAAGACGGTGAAGGGGAGCTTGTCAGCTGCTTGTGAAACTCGTGGCGATCAACGTCAATGGTATGAAGACATGGATCTCTTGGATATTGCCCCTTTTTTTTTCGTTTTGGTCTCTCTCTGAGCACTTGACTTGGAAAGAGAAGTTGCTTTCGGTGACGGAGTTTTGGGAGTTTACAGGGTAGCATTTGATGATCTAAGTGAAGCGTTTTGCGGAGCTATTCCTCATGTACAGACAGTCTTTAGCATTTGAACTGGTCTTTTCTTTCGATACATGGAATGATGTTATTCATTCAGCCATTTACTTGTATCCTCATCAATATCAGTCGTGAACCGTTTTACTACACCAGTATAATATTCTTCTTGCTGCTGGCGGGTCCATCACAGGAGCAATCGTAACCTCTGCATCCCTCTCACCCCACACCAAAGCAGCCTTTTTGCCCCTCCAGCCAATCGTTTTGCCCCCGCCTTTGTGAGCAATCGGACGTGGCTGACCAGCCAGCACCTCACTTTAAGCACCGGACTTTCCACCATCCAAAACGATCAAACTTACATCTTCATCACCTTTTCTCAACTCAACTTTACGAGGAGTCGGCACTTAATTTTTTTTTTTCTCTCTCTCTGGTTCGCTCTGTTACCAAGGTGGTCCAGTAACTCATTTCACCGCAACTGTCCGCAACTCCAAAGTCCCAGTATCTCTAGACGGCAAGCACGTGGAAAAGGAGACAGAGAGAGAGAGAGGGTGATAGCCGCGGTCTCACAAAGGATGGACATTTCGAATCCGAGGAGGATATTGGCTGTCAGCCTTGAGGGGTCGGAACATCATCTCAGTCGAGTCATCAAAGGTATGCTTTTCTTCTTCTCCCATATTCTTGCAAGGTCAAGATGCGTCTTTTGCGGCGTGTCGGCGGAGGAGAGGGCATTCAATCTATCTAGAGTATATATCGTAGTCACGATATATGACCCTATATCTGAATTATAGCGCAAGATTATCTGGAACTGGCCTCTATATGTGCTACACCTTGGAACCATTGCCAATCTTCACAACCTCACTTCCACATTCACGTCAGATGGACTCCCATCGTCTCACCAGCCATGATGCAGAGGTCTAGACTACTAACTGACACCGACAATCCAGATCTCACCGGCTCATCACCAGAGCCAGCATCAACATCACTCGCCGGCACAACCCACGACCTGCACCTCAAAACCTCCTACTACACCGCCTCCGTCCCCATCTGGCTGGACATCATCGCCTCCCCCTCGGAGTGGGCCTCATCCTTCCTCTCGGACGAGGCCCGCGAGGTCCTCGCCGTCTTGGGCGGCCTTGTCCTCGTATTTGCGATACCCAGCGCAAGTCCCACGGCTTTGACTGCGGACAACCAACTCCCTAGCCTCATTCGGCATGTTGGCAGCGTCCTTCAGAAAGGCCTTGGTGGTTGGGACTGGGATGGCGTCAGGCTGGCGGTTGGCATTGGTGAAGGCGATGCCGATGACTGGGATGAGCTGTGCTCTGAGTTTGGGATGGAGTTTGTGCAGCTGAAAAGCGGGCAAAAGGAGAAGAACGAATTTGGAGGTATGCTGTTTCTTCAAGGTCCCCCCCTTCGGGCTGTCCTTGTCCTACTGGCACTGGGTAAATGTTGTATTACTACTGGGATATCTCACTGACTGAAGACATCATGGCAACAGAAAAGACGGGCATACCTCGTGTCAAGGAAGCCCTCGAGTCAAACGACTGGGAACAGCTCAACGATGGCCCCGTCTCCGAATTCAGCGAAACGCGCTCCGACAAGTCTGATGATGACTTGGCAAATTTCGATCCCGAGAGCTTGGACTTTGGTGTTGACCGTTCCGACTTTGAGGGTTTGCGAATGGCGATATGGAACACAGGTCGACTCGACCCTGAGGTTGGCGATTCCGCCTCCGCAAAGCAAGGCGAGGCAGATCAGTCCAAGGTGTCCGATGTCAGCGCAGGCTCGGCTGCTGCGGTTGACCAACCCGGCGAGGCGGAAGATCGCGACCTCGACGACGAGGATGTCGCCAAGGTGGAGAAGATGATGAGGAAGCTTCAGGCGGCTAGGGAAATGGGCGAGGGCATGGGCGAGGCGCAGAGGAGGCGGCTGGCAGCCAAAGCCGTTGAAGAGGTCATGAGAGAGCTGTGAGGTTCGACGAGCATATGATCCTCTCCGGTCTGCACCTTGCCGGCTTCTCCCTTGCCATCCATACGCATGCTAGGCGTGGCATGGTCCATAGTATCGTCCTGGCTCTCATGTTAGCTAAATAGATGTGCTTTGTGGCCTTCCTACCTGTAAACGCATGCACATCGCATACTACTAGTACTAGTAGTACCTCTTGTTTCTACCAAACGCACGCCAAGAGATCACACCCCTTCCGCGGGATCTTTGCAGCACTACCAGGCAGTAATACTGGCGGTATGTGCTCCCTACCTACTCCGTGCTTCACGATACAGCTTCCAGCGCTAGGACTCCGTAATATCTCGTACGAAGTTGAGTGAGTGCCAATGGCATTGCACTTGATCCCGTGTCCAGCAGCAAGGGATCACCGTTCCCATCATGCATCATACCAAAGCATGGAAAAGGTGAGACATGGCTGCCGCCTTGCATACAGCCAGGCATCTCGGCGCGACGTTTCCTTGTAGTATGCATTCGCATCTGAGTACGAGCAGTGGCCCATTGCTCTTGGCGCTGTGCTTCCGCCACAATCTGCCCCGTACTCCGTACATATGTATGCCCATCAACGTGTCTAGACAAGTGGCATCTTGCGCGGCATTCCCATGCAAGGGCAACTGAATTGACACTCTGGAGACCAAAACTCTAGATGAGATGGAGATTGATAAGCTTTTGGAATTGGCTGTGTGATGACATCAACTGCTTCATGAGTCATAGCCTACTCACAAAAGGTCCCCCGTATGGTTGAAGTACAGTAAGACGAGACAGCTACCTTAGGCTTAAGCTTGAAGTCAAGTCATGCCTTTCGGTATCAGGAGTGAGTTCCAGTCTCATCGTGATGGGTTTCCCTGCATAGAGAGTGGAGCGCGAGAGACCGCAGAGCCATATTCTCCGGGCAGACCCATTTTCCCAGCCTTGGTTCGTCTAGGTGTGAGACACCTAGCATGCGGGTGAGCGATGCTGCACACAAAAGATTCTTCTGCAGGCGGAGTAGGTCAACAGGGATGGGAGAGGATTGAGCCAGCATGAAACATCACATGACTGATCGTTGCAGTTTGTAGCAACATGCTGTTTGACAGCCGCTCTCGAAGAGCTGCCCCAGTGCCTGTAAGGGGACCAGAGTCTGTGATGAGACTCCATCCAGACATGAGCGATGCACCTACCAGTATCGCTGCGTCACTCGAGTCAGCGCAAAGTGTTGATCCTTTGGCACTTGAGGAGAAGGGCTTGGTGGATTCCGCCGCTTCCAAGTGCTGATGTCCTAATCCGAATGCTGGCAAGCCCGACTGGGCGACTCAAGCCGGCCCTAGCTGGCGGGATCCAGTTTGCTGGAGGTCCGAGTCAAGCTGACAATGAGGACGGCGACAGTCTGTATGATCAGCAAAGACGTCAGGTTCGCTCTCGGACGGTCGAATGATATGCCAAAGGACCCTTTGGTATTCCTTGCCGTGCTGTCAGGCTCGGAAGCCGGGCTTGAACATCTGAGCAGACATTCCGACAGTCACGGGTCTCGGGTCAATACCTTGAACCCTTTTTTTCGCTCCCCTACTGTACCCGAATGTGCGAGGGCCCGGAAGTGGCAAAGAGAAGTCAAGCATCCTGCGACAATAACAGTCTCATCGCTTCCGAGACTTCGAACATCTTCCCTTCTTCCAAGCATAAGGCAGCCTGACCGACGGCTAAATTCGCCGCACGCCGCAAGGCCTGCGAAGGGGCATCTGACACAACAGCATTTCCGGGGAAAGAAAGAACCCTTCCCCCCAGATTATGTATGTACTCAGAGCTCGGGTAGTACTTCGCGATTGTACCTGAAATCCTTCTCATTGTTTGGGCTCCACAGTGGTGTTGTAGTCTGGTTATTACTAGAGCCCGAGGATGAAGAAGCTGAGGTGAATCTTTCCGCTTGTTGGTTCGACCTCGTCGGGCCCAACCGGACAAACAGATCTGACACGAGGTGGACAGACACGAGGTGGAAGGCGATGAATATTCTTGTGCTCTCCCATAGCATGGAGAGCGTGTTCATTCGCCAGTCTCATCCCAGCATGCAGTCAAGACACGCGAAAAGCCAACACTGCGGCAAGGTTTCATTCTTGGGATCCCCGATGTGCCGCAAGACAAATTGTGCTTGAGAAGGCTGCCGCTGGGATTCGAGTGGAGATGGAAAGCCGTGCCTGTGAAGGATCGATCGGAGGCGGAATGGCCCTCCAGATGGAATAGGCAGGATGGAGAGGCCAGGGAATGCTTGATAGTACATATGGAGCCTCAGCCGCGCTGGAGCTGGTGTTCCTGCTAGGAAACACTTGCACTGCATGTGCATGTGCATGAGCACGTCGCTCTCCTCGATGCAACGATCTCTCCCTATCGTCCTTTGGGTTTAGAACACCTCCTAGCGGATAGCCTGCGGCGGTTGGGCGGAGCGCTCCCGGCTACTGGTTGGCCGTGGCTGGCGCTGAGCAACGCCAAAGCAGTGAACTGACAGGGTTCCTAGCAACCCGGTCGGTCCTAGTCAGGGGTAAGGAGGCAGTGGAGCGTCGCTGAGCTTCTCCGGGTTGGTTGGACATGCAGCACTGTGTTTGCATCGCGCGTGCCCTGTACTGTGCGCCCAAGACAACATAGCCTTTGGTCCATCGTATTCGACGGCGATGCTACCTTTTTCTTCCGAAGCTTGCCAATTGTATGTAATACTCATTGCAGGCTTCACTTGATGGGGAGCCTGCTCAGAGGATTCGCCACCACGTGCATCTCATCGATCACGCATCGTCAACTGAATCCCCGTAGACCTTCGACCCTGCTGCCACCCTGAACACCTCTGCGATAGGGAGACGGGACATCCTGGCCCTCTTCTGCGGTCTTGCCGTCGAGTCTTGTCATCTCTCACACCAGCCAGGAGAGATGGTGCCACTGATGACTAGCACTACTCCGTGCTTGCAGCTCGCGAGTAGGGTGTCGGTCGTGGATGATGCCACTGGAGGCCGTAGTATTTTGTAGACCGGCAATAAGAGGACGATGAACCTGGTGCTCCGTGCTGGTGCTACTCCACGCTTGGCAGCCGGAATGCCTGCCACACTCGATTCCGTCCTGCCGCGATCATCGGCGGCGAAAGGGAAGCGAAGTGGACGTGTTTCGAAAAGGGGAGCGCCTCTGTTTTGAGGGTTTCCCCAGTGGCCGGCCCCTCGCCTGACGTTGCTGGAGCCGACTGGCAGGGCCCTGGATGCATGTGGTCAAAAGGGGCACACTGCATGTTCGATGCGATTCGCGCCATTGTCACATCGCGCTCCTCTGCAGTAACAACAGTTGGCCGCAGATATGCCCGTCGTCCTCCGTGAACTGTCTTCCACAGCAACTCGTAGTGGACTGGTAGTCGTCGTTTCATCATGCCCTTCGTAAGAAGCACGACTACTACTCCTTGACGGACAACAAGAGAGCACGGATCATGTGGTCTTGCGTCAAGACCAACGCCGTTGTGATGTGAATCGTTGGGGTTTGCCGTTGTGGTATGGATGAAGACGAATTGTCGTGCTATTTGGGCGCGTTTCGCACGCATGAGGCAGTAGCAGATTGTCAACTGGCTCGTCTCAGACCAAGAGTCTGGGAGTGAGCCACCTTCGCCGCTCACATCATACCCTCCATATGATGTCACCAGCTATCGGTCGGTTGACAGTCATTGATAAATACCTACCTGGTACATTCTGGCTTGTTAGCTGGATGCGTTGAATCGAGCCGCGTCGGACATGGCGGACAAACTCTTTGCACAGACGTACTTACAAGCATGTGCGAGTAGTGCCATGCATGCGTTAGTTGATAAGTGCGGTACTAGTATGGGGTTCAAGCTAGGACTTCATCCATCTGCGTGCGTCTTGTACGAAATGTTCCTACTCGTACGGCGCGGCTAGCAGTTCCACCATTGCTCCTAGGCGTCTGGACTTGCAAGCAACACTCGAACACAAGTAATGGCGCTGCATTGGCCAGGCAGAGGCCGAGTTCATCGGTCCGTTACTGTCTCGTCCCTTGCAGGGAGCGACCAGCTCGAGCCACAGAGGTTGTACAAGATGGCATATGGGCTGCTAGACCAAGCGGACGGGAGGACTGATTGCCTACCAGGCGCTAGAATCTCGTGATGCAACTCGAACAACGAATCATTGGTGGCGCGCAGGGCTTGGATGACTTATTGAGACCTTACCCGCAAACATCAGATTCCTGTCAGTCGCTGGACCAAGTGCCGCGAAGACAAGTCCGTCTGTGCGTGCTTGTGTCCCGTCCTCGTCTACCAGTAGTGGTGCTTGTGGTTGTAGTACATGCGGTGCCACCTGCTGGCCTGGGTTCGCTGGTACGAGCGTGGTGCTCCTCCGTACCACGGCAAGATACGGAAGGGCTCAGAGTAGTAATAATACATACAGTACGTCCTCGTGGCTTTGGGTTATCCCGGATGGACGCCCTCTTGTCGAAGTCTGAGTCGGCCGGTGTTCAGGCTGTGGGGGCGATGGGTCAAGCGAGGCTCACAGGTGATGATCTCCGGGGGGCTAGACCGCTAGAGCTGCGAGCACAAGAAGAAGCAGTAATGACGCTGGTCTCCGCGATGCCCTTTCGTTGTTTCTCGCCTTCTCGCCTACTTGACGCAGCGGATAAATGTCTGGTCTGGGAAGCCTTGAGGCCAGATACCAAGGCTGATTGGCACAGGAGATCACAGAGGGAACCATCCATGCTATGCATGCAACCATCAACGGCGGTCCGTTGTCTTGTCCAAGGAACGCAACCTCGCCCTTGGGTCAACGCGCTTGTTGCGTAGGATTCTGGCGTCGCCGGCGACAAAAGGGGAAGAGAAGGATAGGGGACAAGACAGGACATGGAGGCCGGCCAGTGGGGCATCAGATCGACCTGGGACCACAAGCCGGCACAACGTGCGAGTAAGACCACGCACACTCATAGGCTTACCTCTCGCGGACTGTGACAGGATGATAACACCCGGAATATCGTACAAGTGCTTCTCACAGCTCTGTCGACTGATGGGCGTCAGATAACGGCCGGTTGTGTGGCGTCAAGCTGTTCCGTTTGGCGTGCTGAATACCCAAGGGCGGCTCAGCCCCTTGAAGATACGAGTACACATCATTCAAGGTCTCTCAGTTCAACCGGAGAGCAACAACTCTCGCTCCGACTGAGGAGGCCTTGGCTGACGTGCCATCGAGACGCTGCGAGGCCTGCTCACGCCATTCGTACTTGTACGACGTCGGGTTAGCATCTGTGCATATCCTGTACATGTCGGGAATAGATCAAGCGAAGCTTTCAGCAGGCGCTCTCCGTTTTCCACCTACCTTCACTCCTGTCGAGGACCTCATCAGCTCGGTTCGGTAACCTTGTCGCCTGCCATTGCCGCTAGCGGCTCCTCGACAGCAGTCCTCGTGCATACAAGGGCTCGTTCCGGGTTGCTGCGTGGCCTGGAGGAGGCCAAGGGCGGTACCTGCATGCTCGCACGTACTCGTAGTGGTTGGGGGGCAAGCTGGATGGAGCAGACCGGCTGGCGCCGTGAATCATGAGCAGACGCCCGCTCAGTCGAGCCATCTACATATCCATGGCCGCTGCTGGCAGCTGTCCGGAGCATTGTGAGCGTCTGTGGTCGCCGATGTCAAGCAAAAGAGGAAAAAGAAGAGCGGCGACCGTTGTCTGCGGCACGAGAAAGCGCCTGAAGAACAGCCGATCGCCTCGAACGGCTCAACGTGGATGGCCTGTTGTTGCAGAGGATGCGGACGAGGATGAGCAGGACAGCGTCCCTCCTGGTACGAGGGTACTGTACTCGTACACGCCGGGAGTTTCATCGCTGCAGGTTCAGTTGCTCTTGCCGTTGGAGGCACGTGTAAGAGGAGGCAAGAGGAGGTCAGAGACGCTCCGTTCGTACCTGGGCAGACCAATCTTGGAACTTGTCACTATTACAACTGCTCACTCGCTTCAGGTTAGCAGCTCCCCATGTGCCTACCTAGTACCTACCTACTAGTAGGTATCTTGACCATGTCAGCACTCAATGGTCAATTCCGAGGTCATCAACCTGGAGCCCTACAGTACTGGGGCATTCATGGCATCTGTACAGTACCTATTCATGGTGCGGTAGGTCCTCACAAGTGCTCGCAGTTTCTGGGCGCAGCATATCACCCACCCTCCATCGCCACGGTACGACAGGACAGGACAGAACACGACGCGACACGACACGATAACGAGCCCGCCTGGGTCTGGTACCTGCATGCTGCGCGTGTCTGCACGGAGTGCCGAAGCAGGCGAGCCTGTGATACTCGTAGTACCTGCAGCTCTCGCCTCTCGAGTCCTGGGAGCGCGAACCCGCGGCCAACCAGAGCACCCGTGGACCTCTCCCCGTACTGTGTCCGCACTGTACCTGCAGGTGCCTACCGGGTGCAGGTGCTAGCGCTGCTGCGTCGAGAACCGATTCTGCCGCCGGATTGTGCGAATGCTGCAGCTACTAGCGGGCTGGCCAGGGTTGACAGGCAGAGGCGACAGGGCTCGATTGGAGCGGCCAGTCCAGGTCCGAGTCTGGCCAGAGGAACGGGACAGGCGAATACCTGCGCGCGACCTGGACTTGACACGATGACGCCGCTGGCCGGCCGCGAGGCTCTTGTTCCCCGCCAGTACCCCCTCCTCAGTCCCCTGGCGCCAACGGATGTCCTGAGCAGGCAAAAGCTCTGACCAGCAGCGTTGACCAGCGGATGCAGGGCCCGGACCAGTACCTGTACGAGGGCGGACGTACAGTGCGAGCACTACGGTAGTGTGGGCGGGACTGTTGGCTAGCACCCTCCTAGCGCATCCTGTTCCTCTCTGTTCCTGTTCCTGTTGCCGTTCCTGGCTCTTGTCCCCTGTTCCTTGCGCCTGGCCACGCCTCCGAGTACAGCCTGCCGACGCAATACCTTGGCGGTACTTCCCCGTGTCTGTTGCTGCCCTCACGCACCCTCTTCCATCGTGCCCAGTACGCCCCCCAAAGGCATCCATCCAGCAAGTACCCAAGAGGTTCCCAGCCGGCAGCCTGTACGTTGCCTGCACGTCAAATCCTGTGCATGTCTGCATGTCTGTACCTCGTACCTGGCCCGATGGAGGCCTTGTTTGCCCTGCTGTCCTGTGCTGCAGAGGGACTGGACCCGACTGCATGCATGTACCTACTCGTAAAGGGACCCGTGGACGGTAAAGCCCCAGCCACAAGCCCGTCTGGTACCTGACCTATGGAGGTACCTAGGTAGGTAGGTTGAGCGCCTGCAGCCACTAGCAACCCAAGGCGGCTGCGATCCCTCCAAGCCCACCTCACCACTCACCACCCGCTGCCAGCGAGCCACTCCCACTGGCTCCCACTGGGCTCAACCACTGGCAGCGCCCAGCGTGTGCCCCCAGGCCGCCAGGGGACCCCCCTCCCCTCCCCCCAACCCACCGCCGCTCGCCTTTTTCTTCCCTCCGCCTCCTGTCCCCCGTTTCTCTCCTCCGTCTCCCCCATCGCCATCCTCGCGGCCATTGTCTCCTCCTTTTTTCCCTTTCTCGTGTGCTTTTTCTTTCTTCACGTCACTCTCTTAATCTTCGGCCATTTCGGTTCCCGTCACTCTTTCCGGGACCATTCCATTCTTTCGGCTTCATATCCCAAAGGCCTGTCAATTGTTGCTGGGTAGACTCCGCTATTTCCATTCGACCTCGCCATTGTTCCTTGCAAGGGTCCCAGACACCATTCTTTTCTTTCTGGAACTCGACGCCGTTCTCTCTCTTGGTTATACTCCCTGTCCTTGCCTACCTTACCTTAGTTGAATCATCAATCACCAAGCACCTGTACCTACTTCCAAACGAATTCGACGAGCGCTCATCGCCGCCGCTTCCTTCACGCTCATTCTTCTCGAGTCCACCGCTCCTCAGCCCTGACTTCCTCGAGAGAGAGTCTGGCAATCGTGTTGCTACACCTCGTCTAATTGGAAGCAACTACCTGAGTCTAGGGCTCATCCTAAGCAAACATCTCATTCGAAATCACCACACGACAATCGACTACAAACGACATTCGACCTTGACGCGTACTCAATCGCCATGGCTACGGAGATCGAGCAGCCGCTGGCTCTGACGGCGACAGTGGGCACGCCAACCGCTCCCAGCCCAACTGGATCTGCCATTCACCAATCCGCGACAGCATCCTCAGACGGTACTCCAGGTTCTGCCACAAGGCCCCTTCCTTCCCCTACCAGTGTCAATGGCCAAGCCAATGCTTCGCGCCGCCCACCGCGCAAGAGCACCCTCACGCAACAGCAGAAGAACCAGAAGCGGCAGAGGGCTACCCAGGACCAACTGACGACTCTGGAGATGGAATTCAACAAGAACCCGACTCCCACAGCCAGTGTCCGCGACAGAATAGCCGAGGAGATCAACATGACGGAGCGCTCTGTTCAGATTTGGTTCCAGAACAGGTACCTACTTAACAATCAATGGTATCAGCGTGGGCGATTCAGGGGCTGACATTTGTCATAGGCGAGCCAAGATCAAGATGCTGGCCAAGAAGAGCCTCGAGACCGGCGAAGACATTGATTCGATCCCCGAGTCAATGCGACAATACCTCGCGATGCAGGCAATGGAATCCGGTAAAGGCTTTGCTGGCAGCTATATGGGACGCACAGGCCTCCTCCCCTTTGGTGGCGGCAACATGCTGTTTGGCGGCGACCAGAGCGCGCAGGGCAAAGTTTGTACGTCTCCCCGAGTCTCATTGCAGTACCTACCTATAGTACCTCCCGGGCGCGCAAAGTACTGACCTTTGTCTAGTAATTCATCATCTGACTTGTCGCTCGCTGAGCATCGGCAAATGGACGCGAGTCGGACAGAACACCATGGATCTCATCATCTTCTACTCACCGGACAAGTGCACCATGACCTACTACATTAACAACGAGCAGGCCGGGTACAAGATCGAGTATCCCTTCTCCCACATCAAGAACATCTGGCTGGAGAACGCGGACAATGACATGAATAAGTTGGCGGGCATCTTCATTGAGCTCAACCAGCCGCCTTACTTCATGATGGATGCGACCTCGTCGACCACGGGCTTTGACTACGTCAGTGACTTTACCGAGGATCAACAGGCCTCGCAGTGCTTGCTGCATCATCTGGGCGGCAATCCCAAGGTGCTGGCCAACCAGCTGGCCAAGCTCGTCTCTCTGGAATCGTTCATGAACCGCCACAATCCCCACAGCATCCGACAGGTTCACGCGTATGCCGACCCCCATGCCATCTCTGCTTCGGCGCCAGTGTCTCCCACAGCTCGACCATCGTCGCAGCCCAGCTTCGGCGCGCCACCCATGGCCATGGCTCAGCAGCAATGGCAAATGGCCAACATGCACTCTGCGGCCGGCATGCGTCCCCAGGGCCACAAGCGACAGCGTAGTCGCTCGGTTCCCGGCCCCATTGATTTTGCCATGTTCCAGAACCAGCCGATGCCATCCTTCTACATCCAGCCCCCTGGGGAGATGGCTACGCAGCACAACCCCAACATTTACGCGCCAGTGCCGCAGCAGCCAAACGTGGCACACAATCTGAGGATTGACACGCAGGCGGGCTTCGGCCTGGACATGCGGCAATACCCCATGTCAGCCACGACTGCTTCGCCTTCCGAGTTCCCTCCAAGCCCAGGCTTTTTCCCTCCTGGCCCTGAGACCGCTCCCCTGGCGCCGTCAAACTACAGCACTCCCTATGGTAACGCGTTCTTGTCGCCCATGGTCAGCGCTGAAGCCAACATGCCCACAGCCATCTCTCCGCTCCCCTTCAACGGCCCTACCGAGCCGTCGATTGTCGAGCATTCGCCTCCCATGTCGATGATGGGTCGTCCTGGATCCTCGGAAATGTACATGGGTCAGGATGGCTCGTGTGCTGTGTCGGATGACGGCGCTAGCCTGAACGAGATGTACTCTAAGCACTCCATTAATATGCCACTGCACGAGCATTCGCCTGGGAGCTATGTGCAGCACTCCCAAGCCGACATCGATATGGACCAGCTGGTGCACTTTGACGCCGTTGATCCAGCCAGCTTGTCGCCGGAGACGATGCATCGATGATGTGACAACGATACTCGGTGACGTTTCTGGCTGCGTGCTTCTTTTGGCCGTTTCGGTGCCCATGGTGTTGTTTGGAATCATCATTACAGCGGGAGGGCGTTCTTGGGTGAACTTTTACCATTGGGACCTACATGATATCTCGGTTACAAGCCATCTTGGACCTCATCTCGCGTCGCATCCATTTCTGCCACATATTCCTCTCCCCTTCGTTTTCTTTTTCATTTTGGTTAGCTGCCAACAGCAGCCTAATACGCTTGGCTTGAGCTCCTTACATGCCATCACAAATGCGGCCATGACGATTCTGCATGACGGTACCATTCTTTAACATCGGTCATGCATGTCCGGTACAGCGATCGTACGAGTTATTTTTGCGCGTGGAGATTTTGCTCAGCCATATTCTTTTGTTCATCTACTGCCCGCGCATTTATCTCTTGTCTGCTTGGTGAAATCAGTCGTTGGATGTACCGCATCCATCTACTCCATTGTCTGCTTCTTCATTCTCCTTTTTCTTCGTTGTTGCCTATTGTCCGCCTCGTCTTTCGGCCAGCCGATGCGTAACTGCCTGGGCTACACACAGCCATGTCGCAATCGACGGAGCCTACCTAATTTTCTTCTGGGCGCAAATCATCAGCTAGGGGAGTTGTCTTTTCTTTCATTGTACTTTCATACCTACCCTGATATGGGTCGCAGCCCCGGAGGTGGTGATCCTTGCCAGGTGGTGTCTTCCCTTGCTTGTTTTTGTTTTCTGGCTTCTTGGCTTTTTGATGGAAAATCCGAGATGTCATAGGGATATATGGTGTAAGAGGTGGGAGACTTGTTTAAAAGTATAGTGGTGTGGTGGGGTGTCTGAGAAAGGAGGAGGCAAAGATCTCCTCAAAGTCGATGGCGAGGGAGAAGCATCGCACTCTTTCAAGTATCCGGGTAACTGTAGAGTTACTAGAAGTTGGCATCGCATGACTGAGGTGCCAACTGTGAGCTTTGCAATAGTACTTTCTTGACGTTCAGACCTTTGATGCTGGCTTGTTGTGCTTCGACATGTGTATGCTGTGGGTGTTACTCTGTCCCTGGAACTGTCGCAGAAAGAATCTTGGGATTCTCACGATATGACTCGCCCTTGTGTTACTCAAGCGACCCGTGGATGCGCTTCGCCACCACCAGGAGGGTAACACTGCTTGATGGACGCGATTGAGGATCAGTGGCAGTGGCTGAGAGCTGATGGATGTATGACATTGACGCCGTGATCTCTGTGGTACACAGGGTTTAGAGATGTCTGGTAAACACCTGACGTATTGTTACCTCCTTTACGAGGAGCAACAAGGTCTGGTATGACTCTATTCACGAGCAACGGTTGTGTTACCTTGATGATTACAGCTGCCAAGTTGACTGATTCCATGGCATTCCCCCTTCTTATCACTCAGCCATGTGACAGACTTTTCAATCTTAGCCTGCCCAAGGTGAGGAAGGCTTGGTGGAATAAGCAGGTGTAGAGAATTCCGTGGGGTCTCCGCATTTTCAAATCGAAGCTTGAACCGTCATGAATCGCGACTAGACCCAGATCCCAGGCTGTGATGGTACATACATACCTAGTAGGTATGTATATGGGTACCTCCAGTGGCAGGACATGTAGTCGTATCTGCTGGTAGTATTTTGGCAGGGACTGGAAGCAAAGCCTCTTGGGCCTCGTAATGCGGGTGCGTCATGTAAGCCGTGGCCCGTCTGCAGGCGCCGAATCAGAGAGCAGGCGGAAGTCCGCATGTATTTTGTCAACGAGCTGGAGTATTTTTAGCATCCTTGGTGAAGAAGCGCTGCAGCAAAACCTCTGGAAGTTGATGCAACACGATTTATCTACATGCTGGAGATGCGCAGGGTTCTTTCCAATGGTACTGGCGGTGGCTGACAGGCCAAGTTCACCTTGGTGTACCTCATGGAAAGGCAAGGCGCTTGAAGGCATCGATCGGACATTTTGAAGCCGCTCACTGCAGGTGTGACGTCTTGCCAAGTCGGTCGAGCCTTCTGGCTGCATGGATGCGAGGCTTGTGCCCAACCCACCAGCCAGAATGTTGAACATCCTCTTCCCCTTCGTTTTTGATTCTTTCTGCTTCACACATCCAGCCGTCTATGTCCTCTTATAACTAATATCTTATCCGGCATCTCTTGTGATATGCGTTTCCTTCAACTTCGATGCTGAGAGACGGTTTCGCTGCCGTCCTCCTTCCGACGACTGGCTGTCAGCGCTAAACCATCACGATGCAACATTCTCGGGATCAGCCGCCTCCACCAGGCGACAGCAGCCATGCAGAAACCATCGAGACTCAGCAGGGCAGCGTAGTGACGGAAAGCTGTCGGGATGGGGCTGATTCCAGCGCTTTGTTGTCAGCCGAGGGCATTCCGCCTAGAGTCGCTGGCCCCAGACGCTCCCACACAGAGCCCATTGTGCCTCATAGCATGACGCAGGAGCCAAAGAGACTCCAGGCAGGGCCGATATCGAGGCCGCGATTTCAAGAGCATCTGATCTCAACCCAGGGTCCATCCGAATCGAACATGGCTCAAGACAGGTCTCTGAGTGAGGGACTGCTGTCTTCTGCACCGACACCCGATAAACCCTCCTCGACCCGCGCTGTTAGGGAATTCGGGCGGAATAGGGCCGCCAAGGGGAAGGGGAAGAAGAGGCACTGGCTGCTCAGCTCTGAGTGGAAAGATCGCGCCGCAGCGACTGCTGAGAATGTCTTTCAAAAGATCGTCATGGAGACTATCCTTCGTCGCAAACCGCTTCTACCCTCCAAAGATGGGCGACATATCCCTCTCAATCCAAAGGGTGTTGGTTCGGGCGGCCTGATAGACGAACGCAGCAACAAGCCTTATATCAGCAACTTCATTCGCTCCAGTCGCTATACAGTATACGACTTCATACCGAAGCAGCTGGTTTTCCAGTTCAGTAAGCTGGGCAACTTTTATCTTCTTGTGATGGGCATAATTCAGGCAATTCCTGGCCTGAGCACGGTCGGCAGATGGACGACCATTGCTCCGCTTGCTGGCTTTGTCGCCTTCAGCATGGCCAAGGAAGGATACGACGACTACAGGCGATATCAGCTCGACAAGTCAGAAAATCGCAGCATGACGTGGGTCTTGGCACACGGCGTGAGAGAAGGGAGAGAGAGGCCTCGCATGTCTGGATGGAGAAATGCCCTGAGGAGAAGGCGGAGAAGCGGTAGGAAGAGGCCCAGAGGGGATGACGAGGACATCATCGTGCAGGATGTTCAAGAGGGGGCCCTTGCCAATCTGGACGAGACGAACGATTGGATGAATGTCCAATGGCAGCACGTAGAGGTTGGAGATATCGTGCGTCTCCGTCGCGATGAGCCGGTGCCTGCAGACATAGTGGTGCTTCATGCTACGGGGCCAAACGGCGTTGCTTACATCGAGACAATGGCCTTGGACGGCGAAACCAATCTCAAAGCCAAGCAAGCCTGCCCTCTCCTCGCAGAGAGATGCGGAACCGTCGAGGGGCTCCGATCAATCCAGGCCACCGTGGTATCCGAGGACCCCAATCTCGATCTATACAGCTATAACGGAAGGGTCACTGTTAATGGCGAAGGGACCTTGCCCTTGTCGATGAACAATGTTGTCTATCGAGGATCTACGCTGCGAAACACCACGATGGCCATTGGACTGGTGATTAATTCGGGAGAAGAATGCAAGATCCGCATAAATGCGAGCAAAAATGTCCACGCAAAGAAGCCAGCCATGCAATCTACAATCAACAAGATGGTCCTTTTCCAAATCACAATCGTTGTCTCCCTTGCCGTTGGATTCACCATCGGATACTACACCTGGCAGAGCAAGACAGAGGACAGTTCATTTTACCTCGTCCGCAGCGGTGTCTATGACGGAAGCGTACCGTTCAAGCAGATTTTCTTTGGGTTCCTCATCATGTTCAACACCCTGATCCCGTTGTCCCTGTACATCAGCTTGGAGGTAATCAAGATTGGCCAGCTCTTCTTGCTGCAGGATGTGGACATGTACGACCCAGTCACGGACACTCCCATGGTGGCCAACACTACGACCATCTTGGAGAATCTTGGCCAGGTCAGCTATGTGTTTTCCGACAAGACAGGGACGCTGACAGAGAACCTGATGCGTTTTCGGAAAATGAGCGTTGCCGGCGTCGCATGCCTCCACAACATGGACGCCCAAGAGGACGAGGCGGCTACCCCGAACAGAAGCGACTACGGAAAAGGAAAGCAGCCTATTTCGACTACACACCCGATGATGGCATCAACACAGGCTGAGGGTGACAACTACGAGACGGCAGCTCTTGGACCCTCCAGGCATTCTTCGACTACTTCTCATCTACAAAAGAAACCCGGGGCAAAATCGTCTGATGAAGCTTCATACGTGAGAACCGAGGAGTTGCTCGAGTATATCCGTCGTCGGCCCAACACCCCATTTTCCCAGAAGGCTAAGCAGTTCCTGCTCTGCATAGCTCTCTGCCATACCTGCTTACCCGAGACCAACGATGTCGGAGAAATCGAGTATCAGGCCGCATCCCCGGATGAGCTGGCCCTGGTCGAGGCGGCACGAGATTTGGGCTATATCCTTATTGACCGACCGGCTCAGTCCATTAGGCTGCAGACGCAGGATGCAGATGGAGTCCTGCAAACAGAAACTTACCAAGCGCTGGATGTGATCGATTTCAGTAGCAAAAGGAAGCGAATGTCCATCATCGTTCGCATGCCTGACAACCGGATCTGCGTCTTTTGCAAAGGCGCAGACAATGTTATCATGGCGCGCCTAAAGCTTCGTCAAGTGGCTGAGTCAAAGGCGAAAGATGCTTCTCGAAGGGCCAGTGTGAAGAAGACATTCGAGCAGGACAAGGCTATCAAGCGTATGAGCTCTCAGATTAGCAGGAGAGGCTCACAAAACAATAGCTTCAGACTGGCACGGAGCGTATCGACGACGGCTGGACTTGAAGGCTTGAGAAACAGCATCAACTTTAGGCGTTCCACGGACCTCAACCAGCTCCCCCAGGCAGAAGGGGTGGCCTCGTGGCTGCACAGGCGAAATACAGAGGAAATAGTGTCCCCCAGGACATCGACAGACGCACAACGAGGCCCTAGAAAAAGCTTGGGTCACATGCCGTCGTACGACCAAAGGGATTACGCTGGGGAAGACGACGAAAGGATAGACGAATCAGTGGCTGCGGATGAGGCGGCGATCTTTGAGAGATGCTTCCAGCATGTGGATGACTTTGCTGCCGAGGGCCTTCGTACTCTGTTGTACGCCTACCGATACATTGACGAGGAAGCCTATGCAGAGTGGAAAACCGCATATAAGGAGGCGGAGACGAGCCTAGTTGACCGCCAAGAGCGCATCGAAACAACAGCTGAGCAAATTGAAGAGCAATTCGAGCTTGCTGGTGCCACAGCTATAGAAGACAAGCTCCAGGACGGGGTCCCGGAGACGATCGACAAGCTGAGGCGTGCAAACGTCAAGGTGTGGATGCTCACTGGTGATAAGAGGGAGACTGCTATCAATATTGGGCATTCGGCGCGAGTCTGCAAGCCCTTCTCCGAGATATATATCTTGGATGCCTCCAAGCGTAAGCTACAAGATACTCTGATGACGACGCTGAACGAGGTTGCGCGGGGAATGGTGCCTCACTCTGTTGTGGTTGTGGACGGACAGACGCTGGCTGAGATTGATGCTGATGAAGAACTTGCTGCCCTGTTCTACGACCTGGTCGTAAGAATTGACTCTGTCATCTGCTGCAGAGCATCGCCCGCGCAAAAGGCAAACCTAGTCAAGTCTATAAGGCAGTTTGTTCCCAAAAGCATGACTCTGGCTGTTGGAGACGGCGCCAACGACATTGGCATGATTCAGGCGTCGCACGTGGGCATTGGCATCTCTGGCCGCGAAGGCCTTCAAGCAGCGAGGATAGCCGACTATTCCATTGCACAGTTCAGGTTCCTCCAGAAACTGCTGTTTGTACATGGTCGATGGAATTACATTCGAACGGGCAAGTATGTCTTGGCCACGTTTTGGAAGGAGACCTTCTTCTACCTTATACAGGCGCAGTTTCAGCGGCTCAACGGCTACACAGGCACGTCTCTCTACGAGTCATGGAGCCTCACGCTTTTCAACGGCGCGTTTACTTCACTGCCGGTGATTTTGCTGGGGATCTTTGACAAGGACTTGCGGCCGGCGACGTTGCTTTCGGTGCCGGAGCTGTATACCTTTGGGCAGCAGAGGAAGGGGTTCAACTTGCTGCAGTACCTGGGCTGGATGGTCATGGCTGTTGCGGAAAGCGTGGTGGTGTTTTACTTTGTGCTGGAGGCGTTTGACGAGATTCTCTTCACTGAAGACAACGGGCTCTATGCGATGGGGACGATATGCTTCAGCGTTGGTGTCATCTTCATCAACGTGAAGCTGCTGTAAGTGAACCCCACCACGAGGACATTCTCTATTTCCTCTATGTGTCAGGGAATGGGGAACATGCATCTAACATAGACCACCTCTTCTAGGGTACTGGAGTTTCACAGCAAAACTTGGATCCCGCTTCTTGGCCTTGCCATTGAACTCGCGGGGTGGTTCATTTGGAACCTCGTCATCTCTGCCGTGTATCAGCCAACAGTCGGTCCAATAGTAGTTAGAGACGACTTTATACAAAACTTTGGGCCTCGACTCTCTTGGTGGACAACGCTTCTCCTTGGGATAGTTACACCCATCACAATGGAGTTGGCCGTGCAGGCTATCCGTCGGGTGTACTGGCCTACTGAGCAAGATCTGATGCAGCGCATAGAGAAGGACGCCAATGCAAAGGAGATTCTGAAGAAATACGCTGCTGATGGTGCTGCAGACCTGGAAGCTGGGCGTACAGGTTCACAGGGCATCGAACTAGAGGAATTGGGACTGCGAAATGCTCAGAGGGAAGAAGGCGCTACGCTGTTGGCTGACCATGATGGGGGAGCAGAATCAAGTCTGGGTCCTTCGGCACAACCCGTGAGCGAGGTTCTGAGGGGCACCTCGGGGGACCTGGGGCAGAGAAGGTCGGTGAGGGTGAGCCATGACGACTATCGACCGCCGAGATTTACGCCGCCGGCGGAAGAGAGGGAGAATCCGCTTGAGGCTGTGGATACGAGGAGGTGAGGCGGAAGCTCCGTGGATGGAAGAGAGGGGGTGGTGGTGATCAATACGATAGAGAGTTGAGATGAGAATCTCCTTTCTATATTCAATTCCGCGACTTTGAGCGTAGAATGCTGTTGGGACTGTTGGCATAGCGATTTTTCTTCTTTGGGCAGATTCATGGCTGAGCGTATGTTTTGGGCACGAATGGAAGGCTGTGATGGACGATGACATGAGATATGAGAGCATGATTAACTTGGTACTTTGTTCTGGTAGAATATTTGGTTACATTTCAGGATTACAACGACAAGGGTTAAGCCATCATGATCTATCCGGCTACCTTTACCTGTAAGAGCAACAGCGGTGAATGAGTGCCTTGATATCTCACAGCTGTTCAATGACGGCGATACGATGTCCGCACAACACGAACACGAACACGAACCGCATTTCTCAGCACTCATCATCATCACCCACGCTCTCATCCACCCTCACCAAGACCTTGCCGCTCGCATGCAGCCCGCCTAGCCTCGCATACGCCTCCCTGGCATCCTCGAAGCGCCAGATGCTGTCCCTGACGACGCGGACGTGGCCTTGGCCCAGCATGTCGGCGATGCGCTGGCGGTCCTCGAGCGACGGCTCCATCATGGACACGCCCCGCCAGGGACGCCCTGCGCCGCCGAGCATGCGACTTACGGGCCACCACTCGTTGAGCTTCATCTGGTAGACGGCGCGGAGGAAGTTGGGAATGGAGAAGTCGGGGGGCTTGATGCCGACGGAGGAGTATGTGCCTGAGGAGACGAGATAGTTTGGTGAGCCGAGGTAGAGGGACTGGTGGCCGAGGGTGTCGATGATGGCGTCGAAGGGGTGGGCGTGGAAGAGGCTGGCGAGGTGGGCGGGGAGGTTGTTATTGTTGTTGTTGTTGTTAGTATGCGGATGCTGGTGCTGGGTGTAGTCGATGACTTTGTCGGCTCCGAGGCCTTTGACCATGCGGGCGTTTCTACCGCTGCAGATGCCCACGACGAGGCCCTCGGGACCGACGACCCGGCGGGCCATTTGCACGACCATGGTGCCGATGCCGCCGCTGGCCGCGTTGACGAGGACGCGGTGGCCGGGCCTGATGCCGGACTCGACGACGAGCTGGTGTGCCGTCATGCCGGTTAGAAGACAGCCCGCTGCGTCGGCCAAGGGCACCGAGGCGGGCTTGTGGACGGCGAACCGGGCTGGGATGGCGATGTATTCGGCCAGGGCACCGGTTCCGGTGGGCAGGGTGTGGCTGGCGGGGAGCATAGCCATGACTTTGTCGCCTTTGCGGAAGCGAGTCTGGGTGTTGACGTTTGTGTTGACATCTTGGCCCTTGTTGTTGTTTTCAGCGTGGGGATGCCATACGTCTTGGACGATGCCCGACAGGTCCATTTCCGGTACGCATGTCTTGCTGCGGAGAAATGCTGGTATGAGAGTCATTTGGAAGATGGCGCCGACGTTGAGGCCTGCAAAAGCGACCTTGAGCAGGACCCATTCTTCGGGGTGAGCAGCTTGAGGGGGAAACGCTGGAAAGGGCCGGGATGAGTCGAGGGATAGGACATCTGAGGGTGAGCCGCGGCGGGAAAATGTCCAGGCTCGCATTGCCGTGGCCATGGCGTTCAGTGTATCGCTGTTTGATATGAGTTGCGGAGAGCTCCTCGGTGTTTCACTTGAAGCCAACACCTTCTATGAGCACGGTTGCACCCATGGCTGGCGCTTGTGAATATATGTAGACAGCGGGAGAGCTAGAGATGAGAGATGAGCGAACTATCGCAATTTGAATCACATAGTTAGCTTGATGCTGGATCGCGGCCAAGGCTTGGGCTGAGCGAGGCTGAATGAAGCTTATTGTAGAGGGTTGCAACAACTTGCTGCCAGCTTGCAGGTGGCGTTACATGGAGAGCAACCCTCATAATGATCCCTTAGTGGTCGTGCTGTTCTTGTGTTCCCTCATGCTCTTCTATGCTCGCCATTTTGCTCAGTCGAGACTGCAGTCCAAGGGCCTGGAGCCACAAAGATGGAGGCCATTTCAGTGAGGTGGCTTCGAAAGTCTCGACCTCGGCTTGGTGGACTGGCGCAAAGGGGCTGTACAAGCCACCACATGTAGTCGACACAACCTTCTTATTCTGTCATCACGAGTCGCTTTCGAGTAGTAGTAGGGTGCGTGCCGCTGAAGCCACCAAAGGCTCAATGTAATACAAGTAGGTAGTACAAATAGAAAGATCCAGAGGGGTCAAACGGCAGCGGCTTGTTAAGCTTAAATCGAGGTCCTTGGGACCAGGTACAGTAGCAGCGAGCCTTGGACTGCTTGGTAGGGGAAGCTGCAAGGTAAAGAATCCGCTCTGCATCCATGTCACTATAGGAGGACCTGCATCCCTACATGTACTACTTGCCGTACCGTTGCTGGGATTAACGGTAGGTATAGGAGATGTGCTTCTGTGGGCCATGGGGTTCTCGACAGTAATTTGTGCCTGGTACCCCCAGACACCATGGAGGCCGGAGCAGGCTCCGGCATTGGAATATTGGAGCCTGGATTTGTCGGTTTCTCTGTGCTCTTGGAAATGAGGGTGCTTTGGATTCTCAAGAGTCTGAAACTGCGCTCTGCACGATATAATTCTGCTGCCTATCAGGCATCGAGAATCAAACCGCCATGGGCCCAGCCAACGCCTAGGTATCTTGCAGCAGGCACCGCAATTGCATGGGCAAGATAGATGTGATGAGTTCGCACATACATGTCGCCTAAACAGGGGTGAACCGTGTTTGCGGTTACAGTGCCGGCGAATGCTTGGAAACCCGGCCTATGATGCCCGAGCAACCGAGAAGGGGAGATTCGAGTCAGCGCACCAGGCGGAGGGCCACGCACGGTGTTGTTGACTCGGTACCGTGATGCCCAAAGAGACGGGCATGGCGTCCGAAGGTCCCAGAACACTCGGGCGCTCTCGCTCGCATATCAAGCTCTCGGACTACTTCACGTCAAAATGTCAGAGTCGGCTCCGAAAAGCACGTCGGCCTCGCTCTGAGCTAAGAAAAGACCGACTCATTTCGGCTGGAGCGTCCCTATCGGGGGCTTTGCCGTGGTCCCTCGTCTAGCAAGCTGTCACAGACGTCATCGAGTTATCGAAACTCGAAACAAACCACGCATGTAGAGGTAACCAGCAGTGAGTTGGTGGCACAATTTGTATGTCAGTCAGTACCTAGTGGTAGCAACAATGGCGTGTGCTTGGGCAGCATTCCATATTGCACAGCGGCAGTCCTTGGTTCCGGGCATTTTATGCATCAATGTCCCAAATAGAACCACCCTCTGGGCTGCATTATGATGTAGCACTTCGTAAGGTATTAGTCGTAGAGGTAGGTCAAGTCGACACCAATCCCGTGCGCCTTGTTTGGCCGCAATAGGGCCAAAGCCAAGGCCAAAGCATCAGCAGCCGAGTCTGGTGATGCGACTTCAATACTAGTTCAGCCCTCCGCAGGCCGTGGACATACAGTACGAGGACGGACGTTGCGGACTTGCGAAGCGGATTCGAGTGGGTTTATCCGACTCTCGGACGACGGCAAGGACCCGAACCCCGGGGCGCCTCCATGGAAGCGCTGGAGGCCAGCAGCCGCGCGCCCACACGCTGGGACTCATCAACTGTTCGACACTGGTCGGCCATGATGGCCGGGCTTCCTGGAGGAGCGCTGGCGCCACGCCGGTTTCTGAGAGGCGTCGATGGAGGGGTCGTAGCAGCGTGCTTGGGCGACGTCAAAGCCGAGCAAAACGAGGCCGTCCTGTTGGTCAGGGTCCAATCGGAATCACCTGAAAAGAGGTCAACTGGCTCAAGAGCATCGAAGAGTCATCCCTCGCTGATCGCGGCCCCACGTCCCATCTTCTGCAAACGAGGGACACGAACAGTCCGTTCATCAGGACCCGGAGAGTCAAACTTGGTCACACGCCAGGCCAAGATTTTGGCAGACGAGGCTGCGGTGGCTCGTTTGATGGCTCCCTTTTGTCACTATCATGGTTCGGATCCGACCTGGCTCCTAAAGGTTCCGATGCAGCTTTCAAAGCTCTCAGAGTCGTCCGTGAAGCCGTTCATGACATAGCACCATCGCCGTGCATGCCTCAACGAGCAGGTGTGCAGCCGCCAAATCGGCCATATCTTCCCCAAAGAGGCCTAACCGGAGGCCTTGCTGGAAATGAAGGCTTCGCGGGTTGACCAAAGCCACGGCCACGTAGTCCGCGTATAGCGTATAGCCTTGAGCACGTCGTAGCTGCAACAGACAGACGAAATTCGATGACTACCTACGCGCGGCCTTGGCCACGAATAGACGCAGCAAACCCGTTGTCTAACCGCTAGCACGGCATTCATCAAAGCAATCTTGCTCCTGAAATCAAGGCCTGAGTCATCATGTTGTAGCCTAGCCCTTCAGCCGCGCACTGCCACGCCTTGGGTATCGCCAAACCCCATGTGCCCCTGCAGGCCTTCGGGACTTTTCGACGTCTGTCTGATAATTTCTCGGGTGAGTCGACGGTGATCCATCACATAACGCAGGTCCAAGAGAAATGAGCCATGACGACGGTCTGGTTTTAGACTTTTCGGCTTACATGGACTCTTGATGCCTCTTGTTGCTTCCAGGGAGAGAATCGCAGGATAGGGCAGAGCCGAAAGAGGCTTGGTTGAGTCACCCACGCACCACAGAATAGACCATCTCCACCGTGCTCCGTCCCTGAGGCAGGTTGTCGTCAATTGGAAATTATACGACTGGTTGTCGTGAATCAACAACGCCAGGGTACATGCTGGACTCGTACTGGGTACCCGGTTAAGATAGCCAAAGACTTGGAGAGGGATGTTGTGCATGAAGCGAGAAAGAGGAGCAGAATGGGTGGCCGGAGTTGCGGGAGGCTTGTCTGGGTCAAATTCACCGGAAGCCTGAGTTGTCGTAGATGTCAAGGGTAAAGTAATTTGGCTGCCTGAGGCAATCCCGTCGTAACATCAGAGCTTATTGAAGCTTTGAGCTGGTAAGGTACATGTACAGGAGAACCTGAAGTCTGGTATCATTGCAAAGCGGCAGGTACGTGAGCGTATATAGCTGCCTTGTGCCTGCTGATCGCCTACGAGGACGAAAGCGAGCGAAAGGAAGGAATGAAGCAGGACAGAAAAAACAGCTCAATTCCGCTTCCTTCCTTTCTCAACACAACCTTATTACCTTACTCTGGTACCTTGGCTTCAGCTTTCTTACTCTCTCATTGACGTTTCGAGATCTTTTTTCCTCTCCTCCGTCTTCTTCCCTACGTCACTTTCATCATCTTCCGCAACGGCTCTTCACCTTCTATAGTCCTCCATCCTCTCTTTCTGTCTGTATACAGACACAAGGCCCAACTCAGCTTCTCAATCGCCCTAAGTACTGCCTATCTTCCACACCTGGCCCCCCGCTGCCAAGTTCGCCGCTGACCAACCAGCCGCCGGCTTCAGCCAGCTACTCTGGAATTTTCTCTCCGCGGCCTCCGTCTAGGCACAACGGCAGCGATAGCCGAGTACGCGAACCTCGATTTCGACTGTGACGCTTCTGCAAAGGATTGACGGCATTGACCCAACAACCCACCGTTCAGAGAGCTCACACCACGCTCGGCGAGGCCCTGTATTTGTCTTGCAGCTTCTTCTACCCAGACAGGCGCACGGCCGCTCGACGCACGCGATCACACGCACGCTGCCGCCTCCCACCAGCTCGGTATAGCCCGCCGCTGTATTATAAATTTACAAACTGCCTTGTACCTGGCGTCAGAACCGCTAGGCCCTGACGTCGGCCGCGCACGAACGGAATAACGGACATACAGAAGCTGTGGCGCTCAGCCAGCGTGTACTACCACCTTATATCCAAGCCCACGACTCTTCTCTCTCCGCAATTGGCACCGTCACACTGCTGCGGATCACTCCAGCAGGAAGCGGAAAGAGAGGGTCTTTTCAGCAAGGCTGCGGGAAAAGGGCCACGGCTTGCGGAAGGCACTCGAGAAGCAGCACTGAGCATCTCTCCGTTGCCGCCGCCGTCTCCGCCGTCCGGATTCCAGCCCGGACACTGGCGTCTAGCTGTCTGTGCCATCGAGTCCTGCTGCATAACTACCTGCGCCGGGTTGCCTCGCATCCGGCAGCGCACGGGTTTTGAGTCTGGTAATTCATTTCTCGGTCCCCAGCTTCATCTCCACCACCGCCCTCCTTCAATACGCGTATCGGGAACGGCCACCTTGGTCCGTTGTCCGGCTCCCTGGCTCGCCCGGACAGAAGAGAACTCTCCGGTGGCACTTTGTCCAGCACTCAGGGTCGAGTGTTCTTCCGCATCCCCGTAACTTCAGGTCTCCTCAGAGGCCTTCCTGCCATCAGCTCTTCGTTCTTCGATCAATTACCGCGACTCCGGACACCGACGTGCTGCTGCACACAGCCTCTTGCCCCTGTCTCGCAACAAGCAGCTCTGTCAGGCGATACCCTCCTTCTTCTTGGCTTGCTATAATTTTTTTTCCCAACGTGCTCTGCGATCCTCGAAACTCTTGTTTCATTCACACTCATCTCTGCCTGGCGCACTCGAGACCCTTTTTCTTTTTCTGATTCTTGCATTTCTCCTTTCTTCCTTTACTTTTGGCCTGGCTTACCCCCCCCTGTGGGTGATTTTACCCTTTTACCGCTCTCATCGTCAGACTTCGGGGTTTGGCTACGACCCGATCTTTAAACACCCCACGTTCTCCCCGCTGGTTGACATGTGAAATCGCCGGCGCAAACTTGGACATGTCGTCAAACGCTTCACCGGGACCTCACAAGCATCCCAGGATACTGGCTTGTGTTTTGTGCCAGCATCGCAAAATCAAGTGCGACCGGAATTCCCCATGTTCCAACTGTATCAAGGTGCGCGATTCATTTTTCTCCTTGATTGCTTGGTAGCTTGTAGCTACCGGGTCTAATCACATGTGCTGTCTGCCGCTCTTCTTTCCCAGCCTCGAACTTCGACCTCAAGCTTGTCATGGGCATCTTGTATGCGGAAATGGGAAGGAAAAAGCGACTCCAGCTCGTTGCCTAATCTTTGGATCACACGAAGCTCACATTGCCACAGGCCAATGTCACCTGCACTCCCAGCACCCCGGCGCCAGCTCGCAAGCGAAGGCGCCCAAACCAAGATCTCCAGGAACGCCTCGCGCGATGCGAGGAGCTACTCAAGCAGTATGCAAGTGGAACGGTGCCGATACCTGCTCCGTCTACTGCTCAACGGCCGTTACCACCATTACCAACAACGCCTTCAAATCCCAACTTGCCGGCTTCCGAGGCTCCCGTCGCCACGCCGGCCAGCGTCGATTCCACGCAGTCTCGTAATCCAGGCGCGCTCATGGTGAAGGAAGATGGCAACGTCCGATTCATGGATAGCTACATATGGGCTAGTGTGTACGACGAGGTGAGTGAAGTCACGGACACATGCGCTGGCCGGTATGAGCCAGGGCCTGGGCCGAGGGTTTCGAGACCAGCCCCCCGTCAACATTGCTCTACAATGTGTGCTGACTTTAAAGAGATGTACAGCTCCAGAAAATGCGGGATATTGTTGAGACGGATGATCCAGAAGAAACGAGTCTCCTTGGGTCGGACGAGCTCACTCCAGACAACAATGCAGACCTCGTGCTTTCTGCCGACGTGTTTAACACCAACATTGACGATCTGCAGCCCGACCCTATCCATATTTTCCGGCTCTGGCAGCTCTACCTCGACCGCGTCAACCCCCTTTTCAAAGTCATTCACGTCCCGACGCTTCAGCCGGTGATAATGGAAGCAGCGACGAATATGAGCGGCCTGCCTATGCACCAACAAGCTCTTCTTTTCTCCATCTTCGCCATGGCAAGCCTTTCAATGACTTCTGCAGAGAGCATACAAACCCTCGGCATGTCTCGCGAAGCCGCCATCCAGAAATTCAACACTGGTACCAAGGCATGCTTGATCAAATACAGCTTCCTCAAGAATTATAACATGACAACGTTGCAATCCCTCGTCTTATACCTGGTAAGTCTGATGAGATCTGACATCTTACCTTACCTTGATCTTGCCGTCTGAGAACTGTTGATTGACAAGATTTCTAGCTTTCTCTAGAAGGACGATATGACAGACATGCCCAATGGATCATCAGCGGAGTCATTATGCGTATAGCCCAGAAGATGGGCTATCACCGCGATGGTTTGCAACTAAACCTGACCCCTTTCGAAACCGAAATGCGCAGGCGTATTTGGTGGCAGATCATGATGCTCGATGCCAAATGCGCCATGATGTCTGGCCTCAGCCAGTCGTGGATGAATCACGATTGGGACACCAGGAGGCCCCTGAATCTAAACGATGCGGACCTATTCCCAGGCTCTACTGAGCCAGTCGTGGAGCGTGATGGCCCTACAGAAATGGCCTTCAGCATCGTCATTACGGAAGTATTCCGATTCAAGATGGAAACAGACGGCTCCAACGAGTCCCGTGCCTTCGAAGCTGCCATCATGGGCCAAACGCTCGACGACAGCGCGGACCCGGAAAACAACACCAAGGCGATATTCGAGAAATTCCGGAAAAAGGCAGAAAAACTGGAAGAGAGACTGCTGGAGATTGAAAAGAACATGATCGATGTGAGGGCAGGCAACGCCCACGTTGCGGCGCTTGCCATCCGGCCAATGCTCACTCATAGGTTGTCGGAGATGCTTGTGCCCATCCAAGAGCAGCCAGAATGGGGGACCGAGATATTTGGTCCCAAAGACAACTTCTTCAAAGTCCTGCTCATGATGATGGAGCATAAGATGGAGGCGCACGAGCAAATGGTGGCAGCCGGCTTCCAGTGGTTCATGAGGTTTCACTTTCAGCTTGATGCCTTTGCAGTCTTCACGGGCCTGCTTCACGATCGCCCGATGGGAACACTGGCGGACCGCGCCTGGGAGGTTATGCGCAAGGTTTACGCCAACCATCAAGAATTCTCTGACATGACCATCAAGCCACATGCGGCTCAAGCTCAATTTGTGCTCAAAGCCTGGCGAGCGCGGGAGCTGGCCTACGCCCAGAATGGCCAAGTGATTGAAACCCCGAGCTTCATCAATCGTCTTCGGGAATTGGTGCCCTGCAGCGATTCCAAGTCGTCTGGGCAGGGTTCTGTGACTTCTCCCGCGACCACGGTGACACCTCAGCAACAGCCACTCATGGGTTTCAACCAGTTCCTCGGGGGGTACCTTGATGTTTCCACAGTGAATTGGGACATGTTTGGAGAATTGATGCCAAGTAGCGGAGAGCAACTCTCCGCCGCCATGTTTGATGGCTACACCATGGGCAACCTCGATATGGGCAATATGGGCCATTTGGGCTAGGGGCCACCGTCTTCTAGCCATCATCTGTATTGAACAAATATGGGCTGCGACGAGGACAATAGGGCGTCTGTATGCATGGGCATGGGAACTAGGCAGGAATGCAGGGTCCATGCATGTGTTGGAGAACGCTCTGATTGCACCTGAATACCGATCCGTTGCATCGTGAGCATCCTTTTCTTACCCTCCTCTTGGAGGCTTTGTTTTTTTTTTATAACTGCTTTCATCTCCTCTAAATGCTTCTATAACGGGAGTTTGGCGTCGATATAGAGTTGGTCTCCTCTCTGCGATTGGCACGGATTGCCACAAACATAATCATGTTGCTTTTTTAGTGTCGAGCATAGGTGATGTCGACACGATTACGTGTACGATCAATGGAACCACTCCTACGTCTCTTGCGTATCCTCTCTTAGTAAACAGCACATGTCAATTTGCCACTGTACAAATGCATGATAATTGGCATGATGGGATGGTGTACAACATGATGGGGGCTCGTATGAAGTGTATATACAGCTCTAATCCTGGGCTCAGATCTAAGGTACCATCTCTTGCTCATTGAAGTCGAAGCATTGTCCTTGACTCGTTTGATAATCAACAGCGATTCGACCGACGTTTTGGGGAAACATCCAGCCAAGGCCTCACTGAGAGCTAGTAGGTCCATTGTTGATATGATGCCGTACTGCGCTTGAGCCTGATGGTATAGTGTTGTAGACTACAGCGTGATGCGACTAAGATTTGACTTCATCGAGATATATCATGTTAGCAAAGGCCTTGGGGAGGAAAGAGGAGGAGAGATCTGGGTTGTATGCAGCCAAGCGACGTACGCTACTTTTTCCCACCAGATCGTGATTTGCCACCTGACTGTTTCTTGCTGCCGAAAGGATTCCAGTTCGACGGTAGCTTCTTGATGACGGGATCAACGGCCGTGACAAGAATCTTCCAGAGAGGAGGCAGAACGCGTCGCGAAAGATATGCAAGATTCTGAACTGCCCAAGAGAGAACGGCAAAGATGTGCTGCTGGACGAAGCAGGCGAACAAGCTGATGCAGAAGACGACGAGGAAGAGAGGCCAGAAGAACTGGATGATTGCGAGGGCGTCCCTGAAGAAGTTGGATATCGCGGCGAAGGAGGAGCGGATGAAGGGGAATGAAGGGGGAGGAGGGGGGCGGGAGAAGATGTGGGGGATGGTGAAGAGGGGTTTGGGGATGGGGGTTGGTGAGCGGATGAAGAAGTAGCCGGCGAAGGACATTTTGAGACTTGAAGATAGAGGATTTGAAGTTGCTTGGGGAGGTGATTACTTGGTGGTGGTTTTGATAGTTGAGGAGAGCTTGGCCGGCGAGGCTTCTGGGGGAGATATCGATGGAAGGATGGTGGGAGTTGGAGGATTTATGGGATGGAGAGATTGTTTCCCTTCCTTTGTCTCTTCTTATTTGTGAAATCCCCTTCTTGGGCTTCGAGATGCCCAATTGGCACGGGCAAAACAGAATACAGTGAAGCTTCTTTCTTCTAGATCTTTAGAAGAACACAAGGCTTTTGGAAAGTATCTGAACAGAAAGTTCTGCGGGTCAAAGCGAAGTCAGAACAAAGGAAATAGTGGAAACGATCCTAGAACAACTCTTCAGCACAAGCATTGAATACAATGGCGGTGTTCATTGTTGAACAGAGTTTGTCACAAAGTCGCAGGCAGAATAGAGTTTAATCAGATGAGGGTGGCATATTCTCTCTGTTAGAGGAGTGACCCCGACGATGATGATGTACCCGCGACCCTATAACCCTTTGATAGAACAACAATAAACTGACGTCTTTACCGTCGATGTCGTACCCTTTCCCTTAGAAGGCGTAATAAAAACATATCAACTCGATCCCATTATCCGCCAGATTCCTGTTAAAAAGAAAGCCAATCATTTCTCGGTACATCATCGTAAAATATCGTCAGGGGGGGCGATGCTTGGCCTTCGCCAGAGCATGGGAGAACTTTAAAGTTACTCCTCCTTGTGCTTCGCAATGAGAGGCTCCTTTCCCTTGCCCTTGTAGGAAGAGCCAGAGTCCTCGGTAGAGTCCTCGTTGTTCTCGGCCTGCTCGAGCATCTGGGCTTGCTCCTCCTCATCGGGGAAGTGGTCGAAGGCCTCAGGGAGGTGCTCCTGGAAGCGACCGCCGTGGACACGACAAGTCCCCATTCCGTAGACGGGCTCGGGCTTGCGAATCTCGACGAGGCCGTCGGGATGCTGGAGGATGGTGGTGTCTTGGAATAGATTGGTGGTGGTGGCGGTTTCGAGGTCATTGTCGTCGTGGCGCCAGCCAGAAGCCTCGCCGACTTCGTCGACGCCGAAGATGGGGAAGCGGCCGGCAGGGGCGTCGTCGCCGTTGGTGGCGTCGTCGTCGGCTTGGCCTCCCTCGAGCTCGCGGCGGAGGGCGTCACGACGTTCCTGGCGCTTCTCGCGGCAGCGGGCGACGCCCATGGCGATGGCGCAGGGGACGACCATCATGAGGAAGAGGCCGACGATGCCAAAGGCGATGGCGAGATAGAAGCCGCGGTTGTTGGGGGTGGGTTTGTTGGCGGAATCAGCCATGTTGATGAAGATGGATCGATCTTTGTTGCGAGGTCTTAGTTTGACGAGTCCGGGGATGATGATGAAGTGGAAGAGAATGTAGTTTGGTAGGGCAGGGTGGAGGGCTGCGCGTGGGAGGAGGAAGGGGAGGACGATGGCGAAGATGACGAGGAAGGTCATGACGGTGACTTGGACAGTCGAAGGAGGAGAGAATACCTGGAGGACGAGGAAGAAGGGCGTGGAGTGGATGGGGAGAAGAGGCTGCAGAAGAGGCAGAGGAGGAAGAGAGGAGGAGGCGAGAGGAGGCCAGCCCTCGACTGCGATGACGATGATGACGATGAGGTAGAAGAGCTCTAGGAGGAAGGAGACGAGAGGCGGCAGATGATTGATGAAACAATGAAGATGGAGATAGGAGATGGAGAGAGGAGGGAAGACCAGATGGAAGAGGGCGAGGGAGGAGGAAGACGACGACGACCAGAGCTCAACGTACCTTGTGTGCAGCTGCTTTTCAGATGGAAGGAGGCAAGATTGCTTGATGAGCAGGAGGTGAAGAAGTGTTCAACTCAGAGTCAGATGGAAGATGTGCGTTGACGATTGTTGCAAAGAAAGCGAGAAACACGAAAACACGTCTCTCGAAAACGGAACGAAGGTGAGGAGGGAAGAAGCTTCGAAAACTGGGAGCTCGGTGGGCGCCAGGCTTTCTGCCAGCTGCTTGGCTTGGAAGGGGGATGCCGTTGGGAAGGTCGAGTGACTGCGTCGAGGGCTGGCAGCTGTTGTGGTGGAGTGGCCACTCAGAGGCGTGCGTTTCCTTGGAGCCCCTGATTTCTTTCGCCTCAGCAACAACTTGGATTTTCATGGAGTATTGGGACGATATTGACGGAGTGAATTGGCTCTGATATACTAGCTGTTTACGAAGGGAAAGAAAGGTGGGTGTGCTGTGCATTTTGCTGCATCACTGCTGGTCTTGATGCGTGCTGCGGTTTGCTTCGACGAGGAGGCTGCTGGGATTACTCACTGTCTCTTTGTCAACTCTTTTGTTTCGCATCTCTGCCTATCCAAGAAACCACCACGCGCAACGAAGTCTGATCGACGTCTTGATTCATCAGCACGACAACAAGTTTGCATCGATTCTATCCGGAGTCTCTATTCAGAGCTACATCCCACGAAGACAACCATGCCTTCGATTTGGGAGATGGCGAGCCGCATCGCCATGCCAGAAGAGATCCGTGTCATCCACCACGGCAACGCCTTCGCTTGCCTGCGAAGAATCCTCCGTCTGCCAGAGTGCCGCGTCGTCTTTGCATTTTGCCTTTGGGTGCTTCTCCTTTGGCTGGCGGCTTGTCACTACAAACGCTTCACGTTGACCCCTTTCTTTCGGATGGTCAACAGGAACTTTGCCTAAGGGCCTTGGCCCTGGAGAAGTCGTCTCTTGCTGCATTTTCTACATGGCAAGGGTTTCCTGAATCTCGTTCAAGGTATGGCAATCTTCCAGCACAGCATCTGAATGATCGACTCTCGGCGAGTAGGTCATGGTCACTGACTTTGATTTTTTGGCGCATGCAGACATTCTTGGTCATACGAATCCGAACCCGACTACGAGTCACGTTTCTTTGACTTTATCAAGCCCAATGAAACAAGCAATTACGATCGTACTTTGACACTTCTCCATCACCTTATTCGTCTGATGCCATCTGGTAAGTCAAGACAGTCTCCAGACAGAGTCTTATTGTTATGGCTTTGCATGTTGACGTTAATCGTTCAGAACCAGTTCCTTTGTTTTTTCGACGAACCCGTTTCCGTTCACGCCCTTCTCTTCTGCCAGTCTCGCCGCCCTTTCGCTCAAGCTCTCGCTCTTCTCCGGATCGTAAAAGGGCCGCTCGCCATGGACTGCTGTCCGCTTTCCTTCTCTCAGCTCTGTGTCATAATGACCTGGAACGGCCTTGTGGGCTATGATTCTGTTGTCCCAAAAGGCAACGGCTCTGGGGGTCCACTTCCAGCGCACAGTCAAATCGTCTGCGTTTGAGAGGTGCTCGCGGAGGAAGGCCAGGATGTGGTGAGACTCCTGGGCGTTGAGCTCCTGGATACGATCAACGAAATGGGGGTTATAGAAGAGAGACTTGAGGCGGGTCACTGGGTGAGTCCGGACCAAAGGATGGGCTGTGACGATGGGAGCCCTGTGCGGCGTGCCTCCTCCGTTGATGGAGGCGAGATAGGTTTTCTACAGATATTTCCCCCACGTTAGTCGATCTCTGTTGATATACCGCAATCAAGGGCCTCTACATACGTCTGAAGAGTGAACGCCGTGCAAGCCTTCAATGGCTCTCTGGAAAGCAGGACTCAATGCGTCATAAAGGCCGGTCTGACTGGTGAAGATGGTGTCTCCGCCGCTGGGAGGAGTCTTGACCATGCGCAGTAGGGTGTACGACGGCGGATTCACCTCGAAGGAGTGATCTCCATGCCATTCTGAGCTGAAGTTGCCATGGCCTCGAATGTTTCTGCAACAGAGGACCTCAGTACAACCAACCAGTTTAAATAAGGAACTGATAACCTACCCGCCACGGCCAATGATGGTTACGTGCCTAGGATCTTGTTGGTTGGGGTCTCTATCTTGCTAACAACTGGTAAGCTTCCCACGTGTAGGTTTCTTGCATCATTCATGTTGAGTTGCTGACGTACAATGCCATAGTACGATGCCAGCGCATGCTGCTGGTCGAGAGTAATGTCCTGATCTCGGAAGAAGACGACGCCCCTCTGCGACGAACGATATCAGTGAGTCTCTTCCTCGACGACTTGGCCCTGTGCCATCACTGTGTCTGACAGGACTCTTCTTGCTTTGCAACTACTGCGCACCTCTGCTACGAGCAATGCCAGCTCGTCCTTTTGCTGGTCGGTGAGCTTGCTTAGCTGAACGCCTTGGAGTTCCGTGCCGATGAGCGGAGTGACCTCTTCAACGGCTGTGGCCAGGCTTAGAAGGGATGCCTTTTCCGGGTCTGCGAAGAAAGCGCGGTCACGGGCGGGAACGAACTCCTTGAGCTCGGGATGGGGTGGCTTGTAAGCCAATACGCGAGGACTGATTGTGGAGGTGAGGGTGAGGGTGGCCATTGTGAGTGGTGATTTCGATATGTTCCTGTTATTCTTTGGCTGACTTGTGTGCCTTCAGGTATGACCGCGGATGCTATCAACTGTCTTTTTGATGCGCCTTCACTTCATGGAAGAATGGTGATATTTAACCACTCGAGAGGAGTTTATGATTTGTCGAGATATAATCCAGCTTTGAGTAAGTCTAAAGTTGATACCCTCACATGCAACTTTGCTTACACAGTACTGCGGAGGCATGCGCAATACCTTGGCTAGAGACTATATCGCCATGCCATCCCGCGATGGCGACAACTGCGCCCTGCTACCCTGCATATGCGACGACACCACCCTCTTGAGCCTTCTACATACAGAGCACAGGGTAGGCAACGACAATGATTCGTCCCGAAATCCCGCGGACTGCTGCATCTCGCATCTGATATCTCCAGGATTGCGGTACCGGCGATCTCACGGAGATGCCGTGCTGATAAGACGCGAGACGCGGGGAAGTGGCCTGTACACGGACCAACATTGGCAGCATCAAGATATGGAATCAAACAACTGCATTCATCCCTTGTCGTCTCTCCTAGGCCAGATCAAGGCAATGATACCATTATACGGTCGCAAACGCCATCATGGCCAGCTGAAGCGCGGTGCGACTCGGCACCTCGGAAGGCGGCAGCTTCTTGCGGCTTGCGGGTGACAGTCTGCGATGCTATACGCGGCTGAAGCGCTCAATCGCATATGATACCATTTGCAAGTCGAAAACGTGCTTTTTATCTTGGTGGCCGTATCATTGGGACGAAGTGCAGCAAGGCTGTGGGCGAAGCTGTGATGGCGCGTGCAGTCGGATGCAGTGATACTGCGGAGGATTAGCAAGGAAAGGGGATGAACAAGCATGGTTATATATACGACTCGACAACAGGCGATCTGGGTTTGAGAAGCAAGGACACATGCTACTCCTGCTTGATCTACGTCTTCAAGAGCTCTTGGAGGAAACACAACAATGGCGATCGAACCGTCATCACCGACAGCAGCAGCCACTGAGCTGCCCGAGAAAGAATCTCCTTTATACGACAATGCGAGCTCTCATTCTAACTCCAATTCTAATGCCAAAAATAGGTCCGAGTCCTATTCTAGCAATGATAAATCTCCGGCTGTAGTGTTGGATGAGGAGTCTCGAGATGAGACTGCTTCCAGCTCCCCCAGCGAAGTCTTCGATGTGAAGGCGGTTGACCCCGTTTTGGCTCGGAAGATGGCCCTCGTTAACAGCGCGATTGATGAGATTGGCATGACGGAGTTTCAGTGGAAGTTGTTCTTTCTTAATGGATTTGGATATGCGGTTGATTCGGTATGCGTCACTTGCTCAGCTGTCCCCCCTGCCGCGCTTCGAGCTGCGTTCCGTCTTGCGACATTGATTGACTGACCAGCGATAATCCGGGTCTATCTCTCTATAGCTCCTAGTCGTCTGTCAATCGATTGCGAATCCAGCTGTTCAGCAGGAATATGGGTTGCCGGACGCTCACGTTTCGGGCATCCCCCTCGCTTCTCAAGTTGGCCTCCTTGTGGGTGCTGGCATATGGGGCTTCTCTGCCGACATTATCGGAAGGAAGCTGGCCTTCAACACCAGTCTCTTGTCATGTGCCGTCTTTGTGCTCGTTGCAGGCGGCATGCCTTCTTACATATCCTTTGCTGCGATGTGAGTCGCTTCTCCTCACCTTCTCACGATGTGCTCCCGAGTGAATGGCCGAGCAGCGACTGACTCTGTATCTTGTGTCATAACAGTGTTGCCATCTACTCCGCGGGTGCCGGCGGCAACTACGTTCTCGATGCGACAAACCTCATCGAGTTCTTGCCCACCACACATTCCTGGCTCGTCACGTTCATGGCCGTCTGGTGGGCTGTCGGATACACCATCACGGGTCTCCTCTCATGGGCCTTCATGGCCAACTTCAGCTGCGCCCCCGATGCAACTCCCGACACGTGCCGGAGAGCCGACAATATGGGCTGGCGATATCTTCATTTCACGTGCGGCGGCCTTGTCCTGATCATGGCCATTGCTCGGATCGCCTTTATACGCATGACGCAGACGCCGCGGTGGCTGATTTCGCAGAACCGTGACGCGGAGGTCGTCAGGACGCTCAACGACATCTCCATCAAGGCCGGCAGATCGCACAGCTTGACACTGGAGAGGCTGCAGGCAGAAGGCATCGTGCTGCACACGGAACAGTCCGTCTGGGCGCCGCTCCGGCTCAAGATGCACTTCAAGGGCCTCTTCCAGACACGGCAGCTCGCCTGGTCGACCGCCGTTATCCTGTCCAACTGGTTCGTCATTGGGATGGTGTCTCCGCTGTACAGCGTCTTCTTGCCGTTCTATCTCCAGTCCCGGGGCGCCGTCGTCGGCGATGGCTCGACGTATGCTACGTGGAGAGACTATGCCATCAATCAGGTTGCAGGACTCGTCGGTCCGATCATTGCGGCGATCCTGATTGAGACCAAGTTCTTTGGGCGCAGAGGCACGCTCGCCGTCGGGGCACTGGTGACGATGGTGCTTCAGTTTGGCTATACGCAGATCAAGACTCCTGCTCAGAATGTTGGAGTGTCTGCAGCCATTTCAGCCGCCTCGTGAGTTTTGCTTCCAATCTCTTCATCGTTTGCTTTCGACTGCTGACGTTGAGCTCTTCTGTATAGCAACATCTACTATGGCACGATTTATGCATATACCCCTGAGATCCTGCCGTCTGCACACCGCGCCACGGGCTACGGCCTCTGCGTTATTGTGAACAGAATCGGTGGCATTCTGGGCGTACTGGTCGGAAGCTATGCAAACGTGGAGACGACGGCTCCTCTGTTTGTCTGCGCGGCGTTGTTCGGGCTGCTTGTGATTCTGAGTCTTATCCTCCCGTTTGAGTCCAGGGGCAAGCGAAGCCAGTAAGCGAGAGGTACGGGATATCGAACTTTGGCCCTCCTTTTCCCGTCTCTCAACGGAAAAGATTGGGGAATGCAGCTCGTTGATGATGAAGGAATCGCAGAGATGAATGTGCAAGTGACCACGACTCTTCTTTTCATAAAGCCCCTTGTTTCCGATATCGTATTATCGCTCCATCCAAAGAAGGTGTATCCGTTTCGCTGGCTATCCTCGGCCAAACGTTCCGAAGCGGAACCGGATATTTCCCACCGACCGGCAACGGAATCCGGAGGTCCCACGGGGGGGCGCTCATGTCGTTGTCTGCCGAAGATGGACTTGCATCTCGGCTTAGCAAAATGCGGGACAAGAGGGGATGCTGACTCGGGGCATCTCATACTGTGATTCTCGGCATTCAAGACTCCGGACCGGCCACCGGAGAAGAGAGAGAGAGAGAGAGAGAGAGAGAGAGAGAGAGAGAGAGAGAGAGAGAGAGAGAGAATACGTACGAGAGACTCGGTGAGCGGTTCTTGATCAGGCTTGACAAGGGGAGGATCTGGGGTCTAGTGCGTGAGCTTGTATGTGAGATGGTTGAACCGTTACTATGGGTGGCAAATCTCCCCCACAATGCTTCGCTAGGGGCTTTTCTGTTATCTGGACTTGCTGGAGTCGATGATTTGAAGGCAAGTCGAGGCCGGTTACATTTCAACAGAGATGGAAACCTTGCATATCGTGATGGGCTGCGTATTAAAGGATGAAATGGAAGATGATGTTATTCAGTTTATATACTACACAAAGCCCCAAAAGGGCCAGATTAACAATAACGCTTATCCGAAAAAAATATGCATATCCGCTCCCGAACCGTGTCCCTCCTAGTTTTTTTTGTTTCTTCATCTTACGCCGAGCCAAGAGCCTTATCCAAAGCCGAGATCAAAAGGGGAACTGCAAATGTCACTTCATTAGCCAACCACACCAAGACAACAACGCAACATAGGAAAAGGTAAGAGATAAAGGGGGGAAAAACTGACTGTGAGCTTCCTCAAAGATGAGCATCGGGCGGAGGCGGACGGTCTGGGTGCCGCAAGTGCCGATGTTGACGCCGAGAGACTTCATCTTCTTGACGAGGGAGGCGGGATCCTTTGTGTCGAAGGCAATGTATGTTCTAGAAGTTTGACGTTGTCGTTAATAAATGAGCAAAGGGGAGTGGTGGTTGATTTGCTGAGATGAGGCTTACCCCTGGCCTTTGCCGCGGAGGTTCTTGACGAGCTCCGGGTATTTCGCGGCGAGGCGCTCGAGTTCGTTGTACAGAGCGACACCGACGCGGGCCTGAATATTCTGTTATTAGGGCTGTATTTGAAAGTTCAGGGGAAGGATGGTTGCTTACGCATTGGTTGACGAGATCCTTGGAGAGAATCTCCTCGACGACGGCCTTGCTCATGAGGACACGGGCTGGGTCACCGATCCAACTAATTTGTTCATCATCAAAGTCAGTATTCTTCTTTTCTCTCTTCCCTTGCCCATCCCACCCCAAAAGAAACGAAACACAAAGATTATCTCCTCGGCAGGTTTTTTGGAAAACTCACGTGTTGAACTGGCGGTAAGCCTTGTCGGGCACCAGCCTGGGGTTGCTGAAGTAGTAACCGGCGGTCTGGGCCTTCTTGGAAAAGGTGACAATGTCTGGGGGCGAAGACAGGTTCCAGTGCTGGTGGCCCCAGAACTTGCCCGTGGCGCCGAAGCCGGTCTGGACCTCGTCGACGATCATGGTGACGTTGTGCTTCTGGGTAATGTCACGGAGGCCCTGGAAGAAGGCAGGGGAGGCGTGGTTGTCGCCTCCTTCGCTCTGGATGGGCTCGACGATCAAGCCAGCAACGGGGAATTGCCTGTCACAAATAAAACGTATCAGTCTCAGGAGGTTCAAAACAGAACGCTCGCTCTCTCTCTCTCTCTCTCATCTTCCGGAATGGGAGACAAACCATGTGGTGATGAGTTCCTCCACCTTCTCGAGGCACCTCTTCTCCTCAGCGGCATTCTCCTCGGCATGCTTGTCCAGCGGGTACTTGAGAGCCGGGAACGGCGCCTGCGGCCAGTTGAAGGACGGGATATCCAGCTTGTGCACGGCCTTTGAGCGAGTGGCGCTCAAGCTCCCGAAGCCACGGCCGTGGAACGAGTTGGCGAAGCTGAGGATGGCCAGGTCGGGGGAGCCCGGCTTGGCGTTGTTGAGGCACGAGCTGATTTCGCTATCGGACCAGTCGACGCCCTCGCCGCGCTCCTTGCGGCGGTACAGCATGAAGGCGGCCTTGAAGGCGAGCTCGTTGGCCTCGGAGCCGGACTGCGCGGTGAAGATCTTGTCGCAGCCCGGGGGCGCCACCTTGAGCAGGCCGTCCTTGAGCGAGTCGTGCCAGTGGCTCGAGGGGAAGTTGCCCAGGGCCGGGCGGTTGACCAGCGCGGAGACCATCTCGGGGGACTGCGCGGCCTTGATGAGGCCCGGGTTGTTGTAGCCTACGGGGATGGAGGCGATTTGGGAGTAGACGTCCAGGAACTGGTTGCCGTCGACGTCGACGATGCTTTTTTTCATGTGTTAGTTCTTGTGTTGAGTTGTCTTGAGTGAGATAGGAGATCAGTGCGTACTAGTTGCCTGAGCTCTTGTCATAGTCGGCCACGAAGTAAAAGGCTCGGTTATCAAAGAAAGAGCCCAGCTTCTCGGCCTCGGCCCTGGAGCGAGGTCCAGGGATCTCGGTCGTCACCTTTGGCTCAAGCACGGCAGACATTGTGAATGAATGGTTTTGACAAGGAGCTATGAGACTTGGTTGATATTAGCTTGCGATGAGTGAACAGCTTTGAAAGGGAAAAGAGTTTGGAGACGAGGTTCTTATAGCTCTTTGATAAGATACCTAGTTTTGCCTCACTGTGAGAATCGATACCCCGGAACGGCGATTGCCGGCTTGACGAGTGTGGCGGATGCGGGGATCCAGGCTAGCAGTTGGTTGGTCAAGCAGTGATAGTCTTGATGGTATTACTAGTTAGGAGGAACAGGTGAATATTCGGAGAAGAGAAACGACAACGAGGGCGAAAGATAGTCGACCGGCCCGGGACCGGAACCGGGCCGGTCTCCACTGATTGCGTTCCGGGTGCCCGGGAATGAAGACATGACAGAATGGGGGGAAATGATATCGGTCAGTTTGATAATGAAATGGCCATGTGATGAATTTTAAGGTCATATGAGATGCGGATCTGGTGTTGCGAGTAGGTAATAGATTCGGTGTTGTGAGTGTTGATGCAGGGGAGAGCTGGCGATGTCGCTCTGCTCCACTCGTTCTTATCACAGACCGGCTATTAATGCATCTTCAAATAACATCAGCAGTTTGCATTCAATGATCTTCTCGACTGGAATAACAGGTTGAATAAGTCCAAAATTGACACCGCAACCATTCGTGATTCTAAAAACGACAAACGGCAGGCAGCCTTGCTTCCATCATCCTCTGCACGGGATACAAGCAATAATGGTGCTCCCCTTCAACGGCACAAAAAGCAACTGACCTTGCCGGGCTTTCTATAACAAATGCTGGCATATTGCTGCGTTGACTAGAACAACTGATCGAAAATCGGCAATCACTCATTCAAAATCCTCGCTTCTTCTTCAACCTCTTCTTCATGTTCGCATCTGCCGCTTCTTTTCTGTTTTTCGGAAGAATGTGAATTGGCATTATACACTAAACACACAATGGTCAAGTAATCCCAATGTCAAGCTGTCACTCAGGACAGCCATCCAGTGCCTGCCCAGGAAAGATCCGAAATATCCCTGACTAGCTCTGACGATCAAATCGACAGCAGACGATGAACCCCACAGTCTGCAACACGAACTCCGATACGCCTATCCATTTTGCTCATACATCGCTGTTTATGTCAGAAGAAAGATGGCATCGAAGAGAACGATTAGGTTTTCCTCCTTCGGCACCTCTCGTCGCTAGGTCGTGTCGGGGTAGCGATGTAAAACCCTTCTTCAGCATCCCATACAGACGCTTGCGTAGTATCGAGCTCTCGATAGGCACATTGCCCAAGCTCAGCTGTATTTCCCTCCTCTTGCCCTTTTGATTTCCCATCTGTTGGTTTCGCTCGTTTGGGTCCATGCAAAGGTTTGCTTCGCGGGATGTAAAATCGTCTCGAGCCCGTCCTCTTTATCTCTTGCCCATCAAGTTTCGTAGATAGTCGCGCCGCCTCTGTTTCTGGGCAATTGGTTGCTCGATGCCGTATGCCGCCAACTCGAAAGGATCGGATGCCTCTTCGAGCTTGTCAATCTTCCTTCGCCTCAGCCACAACCAGAAGAGGACTAATAGCAACGACCCAAGCAGAAAGATTCTGGGTCAAGAGTCAGTCAGTAAGTGCGTGCTACTGAGAAGAAATTGGCTGGTGAAAGAATTTTGGAGTTGAAGCAAGGGATCTCACCCTGTTGTGATGACAACCGCGATAAGAATCCCTGACTGAGAAGCAGGCTTCTCGCATGTGTTGCTCTCCTGCGTCTCTGTGCAGCGCACGGTCAGGAGATGGGTGAGGGCGTCCATATTGTCAATTGAGCGTCTCAATGCAGCTGTTATCATTTCGTGCGCCATATCGACGCTTCTATCGCTTCAAATCAGTGGTTGACGAGGAGTAGAGGATGCAAATGACGACTGATAGGCTAAGCGAGACGGGGGAGCTGCAAGTCGCGGATCAGGATGCAACATCCATCCCTCGAGCTACTGCCCCAGGGCTGCGTATGTATATACACAACGCGCTCCCTTGTCGAGCATCGAGTCCATCATCATCCATTCCGCACAGCCAAGACGGGGTGCGCCTGTGCGGCGGAGGTTTCAGATTTGCATTCCCCGCGGCCCCTGGGAAATGAAACGATGCACCAGTAAAGGTCGAGTTAGGCGCAATCGGGCATTGGATGATGCCGACGGCACCATCCATTAAGCTGGAGCCATTTCGGAAGAGACCGTGGAAGTGGATTGCAGTCGTCACAGCCTGGCTGTGCCTGGCTTCGCCCCCGCGATGACAGACGCTTTTGGAGTAGCCCCCCAGGCCTGGCTCGTCCGTCCTTCTGGTATGGCTCGTTCCGCGGGGCGATCACCCTGACACGACTTGAGGCGCCAGTGACACGCGCTCCAGCCGCCAGGGTTGCGCCGCTGGGCGTGTAAGAGGCGTTTGGTATGAGCGCCCTTCAAACGGCCTGCACAGACGCCGCATGACTGCTGTGTCACATTGACCATTATCCCGCAAGTGCAAAGTACAATGGGAGCATCCTAAAGAATGATATTGTAGTGAGCAAACAGATCGCCTGAGATTCGAAAGAAAGCGAATCGGAAATTTGCTGGATTGGCAAAATACGAGCTTCTTCTTCTCTGTGTAACACTTGTTCCGCCTTGGTACAAGGCTGTCACACCAAGGGAGAGGAGAGCACTGACCAGGCTTGACTCGGGGGCTGGACTTGTATATCTTGGCGCTGAAGCGGATAGTATCCAGTCGCAAGATTTCCATGGATCACTAGAGTATCATTTTTCGACAGTGATCCCTGCGAGGCTTTGATTTCGCAGTGATGACGATCATGATGCCGAAAATTTGCTGACATGAACGCAAGGGGTCAACCCTTGTTGGTTCCCTCTTTCAGCCATGTCCGGAGTCAATGTTCGTTCCGAATTCGTTGCCAAAAAAAGCCGTGAAATCGTCCAGACTCTGGGGAAATGAAGCGAAATGGCCGTCTACGCCAAAGAACGGCGTGCTTGAGGGCATCATCATGCCCTCTTCCTTTGGAGCTTCTGGCATTGGCCGAGGCGGCTCCGGCTCTGGGGGCGCCGTTGGCACTTGTTTGCCCTGAACGCTTCCATCAACTGACTCCGTCACGGTGGGCGCGTCGTTCTTCCACAGTTGCTCCCATTTCTTGAACTTTGCGTACTCGGACTCGCTCACCATGGAGCTGGTCGTCTGCTCCTGTGCGTTCATGTTGGCAATGGCTTGTTCAAATGCCTCAATCAGCGACATTTCCGAGTGCGCCGATAGGCTGCCAGTTGACATTTCCTTGAGCATGGACAGCCCATCCCGCAGAGCCTGCCTGAACATGTATGTTTTCTGAGCGAGACACTGCGTCGTCACCACCATGAGCGCCGCTCGACAGGAGCTGAACTCAGTGTAGGAGGCGCGCGCAAGGCCAATCGTGTTTCGCAGACAGCGACACGTGTCGATGACGGACAGAGCAGCCTCGACGCAATCCGCCACCAAGGTCGAGCGAGTGCCTTTCTTGCTCAACGATGCACTCGAGGGCGCATTCGCAGACGTAGCCGGGCTGCTGCCGTCCCTCAACCCTGCCTCGGGGAAGATGAAGACGCGGCCGACAAACATGCGGACAAGGCAGTATTCCAACTGCAGATGCATGTGCTTGCGGGAAATCTTGGACTGAGATGTAAACTCCTTGCAAAAGATGTCCACCGGCAGAGCATCCCACCAGGACTTGAGCTCACGGTGCAACTGTGCGAGCCGCTTCAGGCCTTCGGGCACCTCATGCTTAGGAAGAGATCTGAGGATTGTTCTAGAAATAAGAATCAGCCATTGAATTCCGGTTGGGCCTTTGGTTAGGGTGAGCTTTACATTTCCCGAGACAGTTTACTCAGCTGCTGGTTGAGCTCAAATGTTGCCAGAATATGCGCGGTATCGGTTTGTGAGGTCGAGGACCATAGATCGGGATGATGAACCGGGAAATCAGCATCCACATCCGTACTGGATATGGACATCGGTCTGCCATGGAATATTCCGACGCGCCTATGAACCTCTGTTAGCTCGCCAGAAGCTCATCCCAGTCATTGAGGCAACATACTTTTCTATGGTGTACACGGTCCACCAAACCCGGTTTCTGGTCTCAACGATATCTGCATCCCGATTCTCGACTGGGTATTTCCTGTGCATGCCATTCTGGATGGCGAGCTTGAGGGCCAAGTTGAGATAGATGTAGGCCAATCCGGATGCGTCCACGGGAAGCGTATAGATACCGAGCAACAAGCAAGCCTGGACACACTCGAGCGATGAGACGGTGATGACATCCGAAAGAAGGCGGCATGCCTGCTGATAGAATAGCACTCCGACTGCATCTTCCGTGAATGCATCAGAGCCCTTTTCTGTGGGGTTCTCAACACCGTCCACCAGAGACTCGAGGTAGGCGAACTGCGTCCCAATAGCAAGAATGGCGAAAATGATGCACACGACGCCCACATCTCGCCGAGTAAAGGCGGCAGAGTTTTCGTAGGCTAGGTCAAGCTTGGCTCTCAACCAGTTTTGCTCAACGAAGAAGTAGTTGGTCTGCGCGTGCTTGAAGAAGGAATAAACGAGAAAGTCGGCAATGGGTCTAGGCGGCAGAAGCGATAACAAGCCCATTGCGTCCGAGTGCGATTGGAGCTCCTCGGCCCGGTAGTACTCCTTGAATGTGGTGGCAGATTTGGACGGATACTACACGAACTTGTCAGCAGGAATGGCCAGCGTCAACAGCAGGGCTGTGATTCACATTGGAAGCGTCATTGGGGACACTCTGGTCTATCCACTTCTTGATCCGCATGGAAAAGTTCCAATGCGAGAACTCGCCAGAGTAGTCTGCAAGTCACGTCAGCGTGTGGCTGGACATCAAACAGATAAGAAAAGAAGCTCATACGTGTGACATTGCCGTGCAGGGGCTGTATGTCAAACTTCTCGTCCACGCCGTCAAATTCGGAGCTTTGGGATGAGATGTCGGCAGGTCGAGGCGAATTCCGCCGCTTCTCTGCACCCTGAGCTAGACTCTTGAGGGTCTCGAGGTCCAACGCATCCTTGCTGCCGACATAGCCCTGGACGATTCTCTCCAGATACTCGAGCCGCTTTGCTTGCTCAGAGGAGGTGTTCTCAGAGGCACGGCGCCTGTGCAACATTGTTAGTTTTAAAACAGATGTTTCCCTTTTTCACTTGGATAAGCAGTTGGCCGAGCCAAGCTTCACCTTGCTACTGCCCCTGGCCGTGAGCCAGAGCCGGCCTGGGATTCGGTGTCGACTGAAGCCCTGCTGGTAAAGTCGCACTGGCGGCCCAGCCGGAAGCACCTCCGACAGGGCACGCCGCCATCGCATCTCTCCTTCTGGCGGCGACAGCCATCGCACCTAGAGAGTGAGGTTATCGCGTTAGATGCCACTTGTCCCGGCTCTCCTGAGATGCTGTCCACATACGCTCGAGCAGCCCGCTTCCTCTCCCTGTCTATGTGGCGAGTCGACTTTGGCGACGGCTGCTGGTTATCCATTGGGGGAATCGCGGTGAGGGCATCCATAGAACGACGATCCGAGATGCCGCAGGTCTTCTGATTCGACGAGATGAAGCCCCATCACCCGTTGGATTGGAGAAGATCAAAGCTGGGGTGGAGATTGGATGAATCCGGTGACTTATCGTGAGGCCCCAGACAAAGATTGCTGGCTGCTGCTGCTAGCTCGGGCTGACTAAGCGGTGAGGCGAACTCCCCAAGCCGAGGTCGGGAGGCGTCTTTCTTTTGGCTCGGTTCTCCCCAGACAGAATGAAGCTATAATTCTTTAGCAGCTGGAGTTGGAGAATGCGGGGACTCAAGCTCTAGTTTGGAGCTCAGCTGGTGGCGGTGCTCCCTGTCGCTGGTCCAGGAGCTGACTCTCCTCCAGGGCTGAGAGGCCAGTATGTATACTTACGTGGGCTCAACGCTTTGCCAGGGAACATGAGCTTGATCTACAAGGCACAGTCGTGCAATATCGAGTTCCCAAGGAGGCTCTATCGAGACGATCAAGTTGTAAGAGTAGTATTCACGGGGCCGAAGTTGTCCGAGCGTAGGTAGGCGGGCTAATAGGGGTTACAAGGATCCTCTACAGATAACAAGTGGTGAAGTAACGCATCGCCATTCTGGACAGTTCACGTACAAACAGGGTTTGATGATAAGGTATTGTTTATATTTACTATTAGGCTTATTCTATGTTCTAGAATTCTGCAAGAACACACCCAGAGTGTCATGAGTTACAGCCAAGGTTACCTGATTCAGCACAGTTGCGCATGTTCGGAAGACTGTCCACGCCCTAAACTCGATTGGAATATTTGAATAGTCATCAGGTTATCCATCATTCACAGGATCGCCTCAACTCATGAACTCGGTTCTCGTCAGCAAAAAACAGCGAACACGCTCTCTTCATATGAGACAAGCTTAAAAACACTATCAAACATCAATGACCGATGACTTTCTTATGTGCAACACCTGTCAGAGGGAGCATACAATTCTGATCAATCGGCTTGTGCCGCCTCAATGTCCGATTTGCCGCCATCAAAGGCCTTCCAAACAGCTCATGCCACAAGGAGTCGAGACACGAACAAGATGCCAAAACAGCCATCAGACGCACCCTTCTCCTTTGTCAACTATCAGGGTCCAAACCTCAACACCGATGTGCAGGCTCGGCGACGCATCCGACAGCAGGCCATGAGAAACACCGCCATGGCCCGGAGACAGAGGGGAGACTACGGCAAGCACAACATGAGACAGTACCCCGTCTTCGTACAGCCTCGTGATGGCCATCCGCTTCATAATGAACTCAAAGATGGCCGAGACCCCAAAGACATGCAAGACTTTCAGTCATCCTCTCTTTCTGCGCCCTTTGCCTTCCAGGACCCCCTAATGCCGAAGCAATTCTCCATCCTTCTCAACCTCATGCCGCTCACCGGACTTCGGCTCGGTGTCGGCACTCTTTCTCACTATCTGTACGAACCAGCACAGCCCAAAGACCGGATCATCACGGCACAGGCTTCGAGTCAGCGGCTTTTATCCTTTATCCCGAGCCGCTATGGGCACGTATCACTGCTCCGCCATGCAACGGACTGCGTCATTGCAAAGCTGCACTATGAATCACAGCCCGTGGAGCATAGATCTCCGAAAAGCGATGTAAAGGCATTGATGTACTATCAGAAAGCACTCAAGGCGCTACAGCAGGCCTTGTTGGATGAGAGGGAGTGGGCGAAGCCGGAGACACTATGTGCCACGCAGCTGCTGGGCATCTTTGAGGTTCGTTACTTTTCCGTTCATGAAGCAAAGCGTGGATGACAAGAATTGACTCACGAATTTTGTAGGCACTCAATGGGAATGAAAGAGAAAACTCTTGGATGCATCACGTCGGCGGAGCTGCTCGGCTCGTAGAAGCTCGAGGTGTACACATGTTCCAGTCCGAGTTCGAAAAGACCCTCTTCCTGGCACATATTGGACCAACAGTATGTCGCATCAAGCAGAAACAAACACCAATAGGAGCCCCGTGTCTAACATCTCTATCATCAGGTAATGTCGGCCTTCTTAAACAACACGCCCTGCTTCCTTGAGCAGCCTCAGTGGCAAGCCGTCATCCGAGAAGCCGTCAGCGAAGACACAACCCTGACAAACGACAAAGAATTCGCCCTTGCGTTATGGGGCGGCCTGATCGGGATGCCACGACTCTTCAAGAACACAACAGAACTGCTGCTCTCCCCTTGCCCGCCCTCACAACAAGAAGCTGACGACCTCACAGAACGCCTCCTGGCAAAGCGCAAGAATCTCATTGTATGGTTAGACTGGATCAGGAAGAGCCCCATAGCGCAAGCCGGGGGGATTCGTGAAGACAACTACGGCGTGCTCGTCTTTTCCGACGACTTTGACTACAGGAAGCTCGGCCCTTGGTGTCTGACCAGACTCGCTTTGCGGGGGACATATGCGGTCTGTCGAATGATTAAGTCACGGCTTCTGTACGCCATCTCCCCTTCAAAGTTCCATGATTTGGAGACCGAAGCACAGGACATTGCACACCGAATTCTCAACCTGAAGGAGGAGGTGGCAGCGTCCAGAGACTCGCCGCTGGTATGGAGCCAGTTCTTGGCGCAGGGCAGCTGGATCGCAAAAGGAATCGTGGAAACAAAGGATACGTGGGCCGAAGACAAGGAGGGACATCAAGGCATGATCAGCAAGTGCAAGTTTGAGGAGTGGAACGAAGCAATAGGGAGGAAGATATCATGAACTTGGCACTTTGCTGTTGACTTGATGTTCATTCACAACTCTTGACTCATTATGTGTATATACACTCATATAATCTCTCATGAATCATGACTCCGGCTTTGCCTCACTTTTCCTTCCTCTCGGATACCCATTAGTCGCAGGTAAGGGTGTCGCAGTTGCCACGGGGGTCGTTGCAGCTGGGGTCGTTGGGCTCGACGCAGAAAGTGGTGGGATCGACTCCGAAGCCTCCAAAGTGGTTGCAAACTTGGTCGCCGGGGCAGTCCTTGAACACTGTCAATATCATGATAACAAGGAATCAGTTTGGTGGAGATCGTGAAACATACGTTGCAGGTGTTGCAAGCGCTGGCCAGGGCAGCAGTGAGGACGACGAGGGCGGCGTAGACCTTCATTTTGTTGGTGCTTGGGTGAGTTGTTTGGACTTTGGGGGTGTTGAAGGCTGCTTAAAGACGGAATGGTTCGGATATCTCTTGGGGAGGACGCTTACAAGAGAGGGTTTGGAGGCACGTATTTATATCCATTTGCAGTCTTCCTCGTCAAGCAAGCTGACCATCTTGAAAACCACTCTGACCACGTCATGAATCCCATTAGTCTGGATTGAACCATGTGCCTTGCATTGAGCCACTCTCCTGGTCAACCTACACGTACTGGCTGACCACCTCTCGATGCCAGTTCCATCAACAGACTCACCGACTTCCGCTTACTGGGGAGCCTTGTTCATCAGCCCCGTCTGTTCCCCAATGTATTAACTATACACCTCCATGTCCTCCCTGTGTATCTGAAGCAAAACTTTGAGCAATTTGGTTCAACCTTTCGAGCCGGGACCTTGACCATACCGCATATCCATCGTTCTAATACTACGATTCATACCAGTCCATTCTTCATCCGCAGGAGATCTTTGAAAGCACTCGTAGGCATTAGTAGCTGAGTGAAGAATTGGCCAATATGCGGTCCTCATATGACATGGCACCCCACAGGCCGGACCCCAACCGGGGAGGCAAAGTACCGATGAGGTTGCATCGGACGACAAAAGACGGGGGTCGGCAAGACCCGACGACCCGGGCCGACTGAGCGAATACCGCACCATTGGTGGGCTTGATATTTCGCGTATTAGTCCATTCCTTGATAGCGTTCTCATTGACTTGAAATGGCTAATGGTAAAGTCAGCTTTTTCACGAGGATCACGGGCATCAAGTCCGCCTGACAACAAGCAACTCGCATTCCATATTCGGAATGTGCCATGGCAAAGGGCACTTACTCGTATACTCATACAAAAGAAAAGAAATTCAAGAGAAGTCTTTTAAGCATAATACGCGACAGTCAAGGTCAATATTTCTGATGAAACCCTTCTGACTGAAGAGGAAATGCTAGGATCTATAACAGGTAATACTCGTGTGTTCTCACACCGGGCGGACTTCTTGTCCGTCCTCTCAATTCTCTTGCCGTACACTCGTAGTCATCCTTGTCCTCTATTATTTCGTCTGACCAAAACAAGTCCATGTTCAGTTCACAACTGAAGCCCATGCTTGCTGAGCTTCCACTACCTGCCTATTTCGTACGTTGTCTATTACAATACGCATCATCGCCTGCTGCAGTAAGCTGACTTGGCCAGCGGTTATACTCCGTATTGTTCAGTCTATTTCCGTGCCATGAGAGGACTCCTGCATAATGTTGAGCGGTCAGAGAGAGAGAGAGTAACTCGGAGGATACGTCTGATGACAATAGAACCCCCCAGCTGCCGGGTCTCTTTTGGAAACGAGAATGTCATGGTATGCCGATGCCGATGCCAACGCCCGATGCACACATATCATTTGTATACTGTGAATGCATGTGCATAGGAGATAGATCACACTAATGTGCTCGTCTTCCTCCGCTTTGCTCTGATAGAGCCGACAATATCACTGCTCGAGCACATTTGAAGAGGTCACGAGGTTACGAGGCTACGGGAGAGCCATCACCATAGCAGGACAAGTTGGACGACGAATGATAGTACCTCATCATACTACATATATCGGCAAGCCATATGACAACCTGACCTGTCGGCTACTTCACGAGGTTCTTCCTGGCCTGATACTAGTGGTTTCTGTGACAGGCCAAGAGGAGGGACCAGGAAGGCTTGAGACATCCTTCTTCTGGACTATAGCCAGGGGCGCATGATTGATTAGCTCTATACAAACCATGTCTCCGACTTCCTGCTTCTATCGAGAAAGTGAACAGAACCTATTATCTCCCCATATTCTATACGAAAAGCTCCAATAACCTCTCCAACTACTCCTCAGAGCGTTCTTTGTCTTCTTCTGCCTGATTCCGTCCGTTCTCAAGGAATTTTGGCTCTCTTGCCCACCCACCTGTTCGCCGTAATGGATATCTTGAAAGCTCAACCGACATTAAGCCCCCCCGCCCTCCTCCGTCATGGTTCCAAATATGTGTATATATCAGAGGTCAAATCCTCCAAATTGACGACAACGCCGTCCCAAGCACTCATCTTCCCGAATCAGCATCATTCTCCAATCCTCTTATATACCAAAGGGGAGTGTAGGGCTATAAGCAGTAATTAGATCATGTTGCTTGCATCGTACTCATTGAGACGCTTCTGGGTAACAGAAACAGAAATCGTGTGCTCCATGGCAATGCCGTTCGCCTTCGATCCGGCAAAAGGAGCAGTAGGCGCGTTGTCTGAGCGGACGCTTCCATCCCCGAACCGCCTGTAAGGCGGCGCTTCTCTTGCATGTGTACTCCCGTCGAACCTCCTCAAAGGAGACTTTGATCCATCCTTTGTTAAAGACCTCTTGACTCCTTCGTACAGCTTAGAAGCAGACGACATCTCCTTCCCCTGCAAGCCCCCCTCAATTCTCGTCAGCGTCTTCGGTGCATCCACCGTGACTTTATGGTCATCCAGACGCTTGTACGCACTCGGCACCTCAGCCACGAGCGTCGTGGTAGACATCTCCATTGCAAAGCCCGGCCCCTTGGATTCCTTGCTTGAGATGGAGGCAACCGCCGTTTGGGATGCAAGTGTGCTGCGATCGTCGGTGGCGAGAAGCTTGGGGAAGATGCACTTGAGTATGAGGCGCAGAGTCGGAAGGCATGTGCAGATGATGCCAATGTTGACCTCCATGGTGGACCACCAGGCGACGTTCCACTGATCCCAGGTTGGGTTGATGAGGTTGGCGAAGAACATGACCGACTTGAGACGTACGAGGGAGATCAAGGACACGCTGGAGACCGAGTTGTAAGTCAGTCAAGAAGCTGACGGCAGGAGAGTTGGCGGGCTCCGTTTGGGGCTGGACTCACAAGGCACCGAGGGTAAGCATGATGATGATGCCAATCTTCTTCTTCCAGTGCAGCTTGAGCTTCCTGACCTGCGACATGGGCAGGATAATCAACCACACGTCCACCGCCAGGCCCAGCCCAGCATTGGCCCAAGCAAACTTGTTCAAGTCGAAGCATCTTCCCTGCGGGGGGTCATCATAGTACTGAGCCCAGTAGTAGTGCAGCGGGATACACTGCGTCAAGGCAGCCACCACAAAGACGACACCAAAGACGACGTTGAAGGCAGCCGTGCCAATCAGCAGCCGTCGGATCTTGTGTCCAGGGAACACGTAGAGATAGAAGACGGACAGGCTCAGCTTCACCAGCGACATCTGGACAATGTAGATGAGCTCCATGATGAAGAAGAACTTTGCAAACATGGGCAGCTCGCTCGGCTGCAGCGTCCAAATGTCCATCCCGATGCCGTGGTCGACGAGGCCGACCTGGTTGAGGACGGTCCCTGGAACGGCGATGATGATGGCGGCCAGGATGATCCAGTCGTCGACGCCGAGCCGGCCGCTGCCGCTGAGGAAGCGCCGGTACACCAGGCGGGCGATGACGATGAGGATGGCGAGCACGCCCGAGGTGATGTTCATGGACGTGTATTGCGCGGAAACATCACGCATGGGTATGCCGCAGGCAGTTTGCGTCAGGTTCTTGGTCGCTGTAGGACGCGCAGAGCGAATACCAGACGTCAGCCACCGCTGTCGATAGCAGCTTGCAGTTGTTTAAAGGGTAAAGGGGGAAAGGGAACAGACTTAGCGAGTCCGACATCTTGCAGGCCTTCTTCACACATGTTGTAGCCACGTCTTGATACTTGTCGTCTGCACACATGCAATTCAGATCGCCAAACGTGCAGGCTGTGCCTTTGATCGACGTCTTTAGACACTCGACCTAGACAACCAGAGCCTTCAAGTCAGTCGGTTGTTCATTCAGGATCCTTCCCTTCTTCCCAAGTAACGTACCGCACATGTTGGGACCATATTCAGAATTTCAAGGAACCCTTGGTGGTCTACTGGGTGGACATTGTCGTTTGTATCTCCGTACGTGATGTTATGTGATCGAGGAGAGATGGACGTCGATTCCATGTCTAATTGCCAGCCGTAGACCAGCGGCGCGCCGAGCAGTAGCCCAGCCCAATGTGTTATCCTCATATTGAGGGTCGATTTAAACAATTTATCGATTCAATAATTCTCTCTCTCTCTCCTTTCTTTCCTCGCTTGTCCCGAGGTCAATGGCGATGGTGCTGTGGCGGTATCAACGAGAACTTCCTGGTTCTCACGGCGAAGACCGAGTGCACATATCGTCCTCGTCAGCTTGCCGTCTCTTTTGGTATCTTTATACAATATAAGAGAGGTTAATAGTAAGGGATGAGAGAATATGCAGATGATATCCAGGTACACCTGCGCGGAAACGCTTCGAGAGGGAAAAAAATAAGAGTACAAAAGCGAGAGCGAAGGAGTTGATATCCGGGCCCTGACGACGTCTCTCGGCATCCTCATCACGGCATCCAAATGTAACCTGAGATGATGCACAAGAGTCGACCGGGAGTATACACGTCCAGATCCTTCTCCCACTCTATTCAACACACCATGGATCCAACGAGGCCATCCTTCCTTGGAGACAAAACACCAAACGTGCCCGTGCGCCAGTTTTACCTGTAAGACATAAGACATGACGAAACCAGCCCGGCTGTGCCCTGGCAAGTTCCGACCTACCTCTTTCTAATGGCACATGAACATGGAGCAACGATGAGGGCACTGAGACGTCCTGTCACGTACCTGCATAGCTATGTACTGGTGATACTTGATGGGCCCTTGCATCTTGCCGTTCGGGCAAGTTTCTGGACACCTTCTCTGTCCATTTCTCCTGTCTTTGTGTGGCTCTCTTGCGGGGGGGTTGGCTGGGGATTTGACGGTCACTGACCAGCAAGGAGGAGCTCCTTGTATCGATGATGGCGTGCAAAAGATAAAGGTGGACGAAGCCCATAACCCCCGCCGGGAAATGTTCTAGAGCTCAAAGGATATGTGCGGAAATTTGGCAGTCGATCTTCAATGGTGAGGGCTTCATGTGGTTCCGTCATCACATTTGCCCTTTTTGCGCATCTCGAGTCGTGACTCTAGTTCTCTGTCCCCAATTTCCATTATGTATGTACTCTTTTTTAAACCTCCTTTTAGCCCATCTTCAGCCTCGTTATTCTTCCTTTCTTTCCTGCACTGAAGCCAAGCACCTCTCGGCCATTGAGATGAACTAGATGCCGAGATGGCAGCTACCAAAAGCGGCTGGTGGGCGATGTAACGTTCTGCCTCCGTCCTCAGCTAGTGTCAGTATACAAAGGGTTATACACTCGTACCTGCATGCGTAGACTGTAGACATCTTCCAATAGACATAAGAAATTGGATCACAGCAAACAATATGCGTATAAGAGGACAAGTCCTCTCCCAACCCAAGGGGCTCCATTTATGATAATACATGTAGCAACTGATAACATTGTCGTCATAATAGGACACTCCCGTTGCATGGTGAGCCACTCCGCTTGTTCGTCAACAGAGCAGCGGAAGTTGTCAGAAATATGCATAGCTGCTAGAATGCCCGACTCTGGAAAATAGGCTGTCCATAGCCGCGGACTAATGGCTGGTCACATAGGTAGGCCGATGATGATGTATAACCTCAATATTTATACACTCCCTCTTTACCTACCAAAACATCTCGATAACTCGCAAAGGCGATCCCATTCCACCTCGGCACAGTCTTCACGCACAGACAAGATGACCTTGAGCTCGACCTTGCTCGGAAAGAAAGCAAAAGGTCTTCAATCCCCTACGAAAACAGTTGAACCAAAAACACACAGAGCAAGCAAAGGACAAACACACGGCCCCCCCTTTTTTTTGCTTCACCTCACGGACCAGCTGCCCAAAGAAGACCAAATCAGATTCTCTTGAAACGCCAATCCCAAACAACTGCAACCTTTTAATGTTGTGACCGTGCACCTCAGGGCGTGCATGTATTGTTGCCGCAGGAGTCAAAGGCTTTTGTTCTTCTTCTACCTATCGCGAGTTGCCATTTTCGAGTCATGTCGACTGAGACTGGCATGTTGCGAGCAGCCGTCTTGTTGAGGTGTGCAGCATGTCCTCCCGGCAAATTCTGCAAGTATTTCTCTCCGGACAGTTGGTAGCATGTCACGGTTACAGCGAGCGAGTCTTGATATCCATCCATGAGACGCATCCTCCGCACCCCCTTTGCTTACACCCACAACGATCACCAGCCCTCTGTCCTCGTCGCCACGTGGTACAATGGCTTCCCGATATTCTAGAAGTGTTTGCTTCCTGTTCATGTCTAAACCCTCAACTTCATCATGCTACCATGACAAAACGGCGTGACCACGCGAGAAGAGAGGTCTGTATGTAACCACACCGACGCACGCATTGGCTCCTCACCAACAGACGCCCTTCGTCACGCCTAGACGCAGAGCTTCATACCCGGGATCGCAGCCAAGCACGTCCCTTTTTACGCCAAATTTCCACCAGATTCAAATGGATCCATGCCTCGTCATTGCCAGAAAAAGCACATCGTCATATAGCTGTACAACTTCGGTATCATAACATTAACATTAAAGCTCGTCTCCCACCAACCATTCCAAGGACAATATCCAGTCTTGCCATCTGGCATGCATCAGAGCAGGCAACTTCATGCCTTTTGCTTCTTCCTCACGAGACCCGCGCCCAGCACATTGACAGCACCCCCGACACCCGCCGTCTCCCCTCGCGAAGCCTCCTCCCCCACCGTATCACCCCGTTTGCGCTTAACGAGTCCAGACAGGTTATTGATCGGTGCAGCTCCCTCGCCCGATGCATCTCCAGCCGCAGCCTCAGCAGCAGCAGCAGCGATATCTTGCGTCCCCGTAACGTCGAACCCCCACCGGCTGCCGAGCCCGACTTCGCTCAGCCAGCGACGCGTGCTCCCCGCGGCCTTTTCCAGCGTGGCAAAGTCCAAGCGTAGCAGAAGCTCGTGCATGCGCTTGTAGTCGGCGTCGTCCATGATCCTCTCGCCTCGGCCCTGCGACGGCCAGTAGTAGTACGCCGTCGATACCGGCCGGTCCAGGAGGTAGTTGCGCTGCTTTGTCTTGATGCGCGGTTGGCGAGGCTTGATGGGCCCTCTGAGCTTGCTCTTAATCTTTGCCGACTTCTTCTTCTTCTTGTTGCTGTTCTTTTTAGTTTTCCGGCCCCCATGCTCGGGATCATCTATCGGCTTGGTGGAGGTACCCTCGCTGCGGTCCGTCTTGGGGGGGAAAAGTCTCCTGGGCGTGGTGGTCGGCGTCACATTTGGCACGGCATTCTGCTTCCTAGGAGTCTCTGGCGGAGCGCCCGCTGCACTGGTCACGACTGAGGCACTAGATACCGATACAGAGTCACTACCGCCTTGCTTTGGCTCGTCCTCCAAGTCGTCAAACACCACCCATATGAACCCCGTCAACCGCCCGCTCGAGCACTCTTGCCGAAAGGCCATCATCTCCCAGAACATGTCCAGCGTCTTGACAGTCTTCCAGCTCCCCGTGGTCTTCATCGCCTTGGTCTTTGTAATCTCCTCGTCCAGCTCGTCGCGGAACCGGGACTTTGGATCGTCTGGGAACCGGGGGATCAGGCACCGCGGCGGCACCCAGTCAAACTCTCGGCAGTAGTGCGAGATGCGCTCCAGCGGGTGGCTCAAGGACCAGCAGGACGCAGCGCCGGCGCGGCGCGGGACGAATGCGCGAGTCTCGTAGGCGTCGAGGCCGGGAACAAGCAGATAGCCCTTGGCGTTGCGCCATGGGGGGAGACTGCCGCTCGGTGGTGACTCGACAATGGGGTCCAGCACCCGGCACCACCACTTGACGAGGCCGCGATCGTCCAGGACATGTTTCCCCGGGTATTCGATGCTGCCGGGGAACAGATACTGGTCTTGCGCGCGCGCAAACAGGCTCACGATGAACTGCACGTCCTTGCGCCGTCGCTTGTCCACCAGGTACCGTATGAAGGTCGCGCAGACTTGTCGGATCGGACTGGGCGCGCCCTTTGGCAGCCGTAACCTGTCTAGGAATCCTGTAGAGTCCGCCTTGGATACGAACAAGGTGGTGGAGCGGGCGGTGGTGTAGATGAAGATTTCGATGCCGAGAACGAGGACTGGCTTGCGCTGAGCCTGCTCTGTCGTGTTTTCGCTTGATGATGATGCAGTCTCTACTGTGTCTGGCACGTCAATCGAGACGCTGAGAAAGTGCTTCTCGCAGTATGTCCGTTCAGGCCGTTCGCCGGGAGGCGCAGAGTAGAGCGCGTCGACCTTTGTCGGAGGCGTCGAGACGTGGTGGATGCCGAATCTATAGCCCTTGGGAAGCACAGCAGCCAGGCGTCCGCGCAGACTGCCGTCAGAGTCTGCCGAAGCCATCTCTTTGTTGGAAGCAAGAACTTCAGCTCGATACCTATGTTTCGAGAGTCGATAGTGAGAGGGAGAAGAGAAGAGAAGAGAAGAGAAGCGAAAGATGACGGGGAGACGTGAAGCAAGGCCTGACTGACACAGGGCTCCCTTGAACTGAGAACCAGGGCAAGTCGCGACGAGACGCACGCAGAGTGAATGCAGTAGCAGCTCCGCTGTAGCTACAGCTGCGTTAGCGCACGAGATCCACTGAAGGCCGGGGGTTCCAGCGAGCGCCAATGGCGAGCAGTTGGGATGCGACAGGGCTGATTTCGTACATGGAAGTTGAGGCTAAAGTGAACCTACCGATCAGGTACTGGCTGCGCTGATCTACGAAGGTACAAGTACCTTACTCAAGGTAATTGCAGCGGGAACAGACGCGATGGAACATTGCAATTGTGAGTCCAAGATGGCCGGTGTATGTATTCTTGCTGATGAGTTTGAATTGTATTCCAACTGAGAGTCTCCTTGGATCATAAGGTGAAGGGAGCAGAGCCGCGAATTAACTCTATTGCAGGACAAGTCTTGATGGCGGTTTCGGAACAGGTACAAGGTGCTGCCTCTTACATGGATGTCTACGGATACCCAGGTTCGGTAATGTTTGAATGATGTTGCGCTTTCCTGACTACACACGTTCGAATTGTGAGATCCCCGACGATACCTACCCATTATGGATCTATTAACACGCCATCAACGAGCTGCTCTACAGTACACGTCAATCAGAGACTACCTATGGGTGATGCGTCTGGTCCACCAGTCTCAGGTAACAGTACGAGCACATCCGCATCAACCCACAATCGATACCGATAAGATAAGAAAACCAATGCCACCAAGCACGTGACATCCAAAAATGCTCCCAAGCCCATGGATCCCAAGGTCCTTCAACACCATCAAGGCGACCATCACCAAGTCTCCCAATCCCGTTCCCTCGCCCCCGGCGGGACGCAATTGACTCTTCCCCCCAAGCCATGTCTCTTCAATCCTGCCGCCCCAGCGTCGCTCGCTGCCGCCACGCCTCCCGCATCCTCACCTCCTGCGCCCGCGCCTTCGCTACCGAGTCCTCGCCCTCATCCTCAACACCAGAATCCTTCAAGGTCCCCGCGGGAACAACAACAGCAGCAGCAACAACAACAACAACCACAGAGCCGACGACAAACTACAGCAGTGCGACGACGAAGCCGAAGCCGCGATGGAGCCATACGCCTGAGGGCATGAAGGCGCCGCTGCAGCTTGACTTTGCAAAGAGCCCGCGCAACAAGGTCTGGGCCGTCAACAACGACCCCGCGCGACTCGACGATGTGTACAACCGCCTTCTGGGGCCGGGAGGCAGCAAGATGCTTCCGGAGGAGCTCAAGTGGCTGGCCGTGACGCACAAGAGCTTTGACCAGGGCCGGAGAGGGTTCAATGACCGATTGGCACTGCTGGGTATGTTTCTACCTCGGCTTACACACACACACACACATACATACACCATTTTTTGCGTGGGGTTCGATATGGGACTTGTGAAAGGCTGACTTTGTCTTTTCTTCTGTATGTTTTCTAGGCCGGTTGACCATGGTGATGGAGGCGACAAAGGAAATCGTCAGCAAGGAGCCCCTCGCGGGCTCAATACTGCCCGACCAGTTCGACAGACAGCCGCTCAACGACGCGCAGCTGCTGGCCGTGGACAACCTCAACGTCATGGGGCCGCGCGACGTCATGGGCAAGGACAAGCTCTACCAGCTGGCCAACAAGGTGGGATTGCTGGAGGTGGTGCGGTGGAAGCCCCGACTGGTACGTTCGCACTTTTGGCCCCTTTTTTTGTTCTAGATTGTGGATGGCGTTTGTGGACAAGGAAGGATGAGAGAAAGCTAACATGGTCCGCTACAGCCCAAACGGCTCGAGTCCTCGGGCGTGGAAGTCGTCCTCAGCTCGGCCATCATGGCCATTGTCGGCGCCATCACCCTGCAGCATGGAGCTGCTGTGGCGGCGCAGGTGGTGAGGGAGAGGATACTGGCGCAGGTTCCCAAGGACAACTGAGGGTAGGTATATATACAGCAGGAAAGGGGGAAAGGGGTGGTCGTCTGAGGTGTAAGAAAGAAAGAAAAGAAAAGAAAAAAAAGGGACGAAACAAAGGGGAACAGAAAATTGGACGGTGGCGGCGGCGGCGTTGTGTAATCATACCTTGTACTATTTATGAGGAGACGAAGCTAAACGTGTTTTGAATCTAGAGGCATGGAATATATTAAGATGGACCTGGCTTGATCTGTGTTCATTGTGCCATATACATGACAGTCTTTAGTTCTCATTACTTGAGACTACGGGTGGTGCTTTGAAAGCCGCTTGATTACTGCAATCTCATAACTACTAGATGCCATATCGCTGTCAACAACATCAGGGGGTATCTCATCAAGAGCATCGCTCAACGCTTTCACACGCTCCTCCATCTCCATTATCCAAATTCTCACGCCTCCATCACCCCAGCAGGGGCCTCTCCTCAGCCTCCCGCTCATCCCTCTCACGACCGCTCGCCTTACCAGCAAGCCCATGCTTCACCAGCCTCTCCCGAATCAACCACCCCAAGCAAACCCCCGCGCCGGGCCCGGCAACCACCGAGATGGCAATCATGCTCAGCGGCACCCTCCATCCGCTCTCCACAAACATCCAGTACAGCACCGTCCACGCAATGAACTGGACGTCAATCTCGATGAAGCTGACCGTCAGCTTCGTCATCTTCTTGCGGTCGTCATGACGCTGCGCAATGTTCCACAGCACAAAGACGTGCGCGGCGACGGACAGCGCAACGGGCAGCGCGTACACGAGGACGACGCACTGCCAGTGCGACTCGTGATGGATGCTCACGGGGCTAACGCGCCGGATCCTCTCGACGACGTATCGCACGGCCTGGCGCACAAGCGAAATGTACAGCGGGAAGAAGAGCCAGGCGCCGATGGCGAGCGGCGAGTTCAACGCCAGCATGAGCGCCGACGGCACAAAGTATCCAACCGCGACGGCAATGGGAATGGCCACGGCCTCGGAATCCGGCAGCGTCCTGTCCTCGAGCTTCTTGTCCTCCTCCTCCGCCCTCCGGACCTCCTCTCGACCTTCTTCTTCTTCATCCCCATCGTCTTCCTGCTGCTGCTGCTGCTGCTGCTCTGCCGCCACCAGCGTCTTGGCCCGATGCAAAAACGCCGGCACAATCACCAGCTGCCACACCACCGCTCCCCCGAGCAGGTTGAACAGCAGCCACCAGACCGTCGGCCGCGCAATCAGCCCACTCGCCCGGTTACACCTGCGCGCCGCCTCGACGGTGCACACCGTCGCCAGCGCGCCGACGTACGCCAGCACGACGCCCATGACGGCGCGCGACCGCAGCGAGTCGAGCGCGGTCCGGAAGAAGCTGACGAGGAAGCAGCTCGGGGTGCCGAGCAGGGGCACGCGGCTCAGGGCCGGGAGCTGGGCGCGCGCGTGGCACTGCGACCACAGGAGGGCGACGTCGACGTCGGAGTGCAGGAAGAGCGCGGCCGAGGTGGCGATTGCGAGGAGCAGAGGCGGGAGGAGGAGCATGTTGAGGGGGAGGTGGAGGATGGGGGGGGAGAGCCATTTGGAGGAGGAGGAGGAGGTCAAGGATGGCATTGTTGTTGTTGTTGTTGCTGCTTTGTTCTCTTGGTCTGTGTAAGAGATGATATTTTTTGGGTCTTGGTAGTATGGGTTAATATGCAGAGGAGATGAAAAACGCCGTCATGGCTCTCGCTGTGTGTTGCCGTGGAAAGGAAAAGATGGTGAGGAGAGGAGGAAGAAGAATGAGGTTGGTGAGTGAGCCGAGCTACTGTATGTAAATACTACATACAACTGAGACAAAACCACTAACGCGCCCACTAACAGCAACAGGAAGCTGCCTCCAGCTGTCAGTTCGCGCTCGAATCAATCCAATATTACAGCCACTCTCTTGCTCCTTGTTAATTAATTAGCTGCAGCAGCTGAGCCCAAACAAGCATCAGCGTTACATTTCAGTGCATCTGCAGCCTAGTTAGTGCCTTTTATGGCGCAGCGAATGGTGGTGGTAGGCCGCACACCATCTGGATCTCAAGACCAGGCACGTGGGAGACATGTCTGATGACTGAATGAGCTTTCAAATGCCAGTCAACAGGGTTTGTATGCTACTACTATTGTCGTCGTGATTAAGTGCTGTATTTGGTGGGACATTGTCCACTACTCTTTGTAGGATAGCTGAGGCTGGCTAAAGAGGTGTCTGTTTCTTGGCCTTGCCATACATCATTGGTAAAACGCAGGATGGAAAGAGAAAAGAAAGGTCGCCAAGGTTCATAGATTACACAGTTGTAATTGCTCTTGTAAACGATCAACTACAGGCTTGATCTTCACGGCAGTCGTCTGGTGACTGTTCACCCATCTTTCCACGGGCAGCTCAGGACAAGCCTTTCGTCCATCTTTACACCATGCCCCTCTCCCTCCTCGAATTCGCACTATACTTTAGAGAAGGATAAAGCAACAAGATCATCCCATCATGAGCAGTATTTACTATATAGGTAGTAGTCATTAACTGATATGTCTATTCGTACTCTAGACCTTGGTGCCTGTCTGATATGGGTATACCCAACAACCATATGTATGATACCTGTAAAACCCTCTTTCCTCCAACGCCTTCTCATGCAGAACAGCTCACTCCCGGGACCCATCGCCGGTACCGTTGCGTGAACAGCATCTTCAAACACAGACGGGTATTGAAATGCTAACGATAGATATCAACCAAAACGACAAACGGTAGAGAGAGCAAAACACTTGACCATGAACGCCACCGTGTCAACATAATGGACCCCCCCCCCCCCCCTAACTTCAACCACAAAACAACAAACGCAATCAAAATCACCTCCCCAGAGTCTTCTTCGACCTCGTCCTCTCACCCCTCGGCCTGCTCCCACCAGGCACCCGATTCACCTCGGGAATCCGATACCCCCTCTCCCTCTCCAGCCGATGCCTCTCCCAAAAGTCGCTCATCTCCGTGCTCAGCCGCTGCCTCGCGTCTCGCTCCTCGCTCCTCCCAACCCCCTGCCTCCTCCTCCCCCTCCTCATCCTCACCGGCCAGATCCTGGCCACCACCTCCATCGCCTTCTTGGCCACGGGCTTCCCCAGCGTCTGGTACAGCCAGAGCATCGCCCAGCCGTAGTTCCTGCCGATCCACTTGAAGAAGCGTCGCGCAGTCGTGCTCCACGCCACAATGAGCGTCACAATGATGAGCACCACGCTCGCCGGGATGCCAATCACGCCAATCGTCCGCAGCGGCAGGTTGTCGCCCCCTCCCCACTCGCGCGTGTTCATGCCAAAGATGCCCGTGAAGAACTGCAGCGGCAAGAAGATGACGGTGAAGGTGGTGAAGATGAGCACGCTTCGGCTCTGCGCGCTGGCCAGATCCGCGTGCAGCCTGCTGAGCCGCACCTCGTCCACCTGCGCCTGGCGCTGCATCATCTGCAGCAGCTTGTCGTACTCGTCTCGCGTGTTCCGCACCCTCTTGACCATTTCCTCCGTCGTATGGCTATACTCGGCCAGCCGCTTCAGCGCCTCGTGGAGGAACTTCCTGCCATGCACCGTGTGCGCTTGCATCTCGGAACGGTTGTAGATGCCGTGCATTGACGAGATGACTCTCGTCTGCCTCTCGAACAGAGTCAGTAGCGTTGCTAGCTCATCCTCAATGTCCCGGAGCTCCAGGAGCGCCGACGTGTTGTCTCTGTTCTCCCGCTCGGCCCGTCGTCCTTCCTCCTGATGCCGTTGTCGGATCGAGCGAGCCTTGTTCTCCACCGGCTCGTAGTCAAAGGCCTTGTCACGGAATCCCTCTGAGCGAAACTCCTTGAGCGATGTCGTAAGTTTCTCGGTCTAGGTAGATAGTCATCGCGTCAGTTACATGCACATGCGCAACAGGCGCCGTAAATAGGAGCAGCACGACTCACCAAGACGCTAATGGCTTCTTCGAATATGCGAAAAACCTCCAAATCGGGATGAGACGACCGGTCAAGCAGCACGCTCACCGCATGAAACGCCGCCAGTGCCGCGAGATCCAGGGAGTTATCGCAAATCCGAGTCAGATCTACATTGACGTCGTTGAAGATGCTATCGCGAAGATCAGCCTGTTGATACAGCGGCCCCTCGAGGGGATCGCTCTCTCGCTTGGGGAAGAAGGACAGCAAGGTATCTGCACAACATTAGCTTGGGTGGAGGTCGACCAAACCCACGGGAAGATGCATCAACTCACGAGTGGAAATAGTCCAGAGCCATAGTTGGTCCACCATCAGCACGTTTCCATTCAGCACATCCTTCTCCGTCTCTTCCTCGCCATTCTCTTCGGCCTCCTTGGTCAGCTTCTCTCTCCAGCTTGCGTGGCTTGCACCGCTCCTGGCTCCACTACCGCTTCCGCTTCCACTTCCACTCTTATTGCTGCTTCCCCCCGATCCGACATCGCTGGTAGACTGGTTGAATAGCCCCTGATACTCTGATGGATCGCGATACCGTTCCTTTGTCAACTTGTACAGCATCTGGTCATCGTCTCGCGAGCGTGTATCCCTCAGTGACGGGTATCCAAACTGATCCAAAGTACGCCGGCAATTGATGGGCGGGTCATGCCCTAGGAACTCCCAAATGACTTGCAGCTCCAGGGAGTCCGACTTGGCCACGGATTCAGGGATGGGTCTGGCCCTTCCGTGAGCCAGGCGCTTGGAGATCAGTTCCCGCCGGCGAATGAGCCTCTTGTACGAGTCAAAGTGCAGATACGGAAGAAACAGGCATATGGACATCTGGTCGTCCTCGCCAAGCAGGGGATGCGGGCTGCTCGCCACAGAATGGGCTCTCGGAGATGCTAGTCATCTTGTTAGAGGTAAAGTTGTACCCGTTGGCAGAATGACAGACACTTACCACTCCTAGGAGGCGTAAAGTAGCATCCTGGCTTTGCAAAATGCGCATAATGCTGCGAGTGCCTGCCACGCGTGTGGCTCCTGACCCAAAAGTCGTGATTCGACATATCGGAAAAGTCTCTCATGTAGGAAACTTGTAGCGTTTTCAGAATGTCCTAGGTAGTTGATATCTGTTAGCCACAACAATCACTTCTGCAGTCAGCAAGGGGCCACTCACAGTCACCCAGGTGGGATTGTTGTACGGCAGATGAACCCAGACAAACTTGCGCGCCTTGGCCTGCGGCCTCACCAAGACGCCATGGACAACATCGTCCACAAGATCGCCCTCGTCCACAACGGCACTCTCGTCCACAGTGGCGCTCCCGCTGGCTCTGTGCCTCCTTTCTTTGGCCAACTTTCGAACTTCGAGGACGCTTTCGGGGAGCTTCGGAGACGCATCGAGCCCCTCCTCATCATCATCATCGTCTTCATCATGGGGCGCCTGGTGGAATGTACTGCGGCTCCGCTGCGAGATGGAAGTTCGAGGAGGCGCCGGGGCGCCCGTCTGGCTGTCGAGGCTCATTGATCGGCTGAACGAGTTGCGTCCTAGTCGAACTCTCACGGGAGGGGAAAGGCGATCGATGGCAAGCTCCTGCTCCAGGCTCGCACGCAGGAGAGGCGAGGGCTTGTGGAAGGGCGTCGACTGTCTAGGGGGAAGTGAAATAGGTCGGGATGGAGGCGAGGACGCCAAGGGCACGACTTCAGGCCGTATTACCGGTGCCGTAGGTGCCGACTCCGTGCTCCTCCTTGGTCTCGTTCGAGGAGAGTCGACGGGAAGGATAAGTGGCGATGGAGGCACCGGAGCCACCACAGGCGGCTCGTCAAACATGCCACGAGGTAGACCGGGCTGCTGTTGAAGCACCTGTTCACCTTGGTTGATCCCCAAGGCGTTCTTTATCGTCAGGGGATCGGGAGGAAACGAAACGTCAGTCGGGGGCCCCTCCATGTCGACCAGGCCCGTTCTCCCCCTCACGGCCAGGAACCTGCCCTCTTCTGGCGGCATGTCCACCTCGTTCAGCCGCTCACTCAGACAAGCCTCCGGCCCTTTGTCCAGAAACTCCTTGAGCGGCAACCGCGTCGACCAGGCTCTCACGGCGCCGTCTTGCATCCCGGCTTCCTCGAAGAAGCCGTGGACCTCGACCGCCACCTTCTGCTCCAGGTGAAGCGTCCACTTGCATCCGTTCGAGTCCTCCTTGGCGCTGGAATCCGCCTTGTCAATCACCTTGACCAGCTGCTTGAGGAAATCGTTGAGGCTGCGCGAGTTGTGCCTCCCAAAGGAGGCAACGTTGGCGTGGTCGCTCTGCAGGGGGAAGATGCGCTCCTGGCGCATGCCGAGGATGGCGGACTTGGGGGACGTGAGGGGCGCAGTGTAGTAAAGATCCCCTGAGTTGGCAGACAGGCGAGAGTCAATCGTCTCAAAGAGCGTCCACACGCGAAGGTCGTCGGACACGAGCTTGAAGTCCTCGTCCACATGGAGCAGCAGAGGGTTTCCCATGCGCAGCTGGTCTGTCAGAGAGGCGGGCAAGGGCACCGAAAGCTGAAGCAAGTGCTGGATGCTCCCTGCCAGGGCCTGCATGGCGAAGTAGCTTGATCCCTGATGCGGTGTTCCTTACAAGACAACAAGAACGCAATTAGCAACGCTGAAGCCCATGCTACGAACCAAGACAAGGGGCTTCTCATCTAGAACTCACCGAAAAAGGCCACTCCGTAGCACTCGTGCAAGATGTCGCCATATCTCGAATCCGCATGCGCCTTGACCAGCGCCATCTTGACCACCAAGCCGCCGATGCTATGCGCGAGAAACAGCAGCGGCCTGTCCCTCCTCTTCTCCGCCGCCCTCAACGCCCGCAGCTCCTCGAGCAGCGCCATGGCCAGCGAGTTGAGCGTCGTGCCCTCGCGCACCGGCGGGTGCTCGTACAGCAGGATCCGCGCCCTGTTGGCCTCGCGGCGGATGCCCTCGCGCACCCACGACGGGCTGCGCCGGTCCGTCGCCTCGCGCACCTCGACGTCCCGCATCGACAGGTTGCCAAAGTAGCGGCCCATGAGGCCGTCGCGGTTCCAGCTGCGCAGCGCATCCGCGCCGGGGCACGGCACCGTGACGATGTCGACGCCCGTCTGGTCGTGCGTCAGCCGGCCTGCGGGATCCAGCGTGAAGCGCAGGTGCTCGACGCCGTCGCCGTCGTCCTGCGGCTTCTCGCCGACTTGCTGCTGCTCGTCGCTGCCATCGTCGGGCTTCAGCTCCGTCTCGTCCGTGTCGGACAAGATGCTGCCCGGGAACGTCCTCGCGGATCGGGAGCGATGGGGAGTTACCGGACGGGGGACCGTCAAGCTCTGGCTGCGGTTGGGCGAGGTTCCGTGATGTCCAAGACGAGGCCTCCGTAAGGGGATGCTGCCGCCCGGAGCCATAGCGGTTGCCTTCGCTGTAGTTACAGCGCTCTTCGGTGTGTTTGTTGGTCAACTAACGTCGTGCTAGGCGATTGAGCGAACCATCAATCCATAACATGAACCAACCTCATTCAATATGGATCACCGAAATCTCCAGTAAGCCGTCTAATATATATATATATATATCCCTTGGCATGTAACACCAGTCACATCCGACCGGACGTATAGCTAAATGATGAAATAGAATCAGGCACCTGGAAGCAAAAAGAAAAGTCAAATTCCATCACAAAGAACACGCCGCATTTCTCTGCGACTCCACAGTCCCGAATCATGGGCTCTCCCAACTTACACTTGACATGAAAGATTGCAACAAAGATTGAAACCATCCGAGCTCAGAAACAAATCACCTGCTCCCCCACAGGAAGAACACCTACGCAGCACACAGCATGCATGCCAAGTAAGTACTAATTGAAAGGACAAGAAAAGAATAGAAAAAAAGAATAGGCCTCCAAGGCAGACACCTCCCGATCGATACGAAACGGAAAGCCCTGCGCCCATCTGCCAGCCTCCGATCCGAGACCCCGAGAACAAAAGGAATCAAAAGACAAAGCTATTACATGCAGCATCGCTACCCCCCAAAACATCACGCCTCCTTAGAACTCGGCCCCCCCCCCCCCCCCCCAAAGACGCAGGCAGAAGTAATCAGATTCATCGCCCGCAACTCTCTCACAAAAGCACATCAAATGCCCAAAAACCAAATCGCCACGCTGAGTTTCCTTGCTTTCACCTCGTACATCAAATCATCATTTTCCTCTGCTCGTGACAAAAGCCTCCTCAATTCTAGGAATGGATGAGCGCAGAGAGAAGCATCACTCTCCGGGAGCCTGTCGTCCCTCTGCGAGCTCACAAGGGGGGGTTTGGAGGGGTTCAGCAGGTGACCCCCCCTTTTCATGCACTTTTACCCATGAGACTTGAGCCACCGTGACCGCGGCACATGAGCCGTGAAAAGCGCACAGCGACACAAAGCTGACATTACCAAATATTCGGTTTCAAGAGGAAAAAAATATATGCAAGATTCTCAGATTCAAAGTCTTATTAACTGAGAACACTCGTCATCAATAGAGTCAGGTCTGTGATGCCCCGTATAGAGGAGCTTCACATGATTTGTGTCTGCCATTCCTAGGCTCGGCATTCGTCATCTAGTTTCATGTCGGCAGATATCCGATGCAAAGACTTCACCTTGTCAGCGTGGAGATGGGATCAGATGAACCGTCGGAGCGATCATTATAAGCTCAATGGAAATATCCCGATAATGAGGTAGGCTATATGCTCCGTGACTTTTAGGTCCACTCTCCATCATCCAGCTTGTTGGATGATAACATTGAGAGTGACCAGAAACCGGCCCTTCTATGAAGCAGCTGTACTTTGTATGTCGTCAAGAATGTACGCAAAAACGCAACGGCAAAGAGCCAGCATCCCAAACGCCTACCTTGGAGGGTATCAGCTTGACATAACATAGGTATAATGGGGATAAGTAGTGAAGCGTCCATGCAACGCGCTCCAAATCTAACGACACAACTTCCCTCTGTTCACTTGTGCCACCCGCACTCGTCAGGCTAGAAATCCTCATCAAATGTTGAGCATCCAATCATAGCATCCGCGTAAAAGGGATTCGAGATCACGCATCTCTGCCCTGGCCGGATGTAAATCACGCCGACGGGGCCCAGCTTGACAGCCTCGCCGTCCCCAAACCTAACACTGATCTTGCCTGTGCACACATAGCAGGAGCGTACCTTGCTCGCCTCTACAGGCCAATGATGGCTCTGCCCCGGCTTGAGGCAGAGTACGTTGAGACCGAGGCGCGGCGATACCGCAATGGGGTCTTTGTTGGTCACGTAGGCATTAGAGAAGATGGCATCTAGGTAGTCAGATCAGTCAGTCTTGGTTCCAAGCTACGGTGAGGTACGGCCAGTCACGGCCAGGGCAAAGACACACTCACTCAGGTTCGTCTCATCCTTTGTCGCACCCGGGGCCATCTCCCAACCCTCCATCTTCTCGAACCCCTCAACCTCAGCCGGAGAGACTTTGCGAGAAGCTGTCGACGCATCTAGAGCACTCGCTGCGAGTTGTGGATCCTGCTTGGTGTGATTTTCAGCGACGTACTGCTTAGACTGTGTGGTGGAAGATTGGAAAGCGCTGCTCTGTCCAGCCGTCCGTGATGCATAGTCGTCCAGATTGGCAGCCTTGCTGCCGCCTGCGTTGCCGTCATCCAGGTCCATTTTGTCGCTGTGGCCATTTGGAACGACTGGTTCGTGATTTTGCTGTGAAACCGCCTCCTCAACAGCAGAATCAAGGCTGCCATTGTCCCCGTTGCTCCATTCGCACTCGTTCTTGAATCGATAAAAACATAGCTGGTACTGACATGCAATGCACGTCTCGGTCTTGCTAAAGGCAGCTTTCGCCTCGGCTGGGAGATCTGGGGGCAGAGCCACACACGGCTCGGCCAGCCGCGATATGCCCTTCCATCGGCGGCAAGGCGTCCTCTCCTCCGCTCTACCCACGAGATATGCCAGGATGCAGGCGTAGCTGAGAGGATCGAGCGTCTTACCTCGATGATACTCCCACCATAGACCCGGTACATCGCGATTCTGTCTGTATTTCGACAGGGCCGCGATGTCTGCCCGGGCAGGCACCTGCTGAGCGGGCGAGAGCAAGCTGTGTAGGTAGCGAAGGACATCCGTCATGGGCGGCCGCAAGGATTGACCGGGCGATGCTGTTGGCGGCGGCGACTGCTGCGTTGACCGCAGAATGGGAGAAGACCTGGTAGGGAGAGGCACGGGGGTTGCCGTCTTGGGACGTTTCGCCGCTCTATCGTCGATGGCATCATTGCTGGCGTCGCTGCGCAGAGATCGCTTGGACGAGTCCGGAGGCGGAGCGCGAAAAGAAGGACTTTGTGCAACGCTCTCTTCAGGCAAGCTTTGTGAGGCGGCGGTTGGAGGCACGCTTGCCCTGGGCGTCGAGGGACTCTTCTTGCTGGAAGTTTTCCCCCGGGTGCTCCAGTTGGGAGCTGCAGGCGGCGGCGCTCCTGGTGGCAGAGGGTTGCGAGACACGATGATACCAGGCGAACTCAGCCCTTCGTTTTCATAACTGCCAAGCTTGGATATTGTCCCATCCCCATTGTCATTGAATAGCCCGCGGTTGTGTTTGCCGTGAAAGTGACTCGCCAAGTGCTTCAAAACCCAGGAAAGGGTCCTACAATCTCGCACGGGGCAGATGAACGGCCTCTTCTCGCCCTCTGCGACGTCTTCACACCGTTCCTTGCCGGGTGGAAACGGTGCGTTGAGCGTGTTTTGTTCGATGCCTTCATCATCTGGCAAGGAAGCAGGCGCGTTAGCTCGGCATGGCAATCTCGCAAGCATCCTGTGTGTGCGACAGGACTCGATAGCCACTCACCTATATAAGTATAATACGATCGGCCTTCAGCATTGGTCTGGAGGCCGACTCGGATGGTTTCGCCGTCCTCGGTCTCAATCACATCTCCAGGGTCAGAGACTATCGATGCAGATGCGGACAAGGAAGCCGACGAAGAGACGGACGTGGCTGCGAATGAGGCAGAGGTGGGGTTGGATGCTGGACGAGCTCCTAGGTCTCGCACTTTGGCATCGGTAGTCGCAAGCTTGTTCAGCAGTGGCAGAGCCTTCGCTTCGGCCATATCGTCTGTAGTAGCTGCAGCCAATGGCTCCTCCGAGTCCTGGGGCGTCTCTGGCGACTCTGCCCGTATCGGCGTTGCTGCCAGACCTGCGCGAAGTGGTGGCGATGGCGGTAGAGGTCTGAATGGTTCGGGAGTGCGTCTAGATGGCTCAGGTATAGGAACTGCAAGAGGCACAACGGGTTAGCCGCAGGTTGACGAACAAAGACAGTGCTCAATTGCCGCTTGAAAAGCAAGTGGCCGGCGGTTTGGCAGACCCAATTCACTTCCCGTTGGCCATTGGCTCACTTCCGTCCCAACTCTTTGTTTACATGCCCTGTGCGCCCAACACGCGCAAGCAGCACCAGAGCAAAGAATAGCACTGCTCACCTTGAGTCTCTATAAGCGCCTGCTGCTGTCTGACCCAGTTCCTCTGCGCCTTGAGAATGCGCTCGTCGGTCGCCAACCCATCTCGCTGCAGCGCCGGCCCAGGCGACGTGGTCGTGGTTGTCGTGGGAAACGTAGCGGCCGTGGGAGCAGCCGTGGGAGCAGCCGTGGGAGCAGCCGTGGGGAAAGCGGTAGCCGTGCGCATGGACATGGGCAGAGTCGCGGGCAGAGGCACAGGCGTCTCGACAGGAACATGCGGATGGCGGACAGCTGGCGGCACAATATCGCTGACGACCAGAGGAGGTCGCGCCTCGTCCGGGCGGCCCTGAGCTGCCGTCTGGCCCGTGGGCCTGACTCCCGGCGACGGCTGCGCAGCCACCCCGAGGCTGTTCCTCTGGTACAGACTCTTGCCGGAGCGCTTCACCTTGTGCGCCGACTTGGCGCTATCTGCCGTGGAAGCCATGGCTGGGGGAGAAGCGCATGACGCGAAGAAGAACCGGTGCCGCTGCCACGATGCTCGCCGTGGGTGAGTTTTCTCTGGTCCTGATGTAAGAGGGCAGTCCAAAGGTTGAAGAGCGCAGTCAGAGCCGCTTGATGATGAGCTGAAGCAAAGGATGCAGCTTCCAGCCCGTTTCTCCTCCTTCGCGCCGGCCGACCGCGAGTTGAGCGTTGAGGATGAACGTTGACAGGCAAGAGTTTCGAGCTTGTGAACGAATCAGCCATCGCCGCACGCAAGGCTATCACGGCGGCTAAGGTCTCTTAAGGTACATGTGCAGTGGAGCTTCCGCAGTGACGTGCAGTGGGCGAGGGGGCATATAACACAGCAGAGGCATGTGCATGTAGGTATGTAAGGCTGGCCAACAACTTGCCTGTGTGGTTAATTGGGTGCACACGAGCGCGTATATATATTGTTTTCCTGCTGTCTTTTGGTGATGCAGGTTTCGATGCTCCTTGTGTGTATGTGAATAGTGATGAACCGTGTGGAAGTGGTGAAGAGCATAACACCTTATCGAGGACACGGGAATATAAAGAACATATTTATCCTGGCATTCTGTTCCATATCTCTACCGACCTACCTTTGTAGGTACCTAGGTAGAACTTATTCCATAATGTACCTAGGTAGATTGTCACTTGGAGCGTTCATCCTGCAGGGCCTTGTAGCTTGACTCTCCAAGGGCAAACCGTGGATGCCTCTTTGCATCTTACACGTTCAAGAGCAAGTGCCCATCTTGACCTTATAAAGGTGAGCGCACGGCTCTGATACTGGTAATACTGGTCTGTACAAAATCAATTCGTTCAAGGCCTTTCTTGCCAAATCCATTCGTTCTTTTAAACATAATACTATACACGGGGATACGTAAAACACCACATCCCATCATAACAACCCTCAGCCTCAACACACCTCACCCAAGTCTAAGGTATCCCTCATTTCGCCTTCTTGCCAGCCTTCTTGGCCGCCTTCTTCGCCGCCTTCTTGCTAATCGCCTTGACAACTTTCCCGCCCCCTCCGCTCTCCGCCCTCTTCTTCGCCGCCTCCTTCTGCCCAGCAATCTCCCTCTCCCTCCTCCAGCGCCTATGCCTGAACCACTGCTTCCGCGTCCTAAACGCCTTCGTCTTCAGCCCCGTCGTCTTCACCAGCCGTCCGATCCGCCAGTTATCCTCCCGGTAGCTGTAATCCGCCCGCAGCCTCAGCAGCCGATCTGGCTCGCCCGCCTCCACGCGCGTCACCTCGAACGGGATGCCCGACGGCGAAACCTCCTCCTTGGCCGCCTCCGCGCGCAGCGCGTGCACCGTCTTGTTGAGCTTGCGCTTGCGCTCCGCGTGCTGCGGGTACGGCAGCGTGTCCTCCTTGTTGAAGACGACGCCAATGTACTTCCTGTCCGGGTGCCGCGCCGGGTCGCGGTAGTATTTCACGTAGCCCGTCGCCATGGCGTGGATCGTGTGGTCGCGCCCCATGATGCAGTTCTCGCCCGGCCACCAGTGCGTGCCGCGCTGCTTGTAGAGGATGTTGCCGGGGATGACGAACTGGTCTATTATGGATATCGAGAACCAAAGGTCAGTTTAAAACTCGAGGCTCTCCAAACCATGTAGCCGCCCCCCCCTCAATCTCCTGCAATTGTCGTAGAAATGAATGAATAAGAACGCACCTCCCGTCCGCTTAGCTCCCAGCTTGTTGGGAATGCCCCTCTTGCTCTTCTTCTTGTACGCTCCCTGCGCCTTCACGGAGGCGTTCCTTCGACCTTGAACCAGGGCATTGGCCAATTGAGCCCCAATCGGAGCAACGAGGCTGCTCGTGACGCTCGGCCTGGAGATGCCGGCCGCAGCAGCCAGCAAGGGCCGCTGTATCGAGAGGAACCGCATGGCCATGCTGGTTGTTGTCCCCTCGGAGTCGTGGGGGGAAGGACGTTGCTTTCGGTCGGGCGAGGGGTTTGACGTTTTACAAAAAAAGCAATCCACCAACCCGCTCGCACGATCCTGGACCCAACAGGCGAAAGCCCGTCGATTTTTGGTGGTTTTGCCGCTTAGTCATCTCATACCTTTCTCTATCGATAAGACTTGGCGCATCAATCTAATGGCCAGCTCAACCTATCCAGCCGAATGTCATCACTGACCAGCCCTCAACTCTCCCGAATTTACGTACAGTACAATCACATCGCTCGTCAAGATGCGCCTCTTACTAGCTTTCCTGTCATTCTTCGCCCTCGCCAGCGCCCAATTCGGCTTCTTTGACCAAATGTTTGGCGGCGGCGGTGGTGGTAGTGGCGGAGGAGCAGGAGGACACCACCACCACCAGCAAGCGCAGAACAATCCCAGCGACGCCCGCCACTACCAGCAGCAATACACACATTGTAAGATCTCTTGAACCCTCATCTCCCCAAGTATCCCAAACACACCGACATGAATGTCGTTGTAGATTTCATCTGGCATTCAGAATAAGAGGCTCGAAAAGCTGACAATTTGGTCAACAACAACAATAACAGCCGCCTGCGACAGGTACCTCTGCCCCGACACCCTCGCCTGCGTCCACTTCCCGCACCACTGCCCCTGCGCGTGGGACGCACACGACGACAAGTTTGAGCTCGCAGAGGGCAAGCGGACGTGCGTCTCCAAGGGCGGGTTCAGGCCGGGCGAGACGGCGAGGAAGATTGAGCTTGCGCGCAAGGGTTTGCTCTGAACCTACGAGGCAGGGAGGGATGGGAGGGCTCAGGGTTTGGTTTTGACATGAGTGGAGTGTACGAGGAAGCGAAGCAATGCGATGCGATGCGATGCGATAGACACTGTAGACAACTTTTACAGGCATGCAACTGAATACAAGGCACAATACATCACGAATTGACGGGCCATAGAAACCAGATTTGAGAAGGAGAGAAACAGCCTGGGGATAATGTTACGGCACCGTCTCCAAGCTGGCATTGTAAGCATTGAAAAGGTAAAAATGCTGCCTGTTCCAACCACGAGGTCTCATGCCTAGATAACATCCACCGCCATCTTCGTCCCTCTTAATCGTGCTGCTAAGCGGACACGAGGCCCATACCACGCTTCACCACCCCCATCGTCAATTTGCGCATGCGCGCCACTTGGTTCCCTACGTTCCCGCACCCAACAACGCCTGATGTTGTAACCCCAACTCCAGAAAGAATGACGCAAATCCCTCCATTGCTGAGGGAGAGAAAAATAAGTAGACGAAACGAACGGCTGCATAGCATAATATCCGCCCTTTCGGCTATGCTGACCCATTCACAAGATGCGCAGGCAAAGGTGGCATAGGTGGAACCCCATTCTCCCCATTCTCCTCGTCTTCGTCCTCATCCTCCTCGTCCTCGTCATCGGGTATCGCCTCGGGATGGCCCAGAATGTGCGCCACGCTCTTCATCTCGTAATGCTTCTTCCTCATCTCCTCAAACTTGCGGTGCTTCTCCCTTTCTTCCGCCGAGAGCCCCACGATCTCCTCCTCCGCCGAGGGGGTGACGCTGCCCTTGTCCACATGGACCGTCTTCTCGCTGGAGCTGCGCGACGCCGGCGCCGGCCTCTCCGGGATTTCCTCCTCCGGCTCGCCCAGCGATAGGCCCGGAATGTCGTCCTCAGCACCACGACGGTGAGCCTTGCGAGCAGCAGCAGCCCCGTCCACGCCGCCCGCGCCCTCACCCCCGTCGACGTCTTCGTCGTCGTCGGAGGGGTCTTCCGCCGGGTCGTAGTGCTTCGCATAGGGGGTCTTTGGTTCGGTGATTTTCATAGTCGACGTCCGCTCCTGCTCCGTCAGGTAGAGGTTCGCCTCATCCCACTTGAGGCGCTGGCCCGGCTCCGAAGGGTCCGTGACGCTGGTCGACGAGTGGCGGCGGGAGCCTGCTCCGGAGGATGATCGGCGGTGGCCGGCGTTGAGCTGCGTGTTGGCGAGCGTCACTTCTTTGCTTGACGAGGAGCGTTCGCGCAGCTGTAGGGGCGATGGCGGGGTATTGTAGGAAGGGTTCTTGAGAATGCCTGCGAAGCCAGGGTCAGCGAGCCGAGCTCATGGCTTTGTAGATGACCCCAAAAAAGGGCTGTCCATGGCTAGAGCGGTCGACGACTTACCCCGAGGGCGTTTGGCATCCGGCCCTGGCGGGCTATGCGTGGGCGGAGAGCGCTCAACCGAAGTCATCCTGGCGACTCTGTTTTCCGCCTTTGGGCGTGACTAGCTAGAAAGGATCAAAAGCTGAGAGGTGATGCCGTGTGAGGCTGTCGTGAGAAGTATAGTGGCTGTAGTAGCTTGCAGGTGATGCAGGTCGTGTGAGATGTCGAGTAGAAAGAGGCTGAGGGAAAAGATGAATCACGTTGCCAGCAGAGGAGGGGGCCTGACACAGAGGACGTAGGTAGTTATAGCGGTAGAGGCCGAGTCAGTAGGTACATGTAGGTAGGTGGCTCCCTCCGGTGGGCTTTCCGTTGCTGGGGCAAAGCTCGTACGAGTACTATTACCTAGTAGGTAGTAGGTACTCGCAGCAAGGTAACTGCCTCGTAGCTGCAAGCTTGTCAAAGAGTCGCAGCGCCAGTTAAAGTGCGTGCGTGCGTGCTTTGCCTTGGCTTTGCCTTGCCTTGCCTGTCCTGTCGGGTGCTGGTGGGGAGGAAACAAGGTGATGGACCAAATGCTACCCAGCAGCTGTGGTTTTTTTTGGCTGGTGGGGAGCGGGGAACTGACAACCTAGCACTGGACGCTCCCTAGCAGCTTAGCCTCAGAAGCCTAGAACCTGAGAAGACTCCAGCGCTCTTTAGTGGCTGCTGGACGCTGCCAGATGACGCAGCGATGGCATGTCGTCACGCCCCGGTTTCCAGGGATTGGTTGATCACAAGCCGCGACAATTCTCTCGCTAGCACTTGGACCATCATTTGATCTGTCTCTTTGCCCGTGTCATGAGAGAGGGAAACAAGTCGATGATCTCATGTTTGGTTTGGTGATTTGGGCAGCGACGCGAGGGTCGAGAGATCGCTGCCGGCTTGCTGCCCGCTGAGGGAGGCGGGTTTTGCGTCCGTAACGAGGGCAGATTGGCAGATGCACATCATCCGGGATTAGTAGCGATGGACGTCAATGAGGGACGGCATGTACATGCTCGAGGTATGTGTATGTGTGTCCAGACAACATGTGCTGGCCATTTCTGATCTGATGAGAACCCATCCATGCTTGGCATTGTCTGCTCCGTTCTCAAATGCCATCGACCCGAACCAATCTGGCGTCATCTTCTGGAATAGACGAGGAAAGATGTGAGTGAATGAATAACCTGATCCAGCGACTAAAGAACCGTTGGGAATCTCAGCTATGCTATGCCACAAAAGAGAAAGGATCCGCGAAATGGGGGTGGGCTGCTCGACCGCTATGAACAGGGCGTACAAAATGCCTTCTAGACGATCGACGTCGTACCAGACAAAGAAAATCGACAAGATGAGATACGGCAAATACCGTCAAAAAGACACAAGGTATAAACAGGACGAAAACGTCCCTCAATCTACAGGTACAAAGATGCGGCAAGGGACACAAACACAGGGACTCCGGCACAACTCGTACTGCATGGACCATCATGCTGTAGAGTGACCCTAGACAAGGTCGCCAAGGCGAAGCAACATGAACACGGCAGCCGTCAGACATGGTTCAGTGGCCGACTCAAATCTTGTTCTTGGGAACCATGTTCAGCACCGCGACAAGCAGGTTGTACCCGGTGCGGTAGCACACGCTCTTGTCCTTTTCCGAGCTCCAAATCTCTACGCAGCTTCGCAACGTGTCGAGGATAATCTGTCGCGGCGGAATGGCGCATCCCATGGCAGCAGCGCCCGTGAGAGGGGCGTCAGCGCGGAGGACGTGGATATATGTCGTCAAGGTGGCGGAGAAGAAGTCGAGGACAAAGGCCCGTCCGACCAGGTCCAGGCGCAGATCCGGGTCGCTGCACCACATCTCGCGGTAGTGCACCAGCAGCGCAAGACAGCACTCCAGGGACGACCAGTACGACTCGGGGAACATGACGGGGCCCTCTGGGTGCAGGGCAAAGGGACGATGCAGCACCATGAGGCACCGCCGCAAGAAGATGTCGACCGTGACACGCTGCAGCTGTCCGGTACAGACCCGCTGGGCGTGGCTCATGAGCTCCCGCAGCTGGGCATTGTATCGCAGCACGTCGGGGTACGAGATCTGCTCCTTGTTGGAATTGATCTGCGCCATGACGGCCAGCACGGTCGGCAGCGACTGGTACAGCACCATCTGGAGACTGTCCGGCGGACCCCATTCGGGAATCTTCTCGAGGGTGCCGAGCTCGTCCGGCCGTGTGAGGGGCGGCATTCCGGTACACATGGCCACCTTGATGTCGAGGTACAGGATCGTGAGCCACAGCTTCCGTCGGGCGTCCTTTTCGTCCTGGTTGCGCCCCGCGTCCTCTGGGCTCGACGGGTCCTGGGGCAGTCCGTAGATGAAGGCCGTGCGCACGAGCATTCCGAGCAGGGACCAGCACGAGTCGACCGACCAGCAGGTGGGGTTGCAGACCTGCTTGGCGACAACCATGAGGGCCAGCATCTTGAGCGCCAACAGAGTCGGCCGGAAGGAAAAGGGCGTCTGCATCAGACACGCCTCGGCGGCCATCATGAGCTCCGTGGCGACGGGAGGCTCCCCCTCGGGAGAGGCAAAGCTGCCGAGGCCCATGACCATGAGGAACTGCGCCAGCCAGCACAGGTCCGAGGCGTTGGGGTCTATCCAGTATCGCTCAACTTCGCGCGTGAAGATGTGTACGTCCACGATGGGGTTGACCACGTCGAGCAGATCCAGGTATCGCTGGAGGTACCGATCGCAGTTTGCCCTCTCGCTGGCCAACAGTCGAGTGACGGCATCGCGAGTATAGTACTTGGTCGCACCAGGGGTGCCAAAGGGGAAGTTGCCCGGCAGCGTAAAGTTGGCCAGGCAAGCATTGGTGGCTACGTCTTCGAGAGCGGCAGCCAGGGGCGCGGAGTCTAGCGTTGTCAATGTGCCAATCTATCCCACCAGTCAGCACATCTCGAGGAAGTCTTCCATGCAAAGTGCTCTCTGCATACCTTGGTCATGAGGTCCCGCCAATGGCTGGAGCCTCGCACCTTGTGTTGGACCTGCCAGGTAGCAAGCACCGTCTTCGTCTCCTCGGTGCTCGACGGGGCGGTGGGACAAGGGAACTTTCCACCGTTGGGCCCCTTGTTGTAGCTATAATAGCACTCCCTGCCGTTGCCGCTCGACTTGCAGCGGCCACACGGCAGTTCCTTGTCACACTTGACCTTGAGGCGATGGCAGCGAAGGCAGCTCAGGCAGTTGCGCTTGCGCTTGCGGACAACGCGCAGCTGGTTCGTGGCCGACGCGGACGCAGAGGCGCCCTCGATCGGCATGCCATTGGCATCGAGGGCCACGGCGGGCTCGGGGCTCTCGGTGGATGCCGTGGGCGAGATGAGCCCGTTCCGACCCGGTGTAGCCAGCGCAGGGTCGCCATTGGTGGCAGGAGACGAAGATGTCAAGGCGCCGGCCCTCGCCTGTCGCGATGCGTTGGGCGAGGAAGACGCACCGCCATTGGCAGCGGCTCCGGGCACGGCGACCCCGTTGACATCGAAGCTACAGCGCACTCCCGCTTGGATGCATCGCGAGCACGACGGCTTGAGGAGGTCGCAGCGCCGCTTGAAATGGCGACAGCGGTCACACGTCTTGACCTCGCGCATATGGGGCATGCTCTGGTTTCACACCGGGCGCGCGCAGACGAGACAATGGGCACGGAGAGGGGGATGGATTCCTTGACTCCTCGCCGGTGCAACAGGGCGACGTTTGATGTCTCGCTTCCGTTGTTTCGAGATGGTATTTCGGCTCCGAGACGGAGACGGAAGAGACAATGACGGGGGAAGACAGGCCGAAGAATGCGGTGTCCCTCAGACGGCAGACGGAAGGGCGTGCGCCGCGCTCTGTCTGAGACGTTGGATCAGAGGATCGTTGGCGACGTGGTTCTGCGTCGAAAAAGAGAGAGAGAGAGAAAGAGAGAGAGAGAGAAAGAGAGAGAGAGAGGATAAGATAGATAGAGAGGGATGGGATGTGGCCACCTCCAAGGCTGAAACCAAGCAACGTGGACGAAATGTTCAGCCGCGCAGAAAAGAAGCTGGCCCCCAGCTTAGACACAGCCTCGAGGACACACGCCAGACGGACAAGACAGACACAGACACACAGACACACACCGATGCCACGAGTCGCTGGCTTGCGGCTTGCGGACAAGTCGAACCCAGCCTCAGAAGGAGCGCAGCTGGGCCGATCGAAGGCGCTGGTTTGTTTGCCGGGTTGAGCGTGCAGTGCAATTCGTGGCGGCTTCTTGCTTCTGGTTCCGCCTGCAAGCACAGAACAGCAGAGCACAGCACAGCACAGCACAGCACAGCAAGTCGTCTGTCCTGTGCGCGATGATGCTGATAATGCAGCCGATAATAGTAGGTAGTTGATGAGAGAGACGGGAATCAATGGGAGAAGAAACGAAAGAGTGTCGGCGGTAAGCGGCCAACTCGCGAGGCGACCATGTTATCTGCGCGCAGGAATAGGGCCCCAGCATCGTCGGCCGCGGGTTATCGCCGGTTCTGGGCCGAGCCAGGAGCCGTCGCGGTCGCTGTCGGCGCGCTGCTGAGCAAGCAAGCAACATGAGCTAGGCGCCACACGCCGCTGCCGGGCCAGCACTGTTTACTGCTTTTGGCGGTGCCTTTGGGGCGCTAGGCCGCTGGAGCTTCTAGCGCTGCTGCTGGGCGCTGTAGGGCGGCTGCGGGGGGTTGCAATGGAACCTATGGATTAGGTACCTTAGCTGGAGGTTGGATGGCGCCGGGAGATGGAGGCACAGGTACCGATACCTCATGGATGGATAGGTGCACTTTTTGGTGGGGAGTCTCGCGAGACATGGAGCTTCGGATGCTCTCAGCTGGTGCAAGACAACATGACATTGAGCCTACAAGAACTTGACAGCCTGGACTGCATCGGCAGGGAGGCGGGTGGCTTGAGGATGTACCTTGACATCCATGCTTATTATAGGAACCTGTACTCTGGGTACGCACAGAGACACTTTTGTGAATGTCTCGTTTTGCCGCAGAGCTGCAAGTGATGCCATCACGAGAGCCGTCCGTCAACTTCAGCCGTCTCTATACATGTAGTTCGAGTATTACAGCTCGTCGCGACTTAAGAAAAAAGAAGAGAAAAAAAAAAAAAAAAAAAAGTCCATGGACATTCCATCGTCAAAAGCCTCCCAGGCCTGTGGGGTGGACGC